TTATTACCTCCTCATAGATGCTACGGCTGTGCCATTAACCTTCTACCCGGTACTATGCCTCCTAGAGATACTGTTTACCCCCTTTCTGCCAAGGAGAACTCATTGAAGAATACATTACAGAGAATTTGAGGAAGGGTTTTATTAGAAGGTCTTCTTCTCCGGCAGGGGCAGGGTTTTTCTTTCTATTCAAGAAAGAAGGTGATCCTAGACCCTATATAGATTGTAGAGGAGTGAATAAAATTACTATACGTAATGCTTACCCTATACCTTTTTATTACGGAGTTGTTTGATAGACTCAAAGAAGCCAACATTTTTACGTATAATCTTGTCAGGATTTGTGAGGGGGATGAATGGAAGACAGCCTTTAATACTCGTTATGGGCATTATGAATACAATGTTATACCTTTTGGGCTATGCAATGCCCCGGTTGTCTTCCAAGACCTCATCAATGATGTGTTAAGGGAATACCTTAAAGAGTGTGTAATAGTATACCTAGATGATATTCTGATTTATTCAAAAGATAGGGAGACACATCACAGACAAGTTAAAAAAGTATTGACTAAATTGTCACAACACTATATGTACTGTAAACTTGAAAAATGCCTTTTTGATCAACACCAAATAAGTTTTCTTATTTCTAAAGCTTTCTAAGCTTTCTTGGATATGTGATTTCAAGAGAAGGGTTTGCTATGGGTCCTAAGAAATTGAACTCCATACTCCAATGGCCACTACCTAATAGGTTAAAGGCTATTCAAAGATTTATAGTATTCGTAAACTATTACAGACGCTTCATAAAGGGTTTTTCGTCTATAGTCGCTCTAATAACGAACATGACAAAAAAAGATATGAATCCAAAGAGATGGGATCCCAATGTTAAAGGCTTTTGAGACGCTTAAAATATCTTTTGCCTCTGCCCCTGTTTTAGTGCATCCTAATCCTAGTCTACCTTTTCTGTTATTGGTAGATGCTTCAGAGACTGGTGTAGGAGCTATGTTGTCCCAACGACAAAGTCCTGAACTGCCACTACACCCTTGCGGGTTCTATTCTAGGATATTGTCTTGTACAGAAAAACGTTACGATATGTGAGACAGAGAACTTCTTGCTATAATCCTAGCCCTAAAATAATGTTGACACGTGTTAGAAGGTAGATTACTTCCAGTGACTATCCTAACAGATCATAAAAACCTCTCTTATAGTGGAGAGGCCAGACATCTTTTTGCTAGTCAAGCCCGATGGTCCCTTTTTTAAACAAGATTTAATTTCGTATTAACGTATAGACCTGGTTCGAAGAATTCTAAAGCCGATGCATTGTCCCGTCAATATGAACCTCTTGTCAATTCTACTTTTGCGGTATCTTCTGTGGTACCCAAGCAACACATCATAGCTCATTCTAGTGTCAATATACAGTCTCCCCTGGTGACAGATATTGTTGCTAAACAGTCACAAGCGACGGGAGTTATCCCAGAAGGATGTCTATATGTTCCTCCTGAATACCAGAATGAGATACTCGTCCATTTTCATGACAGTAAAATCACAGGTCATCCAGGTACTCGCAAGACATATTCCCTAATTGCCAAAGAATTCTGGTGGCCTTCATTGCAAAAGGATAGTAAGGCTTGTACTGTTTGTGCTAGAACTAAACTGTTGCATGCTCTCCCATGTGGCATGCTTCAACACTTAGATATTTCTAACAAGCCCTGGGTCAGTATAGCCATGGACTTCATAGTCGACTTACCTACTTCCGAAAAGAAAACTGTTATCTTGACTGTCATTGACAGGTTCACCAAAATGGCGCATTTTGTACCTCTGATATTTTTTATTTATTTTATTATTATTTTAATTTTAATTATATACTTATGGTCTCTTTTTACATAATTAAGTGATTTTATAAATTATATGTTGGGGGATCTGCCTGTCAACCCAGTCGGTCATCCAGCAGCCAATCCAGCCTATCCAAGTCATGTAATTGCAGTGTTATTGTGATCACATTACTTGGATCAATGAGGTTGGCTGCAGGGGGACTGCCTCTGTTATCAGGCAGTCCCTCAGTTGAGATCTGGTGAGGAGTGTGAGTATTTGTGCTGTCGGGAAGGCCTGATCATTAAGGCATGCTTTGTCGCCATAACGGCATTGAAGCCCTTTTTTTGCAGGACTGCATAGCACACCTGTAGCAGAACTCCTATATCCGAGCTAGATATCTCCACTTGAATCCCCTCTTAGCTGGAAGAAGTGCTGGTTAGTGAATATAACGCTTTTGTCCCGGTAACCACATGACACATGATTGTGTTGTCTGATTACTGGGTGATCCCATCCTGGCGTATCTGGGTTATCCCTCGCTTAAATCAATTCTCTCCTGGACACAGAGAGTCAAACATAAAATACCACCAAAAACACAGTGAAAAAGTAATGAACCCCCACACATGATGTATCCCCGGATAGCTTCCAAACCAAGTGCCCCTGTTGGCAATATTGTGCTCACATGGAAGAAGAAATGGCAAATCATCACCAGGACAAAGATTTGACTGGCAGCTTTCAAAGTCAATGCTGAAAAGAGCTCCATAGCGGTTGTGTGTCTTGCCAATCAAATATCAGTGGCTCCTGTGGACTGAAAAGCGGTGCTCCCCTGGCTCTCAGGGAGTGATTGTTAGGCTTAGTCTCTTGTACCTCCCCTCAAATTAGCACTCTCCTGGCTTGCCGGGGAAGTGGGGGAAAACAGGTGGAAGTGGACCTGAAAGTGTTGGTGACGCAGGAGATCAAATGAAAAATATGGCTGTCGCGCTAAAGTCCTTGAGGTTCTCTCCGGTTCTTTCAAATCGTTTGCTGACATGGGGAAGACGTGATCTCCGGTGATTAACATGAAGGGGTAGGCAGTGAGGCAGAGAAATTTGGGGAATAGAACAATAGTGTGCCACAACTTCCTAACGTCGGGAAAGGGTTAACAATTTTAAAGGCAGCTTGTTTACAATTATCATGTTGGGGAAATTGGCCAATTCTTGATAAAAATTCAAAATTCTGCAGCATTTAAGAAAGAGACGAATTAGAAAATATTATTCAGTTTGAATCTCGTACATGAAATCTGAAGTTAAGCAGCAAGTCTGAGCTTAGAAAAAACAAAACCTTAAGCATGTCATGCCTTACAGGCTCCTTGAAAATGTATTTTCTACAAAATGTATTAGGTTCATTGGAAGGAGTAATAATCTTTGATGTCTTTTGTAGGATGCATCTTTAAAATGACTCCACTCTGCTCTTGATTGGACTTGTTCTGCTTCCCAGCGATATATATGACACCGTTTCATCAACTGCACCTGGTATGCTTCCTGTCCTGTTAAATTATCCAGCTGCTCAACTTTTGGCATCTCTTTAAAACCAGTTAAAGGACTTTAAAAGTAAGGAAAAGTTACATTTTGAATGCCCCATTCTAAAGGACACAAAGCTGTGATTACCTGCAACCTTACACTATTTCTCACTGTGAGACAGCTGGCAGAGACAACTGGTTTCATTTAAAACGCTAAAGCTTTAAGTGTATGTAGCTATTTAAATCTCCTATCAATGATAACATCGCCATAGTTGTATAGTTCTCTAGCAATTCTAACTTGCAGCATATGTGCAAGTCAATATTGGACATAATGCAGGCTATAAAAATTAAATTCTTTTTTTATTCTTACTGTCAGAAACAAAAAAGAAAATATATATTTTTTTAACTTGCTTGAGTTTAGGGATAAAATCAGTGATGGCTAGGTTAGTCGAAAGTGACAATAGTAATGCAGAGATGACTCCACATTGTCACTCCTGATGTGAAGAACCCTAATTATATCAAACAATAAATGGTTAAATTTTAAACTGACAACCTAACCATTAATGTGATTTGTCTAATAAAAAGACTTTTAGGAAACCTTTTCAGTCGGGAAACAATTCACTATTTTTTGAGTAAGCCCCATTTACCTACAGTACATTGCTACAGGCAGTCTTTTCTGGAATGATTATTCCCAAGGCTTGGTATATAAGAAAACAGAAATAAAAGCTAAACATTTGGATCATCCCAAAAAAAAAAAAAAAAAAAGCCCTTAAAAGCCATTTGAGTGGTTTAGTAATGAATAACAGTTATTTATTTTTCCATTTCATTTATTTCAGTCTAGCTTCTTTAAGATTTTTTGGAATTTAGACTAAAGAAAATACCACAATGAAGATTTTTTTTTAAACAGAAATAAAACTACCTTAATTTAGTCCCACTGATTTGCTGTGTGCTGTATTCGTGTTTTTCTCTCCTACAACATGTTAATGGGTCACAAGTGGAAAGATGATACTGGCTGGGCATGTGGTCCAGAAGTAAGTGCTGTGGATCAAGCAGACAAAGGGGCAGTATCACAGTATGATGTGCATAGGATGTAAAGGGATGGCTTACTTGCCACAACTAAGAACTGGGATAAAGTGTTAATGGCCAGAACAGTAGGGTCAGACACTGCATTGGAATGCTCTAGTCTAGATAGTCTGCACTTTAACTCCCCTCCTTTGCACACTGCAGAAAGCAACAATCAATGGAAGTGGAACGTTATGTATTTCCAGAGCAATTACCCAGGGATAAAGCTATTCCCAGAAAATGGAGATAGTTTTATACCATGCCATAAAAGCAATTTTTTTTTTATGGCCATCACTTATTAAATATAGAAAAAAAATACAAATGCAAAGTATGCCATGCATTGCACGGTTGAATGTATTCTTCAATAGCCATAAATTGAGTATTTATAAAATGGTGTCGGGATATAATGTGTTCTACCATACACTGTGCTGCTAATAATGTGACTAAAAGAGACAAAGAATGGGAGGGAGGATGTAGCACACACACACAGTCACTAGTCTATCCCTCCCTCTCTCCCATGCTAGTCCCATTAAGGGGAGGGAGTCAGAGCGCTTCGGCAGCAGTGAGGGCTCACTAGCCGGAGGATCGGTGGTTATTAGGGCTCTGGGCAGCTGCCTCAACATGTCCGTCCCACGGCTGCCAGCGGACTCATCTGTCCTCAGCCCAGCAGAGCAGGCGGCTCCGGGGCTCAGCGTGAGTCTCAGGTCCTGAGCGGGAGGATCGCGGTACGCCTCCAGGTAAAGGCGGCTGAGGGGGGCAGCGTGTCACCGCACCGCACCGGCCACTGCCTGCTTTGTTCTGCACAGGCACGGGGCAACCGAACACAAAGAACTAGTGCGGGGGCCACGGGGGGGAGGGGGGCTATACTGTGCTGGGGGGCAGGGTGCATGGGACCAGGCATGTATACAGTGTATGTCACATATATGTGTTTTATATTGTCATGTCTATATATGTAGGTGTATATGCATCATTAGTCATGTATGTTGGTGTGTATGTGTATTTTTATATACAAGCACACACACTTTAAAAAAAAATAAAAAAATCCATCTTTCTCTACAGATATGTGAATACATATGTGGTTTTTTTTTTTTGTTTGGTTTTTTTTTAGTGATTTCACATATACACACGTGCATGGAAGAGAAAGAATCAAGCCCAGCATCATTAACACTAAATGGTTACTTATTGGTGTGAGCTTGGCATTTGGCATGTCGCTGTTGCCCCTTGCCAGGTTTACATTATGAAGTTCAGAGGTCTCTGTAGAAAAGGGCAGTGGGAGTTTGTGTTGAGTGGTACTCATAGGAGTTGATGATGCTGTAATGCAGGCAGATGTGCTGGTAGCTGGGGAGGTAAATTACATTTTGGCAGGTTTAGAGATATTCAGGGATTCCTAGAAGGAGTGTTTCTGCTGGTGAAAGTGGAGAGCGTCAGGAGAGAGAGAAGAGAAAAAAAAAGCTTCCCAGCTCCTGGGGGATGGTGGTAGCTAAATACCTGCACTAACTTTTGGGCTGGACAGTGGTAAAAAATAATGAATGCTTTGTACATATAACCTCATGGAGTTGCCATGGAGAAATAGACATATTACTGTAATAAGTGGCGATTTGCAGTCCTTCTTAAAACACTATATCACAATTTATTTATCTAAAGTTAAATTTAATGCTGAAAGCATACAGTCTGTCTTGTTATTCTTAAGTATTTGGGTATGAAACCTCCCCCACCCCCCCCCAAAAAAAAAAACAGATATGTTGAAGATGCAGATGTAATGTAGTGGAACCTACAATACTAATATATTATTTCTTGCAAAACAATACTAACAAAAAGGTTTGTCTAACAATCTCACGTTTCCCGTTTGTAAATAACAGGAGCATCTGCCAGTTAATTAATTGGACCATTTGTATTAATTGCGAAAAAACAGCTACTGTAACACACTTAACTAATGTAGCTTGTAGTCAGGCAGTTGTGTTTCAAAGTTCTTTCTGTGGATGTGTAATCTCCATGTTGTGGTTCAAGCCTTTTGTCAAATGCTTACAGCAGCCTGTCTCTCCCTTGAACCATAAACATATATTTAACATAATCCATGAATAAAATATACGACTGGCCTTTTGGCAGAGAACTAGTTAATGTAAAAAAGCACAGACACATGTGGTGATAGCAGATTGAAGCAGTCAACCTGCATCCTTAAAGCTGTATTTAGACTTACAAATCATGTCATCCTTGGTTTGTCTTCCCTTTGGTTAAGTGTGATGAGAGTTGTAGTGCAGCACTAGTAGAAGGTTGCCAAGTGTAGACTTTTGATCTAAAATTATTCTAGACATCCATTGTGGCAGCGCATTGTAACCAAAATAATATGTTCAGAACTGCAGACTATAGAAGCTGAATTATCAGCTCAGACCTATTTGAAACTTTCTCTGTAAATTATTTTTTAGAGAACAAAAAATGAAAATTATATTAAACACAGGTTTTGAGTGTGATTTGAGTAGAAAATCCTTTTTTGCATCATTAGGCTATAGAGGGAGCGATGGAGCTGTAAATCAACCTACATGCGTCCATACATATTCTTTCTAATGGTCTGTATCGATTTTGTTATGTTGGGTTCTTTCTTTCTCACAGTCTACCTTTCTAAAGTGCTTGAATTTTCTTCATTGTTTACACTACAAAAAAAAGGAGAATGTTTTACAGTTAATTACATAAAAATGAAACTAGTATGGCGATATACATTACTAAATGTGATATGTTAAACCTCCTCCATTCAGTTAAAAAACAAACTGGATATAGGTATAGTAAATACATTATTTTAACTAGGACAATGTGTATCCCTGAATTACGAGGACAAATGTGACCTGGAGAGTCTATTCACAAAAAATCTAATTCTTGTCAATTGTAGAATGAAAGTTGGTTGAGAAAACTGTTTCAAGGTGACTCAGGTCTGGTTTCAATATTCAAACTATTTTACAGATATACAAGAGTGAAATAACTGTCTTGATCATACTTGATGATAAATATTTTCTTAGCCAACATGAACCAATCTTACCAGCATTCCCATTGGAGATTTGTTGTTACTAGAGGTCCATATAGAGGATTCAACTTGTCATTGTCAGCTGGCTGACGATTACTATCATTAACTTATCATTAACATAGAGAAATGCCAAAAGCCTGGGGGCAAACTGATAAAGGATATTGTTACTTTGCTTATTATGGGCTTAGTAGAATATAATTGAGGAAGTCGGTATGGTGACCCCAATTCAGTGAACTTGGGTAACCCACCCTCACATTTTGTTATTGCTTGCCAAGAATTGTGTGTAGTTCATGTATAGAGGTCCCTGACTAAAACTCTTTTTATTTTCATTTATCTGACTTTTTTCAACTGTTTGCCAATGCCCACTTGCAGCTCGGTCTTGGCATTAAGCTTCCATACTAGTCATTTCCTCAGGTTGGCAGATCAGAAGCATCTGACTAGAAATCCCTCACTCGGCCAATTATACTGACATCATTAGACAAGTCGTAGCTTAAAGAATAGTCAAATCGCATTACTCACAGAAACGTGTCTTCAATTTTACTAGTTCTGTATCATAACTGAACCTAGCAATGTAAGTTAGTTGTAGCAGGAGCTTTTAGAACAGACTTGTCTTTCGTGAATATCTGATTTTGAAGACTTCTCCCAAATTCAGTATTTCATTTAAATCTTTTGCAAAGTCAGTACAAAACAACTGTAATCCTAGGACAGTTTCTGCATCTTAGAGTTCTTCACAGCTGTTCTCTCTACAATGTGTAAGTAGTAAACAATACACCACCACCTTCCAATGTCAACTGCATCTATGTACATGTAGGTACATTTAGCAGACCTTGCACATATATTGAACACTCGTTTAGTGCCATTTTAAGTGATGAAGGGGGATCACTTGCAGGTGGTATAAGACAAAATTGTGTATTCTTTAAAAAAAAAAAAAATTCAAAGTAAAAAATAAAAAAAACTAGTACAATCCTCTCCACACAATACTAAAAAGTGACTGTGGATTGTGTAATACATGCAACCTCCTTTGCCATCTGGTGAAATTGATAACAGACACATATATTGTATATCTCTCTTCCTAGATTATAAATTTTTACCAGGCAGTAACTTCTTTTCAAATATTTGCAGTGGTTCTTATTCTCTTTGATTGTATTGTTATACAGTGCTATGTCAATAAATTAACTCTTCAAATATTTTTTTTTTCTGTGCCTGTTGAATGGCTGATCTCTGTTTCCAACACAATTTATCCAAATGCATCCAAAATGTGTAATTTCACAGATCTTTATTATACAATGTTCTTTGGAATTAGATTCTATATGTAACTTTATTTTTTTAAAAATTTTTTTAATGGTGAGCATACACCTCTCAGACACCATACCGATCTCTTAATGTACATTAGGAACATGCTTAAATGTATACCAGCCTGTATGTGCACTGAAAAGGTATAAATGCAAAAGGAACATTTTTACTTCCTTCTGAATCTTTTTAAGATAATCACTCGGAAGCACTTTGTGCCCTTTGATATTTAATCAAGTTGACATGGATTTAATGATCTAATCAAAAATATTGTCAAGGTGGAATTTCTTTACACCAAGCTGCTTAAGCAGAATCCAGAAGAAAAATATCAATCCATTTAATTATAATACTTGCAATAAGATTTCAAAGTGTTATATTTAACCTACTCTTTTTAAATACCACATATCCGATTTGATGCCTGGTGATCTTAGTATAGTATTAAAAAGCTTTTTTGTGGAATCCTAAATGTAATATTTTCTTATGTTTTATTATATAGTTTTCAATAATTCTTGTCCGACTATCTGTCTTCTGTTGCATTACATAATACGCTTTTAGACAAAAACAAATGCTTTTGGTTAGTTTGCATCCCTCTTAATAGGTCGTTTTTGTATTACTTCATGGACTTTAAAGGATTTCCTCATCCAAGAATACTCATCTTTTTGAATTTTTGAAACGTTAGATAACACATTTATTATAATTCTAGTTGGAGAGTTTAGCTAAATATTGTAACCACTGTAGTGCTTGTTCACAAGAGTCAGTTCCAAAACCCGAGTTAACTTAGTTTTTTTAATCCTTCCAATGTCTAAATAAAATGTGCATCATAAAGATCAGTGTATGGCCAAAAGTATGTGAAAACCCAAACATCATACTTGCATGAGCTTCTTGGATATTTAATTCAAGCGTGATGGGCATTAATATGGGGTTTGAGCTCCCCAGTAGCATACTAATGAGGGGGGGAGACACGATTCTGCCCCAGGTGACAGACAGCAGGGGGCTAAGCAGTGCAACCCTCTCCCACCACAGCAGTTACCAGATCACTGACACATCGCATTTGACCATATGTTATTATTTAAGTGCCAACAAATTCCGCAGCACTGTAGAATAGGTGAACTAAGAAACAAGTATTTGTAACAAGCCAAGTTAGATATACAAGAATATAAGGTGCAAAAGGGTCCACTCAATCAAGATTACAACCTAGGGTGAGTGGTGTAAAGTGAGAAGAGGTGATGGCAAGATATATTTCACGCATGTGAAAAGTAGTTTTTTTTGGATGACCCAGTAGCAGGAGAGAAAGCAAGGTGGGTTACTAAAAGTGTGGGCGAGAATGCTGTAAACAGTTTAATTATATAGTGTACTTAAAAAAAAAAAATTGCGGTTTCACTATAACCCATGTGCTTAACATTTGTGTTTGTGAAGTCTGAAAAATAAAATTAAATGTAGATATCCACACTACTCTATCTACTTCCAATTTGGAAATCAGTGTCTCCATCTTGATCACCCGGTGGCCATTATTTAAAGGTACACTCCAAAAACCTAATGCACTTTAGATTGCTGAAAAGCTTTATATATAAAGAATGTGTCTTCTTAATAATAACAGTGTCCAAATTGGAACATAGGAAGTAAAGATGGAGAAATAGAAACAATGTTTTATATTGTTTTAATGTTTTATTAAATGCTGTAATTTTTACACAGACCTAATGCATCCACATAAAAACATTGGCAAAGTTATTATACAATGTTATTTTCATTATTTTGTTTACTATTTGGTAATAGGAGGTTAACATCTTGTAATACATAACTTTCCCCTTTTAAGACTTTCTTGTAGTGTATAAGGTGTGTTGCAGTAATTAAAGCATATTTAATTTTAATAGTTTTGTTTAGTATTTTGTAATTGGATGAACAAAGCTTGTAACACATCATTTAAAGTGGCACGGTCACCACTGCTAATACTCATGTTAACTGTGGTGATATTTCACTGAAATTGCAACCCAGTCAAAAAATATACTTTGACATGGTGATACATCCAATAATTTACTAATCGTCATCACATTTTTAGTGTGGGTGAAATAGTTGGGTGTAATAGGGCATATATTGGTGTCCAGACTTGTGCCATGGGATGGTATGGATAGGCGAGTCAAAGAAAAATCGTTCCAATGTCACCCACTTTTTGATTGTCAGGGGAGGCAAATTGTGTATTCTAGACATGTTAAGTGCTTTGTAATAAACTTCCAAGTTTGGAAGACCAAGTCCCCACCTTAGTTTATGTTTGGTCAGAATAGAATATGGCAGTCTTGGTTGTTTATGGGACCAGATAAAAGTGCCAACATCCAAAGTCACTTGACCATGGTGTAGAACGACTTCAGAAGAGCTATAGGAAGGACCTGCATAAGTTAAAGAAATCTATGGAGGATATTCATTTTTATTATAGTTATTCTGCAAAACCAAGTGAAGTGGGGCATGTCCAATGTTGTAAGATCTTTAGAGGTTGCTTGTAATCGAGGCTGGTTACTTGAGTTTATAGAGTTTAGATATTTGTTGAATATGAAATCCATAAATATCAGGATGGTCCCTGATCCCCTGAAGGAATGGCTCCATGATGAGGACAAATAGAAGAGGGGACAGGGGGCACCCATGTCACGTGCCATTGCTAATAAGAATAGGGTTGGACAGTTGTCTGTTTGATTCTAGCACTGGGGGTTGAGTAAATCACATTTAGCCACTTAGGGCTGAAGTCCATGGTTCGTATATTTGAAAAGAGTAGGGACCTGTCCACCCTGTCAAATGCCTTTTCATCATTCAATGAGAGCAATAGGTTTTGAGTTTACATATATATATATATATATATATATATATATATATATATATATATATATATATATATATATATATATATATATATATATATATATATATATATGGGGAAATGAATGAGATTAATCAATTTGGTGTTATTTTAAGCCTCTCTAACCAGAATAATGCCAGACTGAACAGGATTGACTAGTCGCTGTTGTAGAGGCCATAGGCAGTTGGCCAGGATTATGGTGAATATTAATTAGAAAAACTCTTGCAAATGGAAGAATCTTTTCCAAGTGTAGGCATTAGAGTGATTTGGGCTTCTATAGCTGTGGTAGGTAGAGTTGATGAGTTGGTGATAGAGTTAAATGCTTCTAAAAAGGTTTTCGAGCGGATGTGAGAAAATGTTTTATAATAATTGATCGTGAAGCCATCAAGGCCTGGACTTTTGCCTGCTGGTAGATTTTTGATCACCAGATTATAGTCATCCTGTATTAAACATGCTTCAAAGGTCTAGAGTAAGTTGGCAGAAATGGTTTGCTGTATTCTAGAGGCAAGAAATTGCCTCTTCCTCTGCAGGAGGTTACATAGTTTGATATGAAAGTTATGAAAAGCATCCATATCAAGTAGAAGCTAGGATACCTCTCTCCTTTTTAATGCTAGCAATGAAGGAACTCTGAAGTTTTTTTGTTGTATAGCCCATGCTAACATTCTTCCGCATTTACCTCCTTGTATATAGTATGAGGATTTTGTGAGAAGTTTTATGCTTAACTTCGGCATTCAGTATTATTTGTAGGGCTGATAGTTTCTCGATTTAACTTCTTGTAAGAAGTTAGTGAGCAGTTATGTTTATGGACATTTTCTTTTCCAGCAAGGCTGTTTTGGCCTCTCGTAATTATTATTTTTTCTTTTTTAGTTTCAAGATTGATCCAATGAAAACTCCTCGCATTACATATTTGTGTGCTTTCTAAATTACTGTGGGGGAGAGAGTAGATGTTAGAGTTGTTATAAAAATAGTCAGAAAGAGCTTCAGTGCTAACTTTTGGGTCATTAAATAATAAGTTGTTTAATTTCCACTGGAAGGATTTAGTAAGGAGGGGATTTTTATTACAAGAGACAGGGATGCATGATTTGACCATGTGATTGATCTGTTATCACAGGATTGGATCAATTGTAGAAATTGATGGGAGAGGAGCATCATGTCCAGCCGTCAGTATGTGTCTGTGGCTGGAGAGTAATAGGAGTAATCTCTCATATGGTGAGGGATAATATGCCATCCATCATATAGTTGGGATTGATCTAAGAGTTTTCTCATGGACAATTGATAGTCTAGGGCAGTGTAGGATGCACAGAGATCCAAGTCAAGTGTGGTATTGAGGTCACTCCCTAATATTAAGATTCCCTCTGTAAAATGGTCCACAGTACGTAATATTTTACTGAAGGTTCTGCCTTGCCTCCTATTTGGGAGATATACATTACATAAGTAACCATAGTTTGATCAATGAGGCCCTTAACTATCACCAGCCTACCATTGTCTTCAGATTCATGGGCTTTATACATAAAAGGGAGTTGGGCTGCAAGCAATTCACTCAGTATAATTTCTTTTAAAAGAAAATTATTCTCAACAATGAGATGATGCTTATCTTAGTTGGTTCTTTACAAATGTTCTTAAATTCCTTTCATTGCTTCCCCCAGTGAGTTAAAGTATCCTTAATACATTCTTTATCTGCGGGTAGGAGGTGCTTGGTCAAAAAGACCACAGAGGGATCTATTTATCTATTGAGCAAAAGAAAATGGTACTAGTGAGTAAGCTGGGTTTTCAGTTACCAAAATTGAATTGTGTATAATTGAAAACCAAGTTGCAATATTTAGTGTCACTTCGCTGCATTTCTCTTCAGTTCACTTTGTGATACATAAATCCCAAGTTGTTGTGCACGCCTGCAAGTTGAAAAAGGTAAGGAAGACTTTTTATCTTATACATTTTTATGTTTTATGGCAAACAGGGAGAATGGGAGTCCTTAATGGAGCATTGTATCCCTAATCTTATAGTGTTCCTTTAAACTTGCATAGATTATACCGGAAACAGCTTCCATTTCATTGCAGTTCAATTGCTTTCATGTATTGTAGAGGTAAGTTTTAGTCTGACATGTCATATTATTGTTCACTTCATTATAATTGACATCAAAGTACAAACAAGTAGTAAAGCACTGTGGTGTCATAGACACACATCTGCCCACAACAGTTTGTCTCAAAGAGGATATGGGAGAGACACTGTCTTCCTTTTTTTTGTACGTCATTGTTAGTGAGTGATTATTTAGTTGTAAGTGGAGCAGTATTAAATGTGCAATATACAATGTATACAACCGTATTCTGTTACTCCTCCAATAGGTGGCGCGTGATTAATGTAATGTTTGGATTGGTAAATTGGGATTGCACTAAGGTGTGTAGCAGATATCAATTTAGCAAGTCACAATAGTGCTTTTTTCTGCCCAACCTGAATATATCGGCTTTTTTAGCACTCCAAAATTGTTTATTCTTATGTCAGTAGTGATTACATCGGCAGTCTCAACCTAATGTCTTCAGCATTAAATTGGCCTAAGTCTGACTTAGACAAATGGTAAATTTACCCTGTACAGTAACTGATCTATAATATAATACAATACCTAAAATATAACATATTCAAGTGGAAGACTGAAGCAATGATCATTTCAAGTATGTTTCATCAAATAATGACAATTAGATTGTACGGTTTACTAATTGTAGTTACATAATTTATTTTTTTTATTTATTTTTAGTAAATTTCAATTTATTATGATGTTTACCAAAAAAAACTGACAACAAATCTGCAAATAAATAATAGAAACATATGTAGTGCGGACTATCTGGATAGTAAAATGTAAAAGTGGGGAATAAAGGAAAAAACTCACATTTACAAGAGCCCTATCATCCCTGGCTCTGGGTTTGCAAGGCTCCACTTGAGAGGGAAATATCCCACACTATATAGATAGAATCCGAATGGTGTGTTCTCTGAAGTCAGATAGTTCTAAGTAAAATAGGACAGAGAGAGGCAGAAACCCCTAATTGAATAGCATCTTCAACAATTTATTAATAAAAAAGGGCTAAAAACTCTTACTATGCAAGTGGTGGGTTATGCCAACAAAGCTACCCACATAAAAGCATGTGTACATCAAATGAAAACAGCTTTAGCCACTTGATAACAGTCACTTCCTGGTTTCGTCCATCCCGATCACGTAATCACGTCCGGGTCCACCGCTTCAATGACGTCTGCATGTCGCATTTCGCCCACCTACCTGGGCTTCTTCCGACGACATCATAGATCTCTAGCCCCTTCTTTTAAGTCCCTAATTCCTCACCTTCTGTTTTTTTATTGGTCCGGGAGCGTGGTTTAGTTGTAGGGAATTCATTCTGTTCTTCCTCTATGGGAGTGTGTAATAGGGCTAGTGTCAATCCTCTTGTTACTCATAGAAACTGTAAGAAATGCAGATAAACTGCTGATGTATATTATACAATATTACACTTCCAATAAGCATATATACACAACCACATTCAAATGCAAACATTTTAAAAATAAAAATAAAATTCAGAGAAAGCCCACGTTTATGCAGTTATAACTTTTCTTCCAATACACAACATTAAGTTAATTCAGAAGTAGATTTAGAGAGCATAAAATCACCATCTGAATCCTAAGAAACCAAAAGCCTAGATGGATATAAATATAGAAATATATTAAAATAAAATGAAGTACAATTTAAAAAAAAAAGCACATCTGAATGTTACAGCAATTGCTTTAGCTATATATATCTGTAGGTGAATTTACTGAAAATATAGAGAAAAAAATCCTCCATCTAAATCAACAAGGAAAATACAACTAAATAAAGTTCTATAATATATTGCATCTAACACTATTGATACTAATAATGATCGCGAGGAGTTAGTGATATATATATATATATATATTAATTTATAGTGACAGCAGTGTCAAAGTTTAATATCTATCAATAGGGCTCACATACAAGTATGAATCAAGCAAAGAGCTATACATACAGATACAAATTCCCGTTGTTTTAAAAAGAAAGAACAAGGTGAGGAATTAGGGACTTAAAAGAAGGGGCTAGAGATGATGTCGCCGGAAGAAGCCCAGGTAGGCAGGCGAAACACGTCACTGGAGAGGCAGACCTGGAAGTGATCACGTGATCGGGACGGATTAAAACCGGAAGTGACTGTTATCAAGTGGCTTCAGCCGTTTTCATTTGATGTACACGTGCTTTTATGTGGGTAGTCTTGATGGCATAACCCACCACTCGCAAAGTAAGAGTTTTTGGCCCTTTTTTTATTAATAAATTGTTGAAGATGCTATTCAGTTAGGGGTTTCTGCCTCTCTCTGTCCAATGTTACATAGAACCATCTGACTTCAGAGAACACACCATTCAGATTCTATCTATATAGTGTGGGATATTTCCCTCTCAAGTGGAGCCTTGCAAACCCAGAGCCAGGGGTGATAGGGCTCTGGTAAATGTGAGTTCTTTCCCCCATTCCCCACTTTTACATTTCATTATCCAGATAGAGTGCATTACATTTGTTTCTATTATTTATTTGCAGATTTGTTGTCCTCAGTTTTAGCGTGCTTTTTTGGTAAACATTATTTATATCTGTGTATACTTTTTGTGTCATTGTGGTTTAGTGCAGCTAAACTGAGTGCTTTATTACCTTCATAGCACTTACACACTGTTGGTTTTTCAATTTATAATAGTTTAAACATGATGTGTTAATTTAAACCTAGACTCCATATTGAAAACAATGACGCACTGAATGCTCACAAAATTGAGCAATAGCTACGCTATAATGTTTATTTTTAATTTTTTTTTATATAACAACATTTTTGTTCTGTTGCAAGATTAAATTGTTTGTGAACTTTCGTATTCCAAGATACAACACTGCTCATATGGCATTGGTTACTTTACATAAACCTTGGTTTTGTGATTCTGTCTCAATTGGATACATGTGAACGGGAAGTGCGTAGGCATGCTTGAGGTAGAAAGTATTTAGTATTATAAGATCTTATCCTTATGTTTTCAGGCTAGTGCACCAACCATCTTGCTGGAAATCAACATACATATTCTAAAAATACAAAATGTACTTACGGGCAAAGTATGTGAGGTAAATTGGGTCTGATTGTTCAAGTTGAAGAGATAATTGTGGGACAGATACAAAGTGGAAACAGCCATTCAATTTTAACCAAATCCCATTTACAGTAATTACAGAAAAATGTTCCAAACTGCAATTGTGATAATTTTGTCAATCTTTAATTGAACTATTGTTTTATTAATTCCTCTTTTAGCTACTGGAACAAAAAACAAAATCATGTAACTTCATTAATAATATATATACTCATAATGTTTGCTTTGTTTATCTAAACTATGAGGCTATTTTGATTGGAAAAAAACTTAGGGAAATTACTTCATCCAGTGAATCAAAGATATTGTTGGCCATGAACACAAATTGTATTATTTTGTATAAGTAATATAATAATCAATTTAGAGAATGAACATACACCCAGATACATGCGGCACAGATTATGACTTGTGAAAGCAACCAATGCCATCCAGCATACATTGTGACTGAATTTAAATTACAAAGTTTGTGTTCTTTGAAACCTTGGATACCTAATAAGACTGAACCATCCATACTGTATTCAATATATTTCATCAAATGGACACACAAGTTCAGTAGATAATTTTGCCCAAAACTGTTTTAGCACTGAAATCTGCAGCTGTTATTTGTCTAAGGCTCCAATACACCACAGCCATTCTCAAAGACAGGATATGTATGACTAATATAAGTTTATGGGAGAAGTAAAACAGCAAACGGAGGGTTGCATGCAAATGTGCCTGGTTATGGTGATATTCCATCGAGAGACGGTGAAATGTTAAGAAACAAACAAAAAAAAGTATATAAAGTAACTCAGATAGCAAATTGGCCAGATCACTGCACTGACATTTAGTAAATGTCTCTTAGTTTAGTAAGAAGTTAATACAATAAAGCATAGCCAGTTACAGACACAGTTGTGATATTACAATGTTATTACAAGACATAACAACATATCCTGGTCCTTTTACAGCACAGGTTGTACTTTGTACAACAGAGTACATGCAAAGGATAACTAAAATAATCATAAAATATTTTATTGTGAGCGCAGTCATTTTTTTGATGATTGAACATTTTCTCCACAAGGTGTATTTTGCCCAGTAAATAGTACACTGAAGCTCTGTCATGGTTATTCATTAATGTATAGTACGCAGATGTATCAAATCAATAAAGATAAGAACAGTGAGTCTCTATGTAACAAAGTAGCTTTTTGTGAACAGTCTTTTAGAGTCGAAGAATGAAATCCGTAAAGACAATGTTGGCTTATTTCCAGGTAATTTCCAGTGGATACAGGTATATAAACAAAAAATGTGAAAAATTATGATTAGAAAAAACCCTATCAAGCCCATGGAGGCAGAAATTCAATCATGTAGTGTAAAAATTACTTTTATTAAAACACAATTCCTTATTCAAATACCATGCAATTAATAAAATGCAAAGAAATATGTTTGGAAGTTACTGACTCTCATTACTGGCATCCAGCCCAAACACGTAATTGGGAATAGACTGTTGCAGATCCACCTTTACCTGGTGAAACTAACGAGCACTCGGGACGCTGAGCATAACTCATAATGTCTGCAAACCGTCACCTTTTATATTTGTATTTCCAGATAGTGATATACATTTTATTAATTGCATCTATAGTATTTGAATAAGGAATTGTGTTTTTTTTTTTTTTTAAAGTAATTTTTACACTACATTGTTGAATGCCTGCCTCCATTTAAGGCTGGTTGGTTTTTCCTACTCATATTTTTTTCTTATATTTTTTATTTATATACCTGGATCCATTGGGAATTACCTGGAAACAAGTCAACATTTTGGACTTAATGATTACTTCAGGAACTATAAAAGACTGCACAAAAGCAACTTTGTTTCATAGAGACTCACATTCTTATCTATATTTATTGGATACATCTGAGTATTGTTTTATTATTATTATTGCCATTTATATAGCACCAACAGATTCCGTAGCGCTTTACAATAATATGAGAGGGGGGATTTAACTATAAATAAGACAATTACAAGAAAAGTTACAGGAACGATCGGTTGAAGAGGACCCTGCTTAAACGAGCTTACAGTCTATAAAGTTTGTACAATTTAAGATAACTGTTTAGATATAGAGAATAAGGTGAATTCGTTTTTTGCACATATTAAGTGATTTTAAAAGGTCAATAGGTTTCCTATGTTTCACCCTTTTTTGTCAATTTTAAATATCTTATTAAAATATTTTTTTTCTAGGCGCTCCTCTAGAACATAGCTAATTTATTAATTAATGAAGTCTTGCCATTTTCATTTTACTTCTAATGTAAAAACAAGACAGACTTACTTAAAAACATCTTAACAATTCAACAATGTTATCCCAAATCTAGAATTTCCCACAATTCACACTTTAGCAAACAACTCTGTAAATATATCTGTATGTATGTGACACCGCTAAGGAAAGTAAGATATATTTGTGAGTTGACTAGACTAATTAAAACCTATCAACAAAGTTGCATATCAATCTACATTTAAAAAAAAGGACTTAAATAAATCAAGTTCAACATTCCACACAGCTGTTTCCATAGTTTATCCAAAAGAAGGCAACTCCCTCCTCTTAACACTGTTAATTCCAAAATGGCAATCCAATATCTACTTAAATCAACATACTGTTACCACCTACATACCTGCTTGTCAGACCACCTTATCAATAAGTGTCCTAGCGATAAATCCTCATAGATTCTAAGCTTGTTTGAATTCTGTCAAGTTTGTGCTAACGTTTGCTTTACATTTTTAAACATCAAATACCTATGCAATCTCTATAACATTAACTATTGTTCCTGAAATCCACGTGTAAAGCATATAACTTACCAAAATAGAAAGACATTCCAAAGATAGATAACTGGCATAACTATTTCCAAGTCACTTCAGTTCTAAATGTTCTTTGAGAAATAAATTGCATTATATATTAGCATTTGTTTTTTTGTTCTTAAGGGAAGAAAATAATCTGATATTAGTTGATAAGTTATCTGATTTCAGACACTTTCCCATTTGGAAGAAGGCCTCACAATTTTGGCACACTGGCCATAGAAAATTAGATGTCAACTTTTCTGGTGGATTCCATTCAATAGACTTCTTGCCTTCTGGACACATGCAAATTCCCTTGGCAGTAACAATCCCCCCACCATATTGGAGGAAAGGATGGAGATTTATTAAAATGTTCTGAAAGTTTCTTTTATTTTTGGTCTCTGAACTGTTTGTATTTATTAAACCATTTTAAGCCTAATGAAAATGTGTGTCTGGTCAGTAACATTATTTGTGGACTCCTGATAAAGAGCTGTTTTGGCATTCTTTTGGTGTTTACTTCAGTCTAATGATGTGTCCACTGAGTACGGGTGATGCCAGCTTTACAACAAAGTAACTGTCAGTGCAACTAGTGTAACACAATAATAAACTGGGAGTTTTGAAAAATAAATAAATATGATTATTATTGTTTTTATATTTTTTTACATTGTATGCTCTTGAAACCCAGAATCCTCGAAGAATGGAATAGAAGCCCATTTTTAGATGTCATTTGCCATCAGCTTATTGTTTACTAGGGATATTGTGGGAGCCCCAGAACAACAAACCACTTTAAGATGCTAAATAAAAGTTTATTTAAAATATTGTTTATTAGGTAATTACAATGCATATTAATACATTATTATTATTCCCTGATAACAATCTTAAAAACTGGTTGCACATATTCTGCTACAGTTAGAAAATGTAGACTAAGTAAGTTAATCACCTGTTCTGTGAAAAGGGAATACAAGTACAAAGGAAAGAGTTGCATGTCATAATCTCCCAAATCATACTCACACACACAGACAAACTTAATTTGTTTCTTCTTTATTCCTTTTACAGTATTCTAATTAAGCTCCAAACTAATATGATTTTTGTTCTTCCAACAAAATATTTCCCACATATCATTTATAATACCAAGCTGTGTTTGATTTAGAGCTAACCAAATGCAAGAAAAATAAAACCCAGAACAAGTAAATTAATTGAGGTAGCAAAAGTTTTAAAGAGAAACTATAATGCCAGGGAAACACAGTTGTTTTCCTAGCACTATAGCTTAAAAACCTTCTGTGACTTACCTAAGTCCAGCAATGATGTCCCTCAGCGCTGGCTCGGGCTCCACTTTTGTTGCTCCCCTGCTGTTGTCAGCCAGCAGGAGAGACATAATGCTCATGTGCGTGACCGAGCTCGCATTAGTACTTCCCATAGGAAAGCATTCTACAATGCTTTCCTATGGGGTTTCGGGTGATGCTAGATGTCCTCATGCATAGTGTGAGGACGTACAGCATGAGTAAGGTGACCAAAAGTAGCCTTACGACCCGAAAGTTTCTCTAGTGGCTGCCTGGTAGACAGCCACGATCGGTGGAGTTAACCCTAACGGGTAATTATTGCAGTTTATTAAAAACTGCAATAATTACCTTTGCAGGGCTATGGGACTTGGGAATATGCATCTAGACTAGTTCAATGAGCTGAAGTGGTCTGGATGCCTGTAGTGTCCCTTTAAGTTGTATTATAGCCTGGTGGTCCTTTCCTTCTTTACAACTGACAGACTAAACAACCTATGTTAGGATGGACTATACAAAAGGGGGAAATAAAGGAGTCAGTACTTTTTTCTCTTTCTGTGAATAACTAGCCTTCATGCATTAGGTTTTGTTCTGGGTGGTGCCAGTTATTTATTTGTGTGCGTATGGCTTATGATTTGTGTGACATTGAATATGTCAGTATATAAACTAAACAATAGGTTTTTTTTCCCATATACATTCAGTGTTTACAAAAATGAGAATCCTTTAATCTGAAATATACAAAACCATGGGTTATGTTATTATGGTGACAACAATGCCATCTTAGCATTCTGGAGACCTCATAAAGCATTTAACCTTTGATCTGTAGTTTATGATGTCTCCACAACCACTTGCCTTTAAATATTTTATTTATTAGTATTTCTGTCTGTCTTTTATATAATATAGTTAAATTACACGATCTTAAAGTGTATGTACAACTGTGTCATTAATAATTGAGTCTATCCATATTTTCCACCCTTTGTGTATCATATGTTGTAAAAAAAAATTAAGAGAAATCTTTATGTATATTAAAATATTGTGAATGGTGTTTACAGAGAGTGGACAATATAAGCACGGTGTCCGGGAAGCTATACCTCTGATGAAGTATGCAAACATGACTCTTGCAAAATAAAGCATAAAATCTTACGCAAATGTCAATGTTTATTTTCAAAAATATAAGCTATCTGCTAAAGTTTTGGGGAGTTTAAAAAAGGAACTATTAGTGTTTCTGGACATTACACCATTAAGTAAATCATTTGAAAATACCTACATCTAGTGATAACCTTTTTATTCACATTATTCTACATTTTTGTTTAAATGTTCATTAACAGTTGACATCACAATCCAGTTTATTAATGGCATAGACATGCATAAGAGGATGCGATGCAGGAATAGTTTTTGTTTTCACTTCAACATGCCAGGCTGGATATTTTTTTTATTTATTTAATCCTCTGTACTATGTTCAAATACATAGAAGAGAAGAGCTTATAACTGTGGTGGGAAGGAGGGCAAGATTAAGGTGTTCAGTTCACAGATGGGGCTAAATATATTGATGTGGATTTCAACATTTCATTCTATCTTTCAGACCTCACAAATACATATAGTAAACATAGTATTACAAATCCTGGGGAAGTTACAGTTCCCCTTGAAGTTACCAAATCAAGCATGGTTCAATGATTTACACAAACTTGTCAACTCCTTCCTACTGGCATAGGCATCTTAAAAGTAATTCACTGCAAAATAAAGCATAAAATAAATGGGAGCAAGCTGTTTATTTGCATCAATTGTTATATGAGTAGACATGGGACAGGCCACAGACATGCCACAATATGTTTGTTGCATATTTCTGGACACATCCTGGTTGGTAGGAGGGTGACTACATGATTGTTGGCTTGGGAACTATAGAAAGGTTTTAAACCTTTGTCCCCTTTATCGACATTACTTCATGTTTACTCATGGTTACTATCCCACTTCCTCTCATCAACATATTTCCTTAGAACATCTATAAATTATCTCCTAGACATATATTTTAGTACTTACTGATGAAATATTTTATAACCAGATGAGTGCAGGTCTCATGGGTAGAGGAGACAAAGAGCAAGCTTGATATATAAGATAACAGATTCTTTAGGTGCTGCTCAAACTCCCTACGGAAACTGAAGCTGTTGTCCTTATGTTATAGGTTTCTACTGAATTTCCTGTGGACCATACCTTCTCCTTTATGGTACAATATGAAAAAGAGAGTGGGATTAAGGTAGGGCCAAGTAAATGGAGCAAACTGCTCAATCCATTGCGAGAAGTTACCAAGTGTTACTCACATCTGGAGGCCCACACCTTGTATAGGTGGTACCTGACCCCAACCAGATTGAATAATATATATAAAACGCCTAATAAATGCTGGAAGTGTCAGACTCGGGATCAATGCTCCACATTTGGTGGAAATGTTCTTATATCCGCCCTCTATGGCTAGAGGTATCCAAAATACTCCATGAGTTGCATATTAATTGCCTTTTGGACCATAGGTATATCTATGGCTTGACTTGCCACAGCTACTATCAATCTGTGAAATGGCATTAGCCTCTCATGTAGAGATGGTTGCCAGACATTTAATAACTTGATTGACCTTTTATGGGTATTAATTAAGAGCACTGATCAATGGTCCTTTATGTTTGATTTCTTTTATTATTTTTTCATAAGGATTTTTTTTTTGCCTTATAATTGTTGCTACTCAATTGTTTTTACATTTTGTATTTGTGTCAGCAAGACAACATACAGTTACTGACGTCAGCATTACTCTGACTATATATTTTTTTAAATTGTATTTTTATTGATTTTTAGATTCGGCAAAACAGGTCAGGGAAATAACATATACATTGTGCGATATTAAGTCAACAGTATATATAATGTATGCTAACAAGGTACAGATCGATGATTCTGTTGTGATGGATGCGACTGCATCTTCACTATAGCAAATATTGTTACATTGTAGTTCCATTCCATAAAACAATCATGTCCTTGCTTTATAAATTTACACCAACCTATAGCACAGGAACTTTAACACTGAGGAGGGGAAAGGGAAGGGAAAGATATGGGACTCTATGTATGTCGTAAGACTAATCCTTATTTTATGAGGAGGAGTATCCGACAACCCTTGAGGCTTCTTTATGTTTGTTATAGAAGTTATCCCAGGCCATACGCCATGTTTACCTCCCATTATATGTTTCCTTGATGACATTTCATATGTTTTGACTAGTGAGACCTGGTCTAGTATTTATTTCAATGTAGGGGTGGTAGTTTCATCATCTAGCAAGCAGTGTCAGTGTAGCCACCAATATGTGAAACACAATACATTTGTTAATTGATCAATCTTCTCTCTCCACCTAGTCTGGCTTGGCTGTTTGGGTTTTATTCTCTAAAAAAAAGTGGAGTTTATCTGTTTCTCTTGTTGCTTCTTTGATTTAAGGTAAGGCCAGTCCCTAGCCTGATAGCATCTATGCATTTCAGGTGCTAGCCACATACCCCACTCTAAATTGTAACAACTTGATGGACAAAAATTGAACACTAAAAAAAGATACTAGGTGGTTAATTTACTTGATGTCGTCTTACTTTCAATTATATTTTTCTACCAATATGTAGGTTTACAGGATAAACTGATGATTAGTGGTGACAGTTATTTGTAAGAAGCTAACTATTAACAATAACAACTGTGTGACAGTCCGTAATGTGCCAAGGTTCTTTTCCTCTCTATCCTTTGTAAGGTTAAATTGCAACACATACACAGTTTATGATAAAACCATAATAATAAGATATGCAAAGGAATTTGCTTTTGTTTCTATATTTTTTCTTTTACTCAAAAATAATATTCTAGTCTATAGAGTGGCAAGCAGCCTGTTTCATTGATTGAAAAGTGAATACATACATGCATGCATTCCAACACTCCGTTTAGGTAGCAGTCAAATAAATTATAGATAAAATATATTAATATATATACAAGTTCTATGGTATGTAGCCCATCTTATTCAAAAGTTTACACGCACAATAGCATTATTAAAATGGGGATATAGACATTGGTTAGAATAATTATAATAACAATAAAAAAATAACCATACTGTGACGAAATGCCTTTTGTCACTGGATTGTTAGGTGACAAGCTGCCCTTTGCCCCTGGCTGTTGGAGGAGCCTGATTGCTTGCCTCCTTCCTCATGACTATGGCCCTGGGGTGTATTGCCATTTAAAAAGACTATTTGGGGCTTATTGGCTTCTAAAGACTGTTTCTGCATGCCCAAAAGCCTGAAAAAGGCTTCCAGCTCAAAACTGCACAATCAATAAAAGAATCAGTTATGCCTTTGTAGTATAACCCCTTGTAACCAATACTAGCCTAGCCAATAGAAAGAAAAACATTCTTGGATGGATAAGTTGGCAATTTCATGTCTCCCAAGACTCAATTCATAGCCAAGTAATAAAGATTTTACCAAGTTGAAATTAGCTCACCCTGGCATTAAACTATATATGTTCAGTTGTCTCCATAAGAGCCCAATTTTCAGAGACTCTGTTTAAGCAACATATAATCACTAGTAAAAATACTATAAGAGCATGAGTAGAAAACAAGCAAAAGGCCGCTGTAGGCAGACAGTTAAATAAGCTAATCTGCCCAGACCCACTAATGGCTTCTTATAGACAGAGCGCTGTTGAAACCTTCTCACAAGGACTCACTGCTCTTACACTGATGCTAAGATTTCTGTGGTCACTACTATTTTGTTCCCATAAGCTAAACACAGAGGAGCAAAACGAGGATGGAGGGACACGAACTCCAAACTGGGACTGTCTCACTGAACAGTCTCCGACATATATTACATGCTGCTGCTGCTACCACCTTTTCCCAAAATCCCACCACCAAAATCCAGTAAATGGTGGATTTTGATTGTTGAAGATCTAGTAATTTCCAAGTGCTCTGTTCTTTAATAAAATGTGTAATGAAATACCTTCAAGGGGTAGATCAACTAAGGGGTGTATCACAAAATTGTCAAGTGTCACACACATAATGTAAACCGTTATGGAGAACCACCAATATCACAAAACTAAAAGAAACCACAACAAATACAAAATAAAAATGAGAAATAAACAATTGCACATGTGGAAGTAATACAATACAGCTCAACGTATTTGACACTCTCAGAAATAGATAAATAAAACAGCATAGAAATCCAAAGGAAATCCCCCCATGATAAAACTATTGAAACAAGAGCTATGCAGAATAAGTGTCATAATTAGACTAATAAAAGGAAGGTTTAGAAGGGAAATTTCAACAAAGCACCATAATTAACTACCATAACTCCAGAGTTGTCATGAGTTGAATAAAACCAACTACAAACATATATTGGTAGGATGCTACCAAAAAGTGTAACATTGTGTTACTAAAATAGTGGAAATCATTTATGATAATAAATCCTAAGTATTCCAGATGACTAAATGCACTTTACTTTTTGAGACACTATCCTGAGCTTTGGAAGCTCATTTCCAATTTCATAAATTTTTATTTAAAAAAAAAAAAAATCGGCTTCTAATTATTTTATTGTAGTTTTGTTATATATTTATCAAACCTTAGATTTGATTAATTTAGTTTAAATTTTCTTATCTGTAGAATGCTTTCATGCTACTCTTGGTTTTTACATTTTATACCTTGTATCATTATGACAATGCAATGTTGCCTTTTAGTGATCATGTATTCCCGGCCCTCTATGATACCGAAGTATTTCCGATGGCTAAATGGATCCACTATAGAAGAACAGTGTATGCTGCGTAGATTAATCTTGTTAGCTTTATATAATGTTTTGATGCTTTTTTTTGCGATATGCCTCTAATGAAGTAGAAAGGTCTGCAAAATGCGTTAGGCTGAAAAGCATATTTTCTTTGACACGCCTCCTAACTTTGGCAGGAATTGTTGGAATGAACATTGAAGGCTTGTTCTGGTACTAAGGATCTACCCATGAGCAGGGACAGAGCTAGACCAGCACTCTGCCTAACAGTTGTTGGATCAGAATCGTATTGCTATCTGCTGTCTTGTGAACTACAAACAAGGAGGACTTTACTCCTGATATGACTATACTTTTTGGGGATTTTGTAAGTGTTTACATTTTGTGTCTAATAAATCATTTGTTTTTGTGGAAAGCAGTATATTCTGTTGATTTTGTATTCACCGAGGATACAGTCTCTGACAAAGTGGAATATCATCATTGAAGAACCTTTGGATTTTTTATGGACATTTATTATTCTATATTGCTCTGGTTTCCATAAATTCATTGTGAGGTTTTCCTGCTGGATTTCTATGTTTTATTTAATTAAATATGTCTTAGCCTTTAAATTAGTTTTAGTAACAAAATGCACAATTTCAGTAACATGTGAGCAGTATTCCATTATGTCATGTTTTTCACTGAAACAAAAATGTTTTTAAAATTCTTTTTATATTTACTGTTCCTAAAAGCAGCCAATTGTTTGTTCTATTGAGTTGCTCGCCAATATGCAAAAGTGTTTGGCTGCACACTTGGCGACCTGCAGGTTAGACAGAAAGCATATGACAAACAAGCCCCTGTTCATTCTCCTAACATTTTTTACATTTGACGCTCAATAATTTCTGCCGGGCCATTACTGAAAAGATGTCTGAGTGAAAGGGGGCATGCAGACATAGATTTAAAAAAAAAAATCAATGAACCATGGGAATAAATCTATACACACTGGCTTTCATTAATCTTGTCTCATGAAGCGTTATATTCTAGTTCATTGTGTGGGATGGGGGTTGATGTGTTATAATTGAAGCTAATTCAGAAAAGGGACATTTTTGATGATTCCTTCATTTTTTTTTATAGGTACAGTTTATTTCTCCCTTTCAATTTTTTTTTTTTAAAGTTAAAAAAGATTTAGATGTATAAATAAATCTATATATTAAAAATATGTATTTTATGTGTTGTATATAACTCCCCTTCAGTAACAAATATTAGTGATTACATAAAACTAAAAAACAGCACATTTTTAAACTGTTCTAAAAAGTCAAGTTTTTGGTGAAAAATTCACTAACTATTCAGAATTTGTTTCAGTCAGAAAACATCAATCCCAATCTCACATAGTGTTAATTTGTTTTTGTTTGTTTAACAGTGGTGGAATTGTCAGTGCCATTATAACAATTTATTTTTCCAAGCTACTCCAAACTAGAATGACCCACTTAATAATTTACTGTATGGCTGTATAGAACATTTTGGCATAGGGTATATGGGGACAAGTTTGTAATGACAACATAGTGTATCATTTGGTCCTTAAGTGGTTAGAACACACTTTTCAACCATCTTACAAAAGTTAGCTAGTTGCATGTTGAGGTTGTTTTTATTTACTTTTTTTTCCCATGTGCAAATGAGGAACTAGGATCAGAGAGGGTTTTTTTTCAGTATCACATGTTTTAGTTTTAATTTAAATAAGAACTGTCACTTGTTACTTAATTGCACATTCGGGTATATGATATGTCATTTGTTTTGCCTATTAATTTATTTTTTTAAAGAAAAATCATAAAAATGCATTTCTAATGCATGGCATGCAAAATGAATAAGTCCAGTGATTCCATGGACATATCATTATGGGGAGAATACAATTAAATAGCACAAAAGCAGTACCAATCATCCAAAAGTGCAACAAAGGTTAGTGTGTTTATACTTCTCTAAGATTTATACTTAAAAAAGCACAGTACCTATTTAAACATAGAAACATAGAATGTGACGCAGATAAGAACTATTCGCCCCATTTAGTCTGCCCAGTTTTCAATATATTTATATTAGTCCCTGGCCATATCTTATAGCTAGGATAGCCTTATGCCTCTCTATATTTAGGGTTTAATCCCTGGAGTACCTCTGTAACCTTGATTGAGGTTAGTAGTGCTGACTAGTTCAACACTTTAACCTTTTTCTCTCTTTCGTTTTTGTATTTTGCCTTATGCCTATCCTACGCATACTTAAATTCCCTCACTGTGTTCACCTCTACCACTTTAGCTGGAAGTCTGTTCCATGCATCAACTACCCTCTCAGCAAAGTAATATTTCCTGATATTATTTTTAAACCTTTTTCCCATCTAATTTAAGACTATGTCCTCTTGTTGTGGTAGTTTTTCTTCTTTTAAATATAGTTTCCTTCTTTACTGTGTTGAAGAGGAAATGTATACCCTGTAAGATCTGTATTATACTTGTATTTGGAAATTTCTCTCAAAATATGATGTTCATGCTTTAGGACACCATCTTCAGACTTATGATGTTCAGACTTTATGACACCATCCTGTCCTAGGGTAGTGGAATTCCCCAAGTCAGGGAATTTCCCACGACATGTGCACGCTTCTATTTTACTCCAAACATAGATAAGATGTTCCCATGTAAAATGACCAAGCCATGACGTTGTATCTTTTCCAAGTTAAAGTAAGGTCCTGACATGACCTAATTTAAAATCTAAGGTATAAATATTTGTTATTAATATTAGACACAGATAATAGAATTTGGATGCAGAGACGCATCTCCATTTTATCATGACTGTCAGGTTGACTTGTTCAAGAGGGTATGTTATTCTATTTTACTGTTATTGCAAGCATATACTTTAATCTTATTAACTCTGCTATGAATTATTGTAATAGATTATTACATTTTTATATGTTTATATTTTTATTTAATATAGTATTTAAAAAGACAAAACTTTATTGCTTCCAAGACAATCCCTATTTTATAATGTATTCTCTATTATTTATATATTTGAAATAGAGGAACTAAGATATCTGTATGGTTAGCCATAATAGTGGTAAATAGGAGAACCAACAGCGGTCACAGTGCTGTTTTTTTCTAAAACAATAAAATAATAAAAAAACAGTAAATAGTGAAACTAACCATTTTTTACTATTTCACTAGGAATTATGTGATAGTCACTGTTATCCTCTAAACCAAATAATTGCCTAATTTGTCAATTCTAATTTAACCAATTATCCTTTTAACTTGGCACGTTTCCTATAGTTGAACAGGACAATAGTGCCATTGAAATTGTGATACACTTTTAGAGCAGCATTAATAAGAGTGCTGTTAATACTACTGTTAAGCATTTGGGTGGAGAATCCAAAGGTTAATATCTGGGTTTGGGGATTACTAATAATACATGTAGAATTGGCACTTGGTGTAGCCCCATAAGACTGGTTAGGAGTTACACCAGAACACAAGATGATGTGGCCAGTCCTGACATCTCCTGTGTCCATGTTTGTTTAGAAAATTATCCACATAGTTTCTGGGGTGCACCTTTGAACGCCCTCTGTCTAAATCTGGTGGCTTGAACTCATAGTATATGATAATAGTAATAATAATAGCGAGTTGAACTGCAGTCTTGCTATGTCTACGTTGTTATCAATGTGAAGCTGACATTTTTCGGAGTTTTCGAGGCACTATTTAAATAATGAATCTTTTTTGACATACACTATCATGCCGAACTTACCTTTCTTTAATCGATTACTCTTCTCTCCCTCTCTCAGGATCTGTTTTTTATTTCTTCCTGTCTGCTCTAGTTTTCTTTAAAACATAAGACAAAGTAGGGACTATTTGTCTTATGGAGGTTTCCTACGCCTGACTATCTCTGACCAGCGTAGGAGCAAAGTGTGCTTCATTTCCGAAGGTCAGAGACATTTTCCCACAATTCTAAGCTTTCCTCCCAGTTTCCACGATGCTTCCTGTCAGTATTCCCGAACATCCTGTCATTTAGATAGGACGCCGGCGAAACTGCCAAACAGAATGAGAACAGTTTATTAATTCGTGTTAGGACACAATTCGGGACTTTGTTCATATCAGGATTTCATTCTAATGAATGAAATTCCATTTCTATTCGTGCCGCTTAGTAGATAGCTCTCTAATTCCCACGGTATTAGGGAGCTATCTACCAAAAGGCTGAAAGACCTAAATTGGTCTTTAAGCCAAATTTACTAATACTAAGTAAAGGTTACTTAATATTAGTAAATGGTGCCCCTACTTGCTATACGGTGAGTAGGGGCATGTCTACTAAACAGTAATCAGTCTGTGGCTCCAAACAGAGGCAGTGAGTGGGGGTTAATAAATCAAAGGGGAACTAGTGTCACCCCAGCCCACACCTATGGGTAGCAGGTCTAGGCATCATGCCTTTGTACACCTCCCATCCACAGGCTTTGAGAAGGGAATACTAATGACAATAGGGACCAAAATTGTGGTCAGAAAGCCTCCCATGTGGTTGATGGTCCCCTAGCAATCCACAATTAAAAAAAATGTTTGCATACTCTCTTTACCCTAATAATAGTGAGACGGTGCTGATAAATTTAAATTTATGGTAGTTAGTTCTTTTATTCCCCCCTCACTATTTTTAGGGTGAGGGGGGTAGGTAGGGGATTATTTTTTATTTGGGTGGCCTTTATGGTCCCCACCTGCCGCTCAGGAGTGGGTGCCGCGGGGAGGACAATAACCCCCCATTGTCATTTATTGCCCCCACCCGCCGCTCAGGGGTGGGGGCCGGGAGGATTTACTAGGGTTTTTTTATGTTTTTTTTTTTTAACAGTTAGCAGCCACAGGCTGCTCACTGTTTCGTAGACATGCCCCTACTCACGGTATATTGTTATTATGGGGGTCATATTGACCCCCATAGAGTGAGGGGAGATCTGGGGGGCTTTGAAAGTGGCGGGGAGCTCTGCTCCCTGCCGCTTCTATCTTTACATTTTACAAGGAGGGAGCTTGTTTGTTTGTTCGTCTGACATTTCTATTCATTCAATCATCTTTCTGAATGAATGAATAAATTAATTTCCCATTCGCATGCCCAAGTGTTTAACTGGGTATGTGCAGGAATTTTACAGCACTATCTAGTGTGGGCAGATGACGTGTCCCACAGGGACTTCATCTACACACACAAAGATGGCGGCGCCCAGAACCTAGGTCTGGGCATGAAATAAAGTTTAAAAAATAGGTAAAATGGGCAGCTTAGGGGCATTTGGTGGTGACTAGGGGGTAAATTAGATGTAGTGGAGTCGGGAGGGGGATTTAAAAAAAAACAGAATGTAACCATGACAGTGCCGCTTTAATTCATCTGCTGTCTCGGACAAAAACTCCTAAGCCTAATTTTACTTTATGTCACCTTGTTTGTATGAACAAATACATCTCTGGTTCCCATTCAGCTGCCTTTTCCAGATTAAATGATGTGTTATAAATGGATACATTTTTCAAAACTGCAAGTATATCTGGAATACACTCAGGATAGACGTGGGGAAATATATGTTAAGACACTCTTACATACACACACATGCACAATTTTTTTTAAATATATTTAACATATTGATATATTAATGCATTGCACTTTATAAAATTGGCTAAATATGCTCATCTAGTCCCTGATTCATTTTTTTCATTGCTTTATATTACCATGTTGTTTGCTCATTCTAGAGATGAGCAGTTCCCTCTTGAGATCCTTCTATTGACCTTGAACATTCTTTGCCATTCCATAGAAATCCAATTTCCTTACTTGCTCTTCATAATTTAATCTTTCTTACATTTATTAATGCTGTAGAAGTCTTTGTACTTCTTTTCAATTGCATAATGGATATTGTGAGCTGCAGCACAAAGATACACAAATTCCAGATGAAGGCTGTTGTATATTTTTCATATACTCTCTCCTTGTAGCACTAGTGTTAGACATATATGGTTATATGGTATTATCGTTTTTATATATTTTTTTCATTTTAAAAAGAATTGCCAAGTTAATACATTACACATTACATTATCTATCACTTTTCTAAAAGATCATATTAAGTTGTACTAGTATCATTCTGATTTTAAGAATTTTTTTAGTATATAAAATTTATAGAAAATGCATAAAAAGGAAAAAAACTGCTTTTATACAGAATGTGCATTTCAAAATCTTTATTAATGACTTAAATCGCTTAACTTCAGGTAGAAGCATGGGTATATTTTTTTTCCAATGCTAAAGTTAATGTAGAACGTATAACTATTGGGATACTTTAGCATTGCACAGTATGGACATATTTTTTTAACCAGATTCTCATATTTATTTTGAGATTTGTGGTTCTAAGTAACATTTTAATATTTAAAACAGTATATTTTGTTCGTTACATAGTTACATAGCTGAAAAGAGGCTTGGGTCCATCAAGTTCAGCCTTCCTCACATTTGTTTTTTGCTGTTGATCCAAAAGAAGGCAAAAAAAAAACAGTTTGAAGCACTTCCAATTTTGCAACAAGCTAGGAAAAAAAAATCCTTCTTGACCCCAGAATGACAGTCCGATTTATCCTTGGATTAAGCCGTTATTACCCTACATTGAAAAGATTATATCCTTGAATATTCTGTTTTTGCAAGTATGCATCTAGTAGTTGTTTGAACATCTGTATGGACTCTGATAAAACCACTTCTTCAGGCAGAGAATTCCACATCCTTATTGTTCTTACAGTAAAAAAACCTTTCCTTTGCCTTAGACGAAATCTTCGTTCTTCCAGTCTAAACACATGACCTTGTGTCCTATGTAAAGTCCGGTTTGTGAATAGATTTCCACACAATGGTTTGTATTGGCTCCGAATATATTTGTATAATGTTATCATATCCCCTCTCAGGCAACATTTTTCGAAACTAAATAGGTTTAAATTTGTTAACCTTTCTTCATAGCTGATATGTTCCATTCCTTTTATTAATTTTGTAGCCCGCCTCTGCACTTTTTCTAGTGCCATAATAGCCTTCTTTAGAACAGGTGCCCAACATTGCACAGCATATTCAATATGTGGTCTTACCAGTGATTTATAAAGAGGCAAAATGATATTCTCGTCCCGAGAATGAATGCCCTTTTTCATGCATGACAATACCTTACTGGCCTTGGCCACTGCTGATTGACATTGCACATTGTTGCATAGTTTGTTGTCTATAACAATTCCCAAGTCCTTTTCGTGTGTTGTTATCCCTAATTCGCTTCCATTAAGGGTATACGTTGCTTGTGTATTCTTTACGCCAAAGTGCATAACTTTGTATATTTCAACATTAAATTTAATCTGCCATTTGAGTGCCCAGTCCCCCAGTCTATCTAAATCCCTCTGCAGCAAAGTAATATCTTGCTCACATTGTATTAGTTTACAGAGTTTTGTGTCATCTGCAAAAGATTATATCCTTGAATATTCTGTTTTTGCAAGTATGCATCTAGTAGTTGTTTGAACATCTGTATGGACTCTGATAAAACCACTTCTTCAGGCAGAGAATTCCACATCCTTATTGTTCTTACAGTAAAAAAACCTTTCCTTTGCCTTAGACGAAATCTTCGTTCTTCCAGTCTAAACACATGACCTTGTGTCCTATGTAAAGTCCGGTTTGTGAATAGATTTCCACACAATGGTTTGTATTGGCCCCGAATATATTTGTATAATGTTATCATATCCCCTCTCAGGCAACATTTTTCGAAACTAAATAGGTTTAAATGTGTTAACCTTTCTTCATAGCTGATATGTTCCATTCCTTTTATTAATTTTGTAGCCCGCCTCTGCACTTTTTCTAGTGCCATAATAGCCTTCTTTAGAACAGGTGCCCAACATTGCACAGCATATTCAATATGTGGTCTTACCAGTGATTTATAAAGAGGCAAAATGATATTCTCGTCCCGAGAATGAATGCCCTTTTTTATGCATGGCAATACCTTACTGGCCTTGGCCACTGCGGATTGACATTGCACATTGTTGCATAGTTTGTTGTCTATAACAATTCCCAAGTCCTTTTCGTGTGTTGTTATCCCTAATTCGCTTCCATTAAGGGTATACGTTGCTTGTGTATTCTTTACGCCAAAGTGCATAACTTTGTATATTTCAACATTAAATTTCATCTGCCATTTGAGTGCCCAGTCCCCCAGTCTATCTAAATCTCTCTGCAGCAAAGTAATATCTTGCTCACATTGTATTAGTTTACAGAGTTTTGTGTCATCTGCAAACACTGAAACATGACTTTCAATGCTGTCTTCAAGATCATTTATAAACATGTTAAATAGAAGGGGTCGCAGAACAGACCCCTGACCAGCTTGAAAATTTACCATTAATGACAACTCTTTGTACTCTGTTTTTAAGCCGATGTTCTACCCAAGGACAATCATTTTCATCTAGACCAATTTTCTTGAGTTTGAACACTAATCTATTTTGTAGAACTGTATCAAATGCCTTGGCAAAATCCAAATAGATCACATCCACTGCAACACCCTGATCTATACTTCTACTTACTTCTTCGTAGAACGCAGTCAAGTTTGTTTGACATGACCTGTGCTTCATAAAACCATGCTGATTTTTGCGGATAACCATGTCCTTCTCAAGGAATTCTTGAATATTATCCCTTAATAACCTTTCAAATATTTTCCCAGCCACAGAAGTTAAGCTCACAGGTCTATAACTATCAGGCAAGGATTATGAAACCTTTTTGAATATAGGAACCACATCTGCCTTCCTCCAAACCTCAGAAACACTTCCTGAAAGAAAAGAATCTTGAAAGATTAAAAACAGAGGTTCACTTATTTCTACACTTAGTTCCTTAAGTACTCGTGGATGGATACCATCAGGCCCTGGAGCTTTGTTTATATTAACTTTATTTAGTTGCTGCAGCACCTTGTCTTGAGTTAACCAATTACAATTATTCTGCAAGTTTTTAGTAGCAATCATTTGCACATCTATTGCCATGGGTTCTTTCTTAATATATACGGAGGAGAAATAGTTATTTAAAATTCCTGCCTTTTCCTGGTCTTCATTAACTAACACCCCTGTTTCAGTTTTTAGTGTACCTACACTTTAATTTTTGGATTTTTTAGAATTTATGTACTTAAAAAATGCTTTGGGGTTGGTTTTGCTCTCATTTTGCTCTCATTTTTTCATTTTGAAGTTTAGCAAATCTAATTGCCTTTTTGCACGCCTTATTTGCTTCCGTATATCTTTTATAAGATGCATCTGATTTGTCCGATTTAAATGCTTTAAATGCCATTTTCTTATTTTTAATCTCTTGTTTTACTTCTCTACTAAGCCACATTGGTTTTAATTTGTTTCTTTTATATTTATTACCCAATGGTACATACTGAGAAATGTACCTTTCTAATATTTCTTGGAAGATGATCCATTTAGCCTCAGTGTTCTTTTCACTAACGAGTTTTTCCTCTTTTGTGTATTTTGTATAAAATAAGTTTATTACAACAGGACCAACATTAAGCAATACATGTTCCGAGTGTACTCTCTAAATCACAGGCTTATGATGCTTGGAGTAACCCTTTAGGTGAACCACCACTCCACACATAAGTGTTCAATTAAGTAGTTTAACCCCTTAAGGGCCAAACTTCTGGAATAAAAGGGAATCATGACATGTCACACATGTCATGTGTCCTTAAGGGGTTAAGCAGAATTACATGCAGCCAGCATTTTACCCCCCACATTAAAATCCGATTAGGATCTAAAATATTCTGGCACTTTGATTTATAACCAAATACTTCAGTTAAAGCTGTATATTTTGTTTGTTTGCTCTTTCTTTTCATGTTTATTTTGTATAAAATAATCAGGGATCAAATATTATAAATACATCTGGCACCTCAAAATTAATTTTACAATCCATTGATTTGTTCAATCTTTCTTTCAAAGGAAAATAAGTAGACGAGTATTTAAATCAAATGTGGATGAGTCGTCTCTCTGCTGTATTGCAATTAATTCCAAAGTTTTAAATGAACTGTTACTATTAGTTTTTTTTGTTACGTGACAGAAAGGTGTCAATGTGTTTGCTGAAGTGACGGTTTATTTAAAATTAACTCTTAAAATATTTGAGAGTGGAATAATAATATATTACGGTATGGAGTATCTTGGAAAGTGGTCAGATCTTTTGCACCTTTTTAGGAAATGCAAACACTGAACTTTCCTCATAGAGATGCATTGATTCAATTCATCTCTATTAGGAGATGCCAATTGGCCAGGGCTGTGTTTGACTTCACAGTCTCAGCCAATCCTATGGGGAAGCATTGTGATTGGCTCAGAACAACACTTCTGATGATGTTAGCAGACAGCTTGCTATTCTGAGGCACACGGGGGCAAAGCCAGTAGCTTCAGGCTTGAATACAAGTAAGATTGTACTATTTAGGGAGGCAAGAGAGGGCCATGGGGGCTAAATGGTGGTTTTAACAATATAGGGTCAGAAATATATGTTTGTGTTCCTATAGTGCTCCTAATAAATTCTTATCTTACAGATTATTATTGTGCCATGTTTAGCGAATCAATATTCAATAAACGGTATTATCAAACCAAGTTTAAATCATGCAACAGTTATAATAATGAAGAACTTCTGCAAGAGATGAAATAAGAAAAGCATTTTTTTTGTTCAGCAATGCAGTATTTTAAACCAATATTTGACATGCTATAGTGTATGTGTTTTCATACAAAATGTAGAATTTCCTACACTAATCAAACAAGATGTTATCATGAGCTAGTAAATTTGTCGGAGTAAAAAAATGCTTTCTTCTAACTGTGATCCTACTCCAAAATAAAAATGGGTAGAGGGTATTATAAAATAAATTGGGGGACCTCCAAACAGAGGCAGTGAGTGAGGGTTAATAAATCAAGGGGGAACTAGTGTCACCCCAGCCCACACCTATGGGTAGCAGGTCTAGGCATCATGCCTTTGTACACCTCCCATTCACAGGCTTTGAGAAGGGAATACTAATGACAATAGGGACCAAAATTGTGGTCAGAAAGCCTCCCATGTGATTGATGGTCTCCTAGCAATCCACAATTAAAAAAAATGTTTGCATACTCTCTTTACCCTAATAATAGTGAGACAGTGCTAATAAATGTAAATTTCTGCAAAAAAATAAATTAAAAAATTATACTCACCATCAAACATCTTCACTCTTCTTGTAAGCTAACCAATTAGAGTGCTCTGACACATATTTTCACTTATCTTGAGGCTTGCATGGAAATATTCTCCACCTTATTTTAATAATAATAATAGCCCCCCCACCTACCACCCATGGGTGCGGGCTGGGAGGACATCAAGTCCCCCTGTTTACTTAATTAGAAGCCTAAATAAACTGTGCATGGTTGGGTCATGATAGACTTTAAAATATTCACCCATTTTTGTATTTAATAGCTCCCATTCACTGGCCATGGGAGTGGAAGTTGATCTGTCTACACACCACATTATTAAAGTTTAAGCCCCCAACCGATGTTCATAGCCTAGAGGCACATCTGCCAGGTCTCCATGTGTATTTTATTAGGAACTGGGCAATAGCAGTATATGCCTAGTCACTAGTTTTTAATGACTGTGAGCAGCTGTTGTAGGTACCTGACAATTGGTGTTATATTGCCTCATGTGATATTTTGAAAAGAAAGATACTGGTTTTGCATTATTTTTCTTTTTTCTTGCAATGTGCTTCTCAACAAAAGGTTAGTGGACAAATCTCTAAAAACTTAAACTGATATATAACGCATACACTTTGCAGGTAGATCCTGAGCTGGGCAAATCATGGTTTAAAACTGAAACAAATGTTTTAAAAGTTTGCATCAAGATGTTAATACACTATTCTCATATTTATTGTTGTTATGCTTTCAGTTACATGAATTGCATAAGAAAGGAACACGTTGGAAGATAGAGGAAACAGTGTGGTCACATTTAAGAAGCCATTTCAAGGTATGCACTTCTTGCCATTAATCATGCATAAGAAAAATAAACATCCCTCTTTATATTTTGAAAGAACAGCTCAATAGAAATTACAGTGATTGAAATAAAAGCACATTATATAAATTATTCAATATATCATGTTCTCTTTCTTACTTTATGTACAGTATGTATATATTATTCGTGGTATATATGCTTAAGATTCAGACTTGTCTTTCATAGAGATTGATAAGAGCATGCTTTACTGTATTGATGCACAAAAAAATAAATGAAGCAAAAATTAAAGTGATTTAACAGATTATTTCAAGGAACACCTAGACCATTAAGGATCTAACCAATGCCTTTTTTTAAATATTGGAGATTGTGCTAAATGTAGTGGTTCTAGTACGCTCAAATTAGTCGATATCCTGAGATCATAATGTTGTAATTTGTAGTGTTTTAGGGAGACTTATATAACAAAGAAACTGGCACAACAAACAAAAAACATCTACTAAGAATAATAAAAGATCAATCCGCTACTTTTTAAGTTCAACTGACCATAAATTAATCAGGCTAACCAACAACTTCTTCCCAATTAATAATTGCCCTCTCAAAAACAAGTAAATGTGGGCATTAGTTAATGTGCTCCAAAACCGTGTTCAGCAGGCAAAATTTATGTCCAATTGCCTAAACTAAAGTCAACAACCAAAGACCAGATATCCTTATCTTCCATCCACAGAAATTGATTTACTGATCCAGAACTTAAATCTGTGAACTATCCGAAAAGAAAGTGATATATATAGATGATCATAAAAATAATAAAGTTTAACACAATACCTATAGACTGTTTAAATGACAAAATAATAGTGAGTAACAAGCCGAGGCCATGGAGTGCAGAAATCATCAGAGCAACTGACAAGCTAAATCAAGGGGTGCCAGAAATCAACGAGATCAAAAAGAGCAAGGCGGGTCAAATACCATGTAACAGAGAACAGAACAAGTTGCACACTATTAGATGTATCAAATGACGACAATAGGACAATGAGCTAGTTATCTGAGGGGTTTATATAAGTAGCAGTGTTTGTGGATTGATTTGCATCATTCCTACTTGCCCAAAATATGTGCATGTGTCTTGCTTTAAAATTGTTGCCAAAATTATGATGTTATGGTGAGTGGTGCAACTGACCACAGACAGTCTTATATTACCCACCTCCTTGTTCAAAGGCTGCACATTAATCAGAAATAATTGCCAGAGTGCAGTGACAATTGCAGATTAAATCCATGAAGTAGGTTGGGTGCATGAACATGGGATGCACTGATTCAAAACTTTTTCTGAGGTCCAAACACTTTCCAGTGGATTAGATACTGGAGCTTGCCCCTACGACTTCTATGCTCATGGTGGATCTCCTATTCTTCTTGGAAATCTGTCAACAACAGGCATAGTAGATCTACATAAACTATTTACATGACAATAACTCAAGTAGGGAGGAATGAAACTAGTTGAGTTCAAAGAGGTAAGTCCAAAGAGTAAGAAACTTGATTGATACAGAGTATTTTGTAAGGACCAATATAGCGAGGAGTAGATTTTATGGATGGGACACAAATTTTGTTTTTTGGCTTTTCAATATAGGCGACTGTGGTTAACAATTCATACCTTATACTCTACGTATAGTTTGAGTACTCAGCCATTCCCTTTTACCCAGCCACAGCTTTGGTAATCTTAGTCTTGGAACTTTAGGTGATGATAATAATGAACTGGGACAAGAACAAAGACCAACAAACCTGTCTAGATGATAACTTTTTGCCTCACTGATGTACTAGTGGTTTTTATGATAGGTGAGGACAATGACTGGTATCTTAGAACATTTCAACACAGAACATAGTTCTCTAGCTATCTCTTCTATGCCAGTAATAATAATAATAATACATCAAGTAATGTCTTAGAAAAGTAACCACAAGTATGTAATGGCTGATCATGCCACATGATGTTTCACTAAATAGTCCTTACTCCTGTTTCTGACAATAGGGATCACGTCATACAATATTGGTGTTAATGAGAAAGCTGCTTTTAATGCATCAAAGGCTAACACCATGTGTATGTATCAGAACCTTTTCTGCCATGATAGTGATTTGGGTGTTAATGAGGAGAAAATAATTAGCTGGCTTAGCCAATAAATTGCTGAATAAGTTTTAACCTTTGAGGTAATGGGTAGCTGAGTACAGCCTCTAACTTCTCTGGGAACATTCAAAAACAAGAACCATAGATCGAAACCCCTAAAAATTGCACCAAACACTGGTCAAAAACAAATTAGGTTTATAGAACAAGCCGTGGTCTAGATGGTTTTTGAGGATCTTTCTTGCTTGCTTGGAAATGGAACATCTCAATCCCTTTTAGATGTCTATTATTTCCCTAAGTGAACGAAAGTCATGTTAATGTTTTATAAGTAACGTCATTCCTCCTATCGCTGCATGTGATATCAATGTTCATGTCCTGAGGTGTGCATCATAGAAAGATGGACTGGCATTATCTCCTTGTCACTGTCAATTTGTAGTGCTGCTGAGTTCAGTATGGAGCCATTTTCTGACAAACCCTCTGTACTGAAAGCATTAAGTTACAGAAAAATCTAAAGAATCCACACTCAATGGAACACATTTTCTTGATCACAGTTGGAGGAGCCAATCTGATAACATGAGAAGGCAGCAATGGATTTAAAGTCTCTGCTAGTTGCTTTAAGCATATTATGCGTTATAAATTTTGAACAGAATATTTAGGTTTCACCTGCAGATTATTAATGACTTGTTTAAACATTTTATGGCATATCACAGAAACACTGTTTTCAATCAGCCACTTATAAATAATACAAGACATTCCACTCGCCTAATACAGTTCTGTGCTGAACATTTTTGGCAGAATCAATATACCCTAATTTACCGCAGTTTTATAATTGTGCTGTTCCTACTGCAGTCCAAAAAGGATTTAAAAAATGTTGGCATGATATCAGCCATTGGTTTGAGATATGTGCTCTTTTAAATTGACATTTTAAAATCGAAAGTAAGGGTCAAAAATGCAGTTTATGTAGATCTCACTTGAGGGTAGAGGACTGTTTTTCATTTAATTGCCTAAACAAGGAAGCAAATATTGGAAACCACACGAAACAGAGCGGTTCAGTTTTCTGTAAGCTGCATTGTATTAGTGGTCCATTCAGTACCAATTACCCTTCATTTCATATGTTGGAAAAAATATACCAACTGGAAACAAAATTGGATTGGCAGTAGTGCTATTTATTGTTCAAAATGGCATATGTGTCTCGTACCTAGAGACTGAACAAAAGTACTTGTCACTAACAAGTCTGCTCCTTTTTGGCATCAAGCAAAGCTACAATGTAGGAATCGGTTGACTCTCATCTTACTGCTCTTGGAGGACTGTAAAATAACATGAAAAATAACGTGATTAATTGAAATCTATTATGACTAGACTAGGAACCATTTGTAATGTCACACATTTTCTGGTCATTATTATTTATATTATATTGTACATACTCAATATATTTTAAATATGGAGTGCAATTTCAATTTTTTTTTCTAAAATGAATAACTGCCAAAAATTAATACTAAAAATTGCATTATTCTGTCAAACAATCATAACAACATTTTTTTCCCCCAAATGGTCATATATTGATCTACAGCATATTTGATCAGCGAAAGATCATTTAGTCCTTTGAAATAGTAGTAGTACTGGCTCCTGTCCAGCAATCTGTAAATAGACTCTATTCTATGTAAACTGTAAATGCTGACAGTTGTTAAAAACCCTTTGTAGATTTGATTTGTGACCTTTTTCCCCTCGATCCGTTCATCCACCCTTATGAGTTCTTTGTTTGGCTCCTGATGCATTATAAAGTGTGACTGTGATTATTGTATGCTCTCATTCTTTTAACTATCTAAAATCAACTAAACATATTAGTGTTAGCATATGGATTAAAGTAAAAATGCAGACTGTACCAGCATTATTTTTTCTTTCTGTAAATAAAAGAGACTTACTCAGGGAATTTGGACATTATGCTTTGGTCACATTTAAATAAACACTAAAATAAAAATGTCTGTATTTTGAATGACCTGTACTAAATACAGTAAAAATATCCTCCGAAACAAATCACAGTATCTCTCCACACCGGCCATTTTTTCAATGCATACAGTCAAATGATAGCATTGTGATTCACTGATGATCTAAAAAAATATTAATAATAATGCATCTATAAGGTATATAAGTTTGTGTTTATTTCATCTTTACATGTTATATATTACATTAACATATAGACATTACGTATGGTATTATAATTATATATGATATCTCAATATGCAAAGATTGTTTTGATTTTTTTTAATACACTGAAATGTTTGAGAATGGGATCTGTACAATAGAGATACATGGCCAAAACATGTCCATAACTGCAATCTGAACAGAGATCAAATAAATAGATAAAATACGTATTTCAAAGTTTGGACAGGTCATGAGTTGTTTTACAGAGCTGGAGAGCATTACAATGCTCGCCGCCATCATTTTGGGAAGCAGACAACTTCACTTGGCACATTTTTTACATAAAGGCAAATAGATGGGGAAACAATGAGACTAATGCACAAATATAAAACATTATTTTCAGAGTTTACATTTTAGTAGATCTGTTATTCAAAATTGTTGTATTTTACCTTCATAAATTGACTGGACTTGAAATATTCAAGCTACTCAGAGGTACTATTTGCAGATGAAGAATTTGCCATTCTGTGTTTTTTGCTAGTTCATTATATTTACACACTTACCTCTCCTGATCTCACCTCTTTCTATTTGGTCTTTTTTCCTACTGGGATATGGGGTGTAAAATTGTTTTTCAGTTGTCAGCTTTGGTCATGCTTTAGAACTGTTTATGACTTTGAAATACTGTATTACAATATACCTGCTTAACATATGTTTTAGTTGATTCCTACACTTGATCTGAAGAATAGGATTTGTTTCTGCAATGTATCTATTTTATACGCTCAAATCCCGTACTCTTTCTCATAAATGAGTTCCAGCATCACAGTTTCAATGCTTTTCTATAGAAACGTCTCACATTAACATGGAGTGGTTTGCGGTTTGTGTAACCTTGAGGCAACAGCAGTTTTGTTTTTTTGTGATGTCAGTGTTTGAAGATAGAAAAATGAATGGTAAATACTGTAATGTCAGATTTAGATTTTTAATGCCACATGTGGTTTATTTAACCACTAAATAGCTAAATCAAGGAATGTTTTAACCTAGTTATGCAGTAAATATAAATGGCAGACACTTATATTTTCTGTGTGTTACAAAGTCAAATCTAGATAATATATGTACATGTGAATGCAGAGAAAATTATTAGGAGGGGGCAAAACAGTAATCCGTGTAGGCTCTGTCAATCAAAGACACAATTTAAAGAGAAACTATAGTCCTGAAAATAACAATCAGTATTTCTGTTTCTGCCATAGGTTCTCTTATGTCCACTCCCCTTTTAGTTTAAAAATTAAATAAATATTACTTAACTTACTACCAGCACCTGGGCTTCTTTTCTGAAGAGTCCAGCATAGATACACAAGTGTGGCCAAGTGTTGCGCACCTCAAATCAAATGTTTTTGTCTGTAGCATGTGTCTCCCAGACCAAGTTTTACTAGGTTCTAGAAAAGGAAACCTCTTTAGTGACTGTTATATTCACAGCCACAGAAGATGATTTAACCCTGCAATGTAAGTATTTCAGTTTCTAAACCAAAAGTACTATGTTTTACATTGCAGGGCTAAAATTAAAGGACCCCTTTACCTAGGCCACTTCATCAACAATTGGTGTGGGTGACTATAGTGTTCCTTTAAATCAAAGGCAAATTCCATTAGGGGACACGCCCTCTTGGCCTAAGCCACAGGTGCCCATGCATACATATTTTTTTTCACCATTTGCATAAAAATCTATTATGCAGTGGCCAGTTTCAGTAGATTCAGACATAAAAAATGGAAATCAGCGGGCAGGGCCTGACTGGCATGGTGGAGAGAAGTGTTTTGATAGAGCTGACAAAAAAAGCAAATTTTAGCCTTAATAAGCTTGATTTGGCTGATATCCTACAACATACATGCTCCTTACCCAAAATGAAAAGTCAAAAACACAACAAGAACTCATATATTACACAACCTGGATCATGCGGCCTAGAGCGCATCAAGTTGGAGAGGCGGCCGATCTCCCGGCCTGGAGTTGCCTAACTGCATTCAGCCCCGTAACTCACCTCCTTGGACCTGTGGGGGTGATCCCGGCTCACCTCTAGGAGGCTGCCTTGCTCAAAAAGGAGCACTGGGTAAAACCACGTTGGCTGAAGCAAACTTTTCTGACTCCCCTAAGATGCCAGATGCTGCGTGGTTCTCCGACAACACAAGGACAAGCAAGATATCATGTCCAAACTAGACAGAACATTCGCTAAATTCTGGCGCAAACAGGAGCTGAGAATGTAGCAACCTCTACCCAGACAACCGAGTGCCTACTCACCACAAGAGCAGAATTCTTGCCTACCTCCAACAGTGCAAAAAGCCCCAAAATGGCGGTGAAGCAGGAAACACACACAGCTGCGGGAAGCACAGAGCTGCACATAAGAGGGCACCACCACACAGCCCAGCGTTGAGACTCTTGCACGATCTGAGGTACTTGGCAGCAAACCGATCCTGACATATAGTGCAGACATCCAGCACACACCTCAGCTCGGAAGCCTGTCTCTCCACTCACTGGAGCGAGACTCTGCTAAGCAACCGGTCGGCATAGGCTAACTGCAGCGATCCAGCCTGCACACGGAAGAGCTTGTGGCCCTTCATACTACCCCTTTACCATTGAGTATTGGGTGGGATGCTGGTTACACTGTTCGTTACATGTGCATTCATCTACTATGATTTTATGTCATTCTCTGGTTTCTCCTCTGCTTGTACAATAATCACCTCCCTTCACCTTACTCTGTGCAAAAAGCTTGCCTCCCAGGGAACCCTTTATGTTGTTCTTTTTTGTTAAACCTGTATATTCCTTTATAAAAAATAAAATTAAAATAAAAGCAAAATCACTTATAATGATATGTTATTGTTTTAACTCATGCAACCTGTCATATGTCTTTGCTTCAACATGTATCTGACAATGCGCTAAAAAAATGGAAATCAATGCATAATAACTTTCAGACAATAGCAAAGCAAATACTATTCAGACACGTTCAATGTAGATAGAATAACTAAAACCTTTTAAACAGTGTTTTCTCTGGCTGTGCTGGATGTCCATTTTTATAATTGCTGACTTTCACATGCCATAATATGAGCTTTTAGCTATAACTTACACAGGAGGTGATTCATCTCTGAGTGTCAAGATGGGTCAGATCAGAGTACGTTATAGCTGGAAAAACTGCATTATCCTGCACAGCAACAGAGCATGCAGTAAAGCATTTACTTTGAGTGTGCTCTGTCTGATAAATGGGTAGCTTGGTAGCTGGACTTGACTTACCCCTAAATATTGGCATGTTGAAGTATAACTAGTTTATTATTTGTTGGAACCTGAGAAATTGTAGATAATTTTAACAAACATAGTAAATAATAAAACTTTAAACTTTACATAAAAATAGTAACTAAAATAGAATTAACACAGCAATCACCATGTTTTTAAGTTATGAGCCTGTCTTCCCTTCGATATTGTTTAAAGTCACTGCGTAGCCCTTAGCTTGTCAGGTTCACCTCATATCATGATGGTTTGGGAGCTGGAGGACAACCGGAAACATTGAGCCAAGTTGACAGGCAGTTCTTCGAGCCAACTAAGAGGGGATTCCCCTGCACAGAGGGCTGCAGAGCACTCTTCAATAACAAGATATTCCCTGAAGTGATTATGCTTTCTTAGAAGCTTTGCTATGGTGGTCTCAGCTGTGAACAATAGAAAAACAAAGTGCAGGCTCATAATGGGACTGTCTGATTGGATATAGGAAACTTGGCATGTATGTGCTTGTGCTTTATAAATATATTTTTGTCTTGCCATATTTTAAATCTGGCAATTCCATAGCTCTCACATGTCTGCTACATCTGTCTCTCTCTATTCCCTAGTCCATCACACTTTCTTGTCCTGTCTCCTGCCTCCTGGCTCTGTCATCCTCTCTCTGCTTGGTGGTCCTGTTCTGTACTCCCCTCCACAGCACACCACAGCACATGTATATATTTATACTATTGATCAATTTTGGAGCGCTTAAATTTTAAAATCTATACTTAAAATTTGTTTTTTTTATTAATTTAATCTTTGGAATAGAGTTGCTGTATACATGTTGTGCATTTAAATTTAAAACAAACTGCTACACACTTAGGTGTTATACCCAGTATCTCTTTGTTTAGCATTTTCCTGCCACAGATATAGCAATAATGTCTATACCAACAACATAGAAGGTAACATTGAAATGTTAATATAGGAATAGAATTGCATTTGCTAGCAATTTTGTTTGTGTATTGTGTAGCTAATGTTTTTTTGTCATCTAGAAAGAAATGCCAGTTTGTTATTTAAAACATTTACACTAGTACAGCGTTCATTTTCTTATTTTTGTCCTACTCCAAGCATGAATGTCAATATGACAAATAAACTCCAGCACACAAACATGAAGAGTCATCATGTCTGGTCTAGAAGTAAATATCGGAGCTTCCAATACATCATAAGGCGCAGTCAACTTGTGTTCATCTTCTGTTATTGTGTTACCCCTATATTAATCTAAACAGCACAAACATTAGAAGATGCACAGACAAGGGATGGATTCAGGGAAACCTTGCAGTGTTTTTTAATAGAATCCTGATAGCTCTAGACATATATTTCTTTCTCACCTACACAATAGGGATGTTCTCGTTGTTATTAACCTTCAAGAAATAGTCCATTGTTGTGAAGTGTTATCTGGAATATCCTATTCACTTTTTGAGTAATTTCATAAAATAAATAGCATTATTTGAAATACAGCATGTGTTGCCATAAGCCTGACATTTTCACATTAAAGGGACACTATAGTCACCAGAGCAACTACAGCTTATTGAATTTGTTCTGGTGAGTAGAATCATTACCTTCAGGCTTTTTGCTGTAAACACATTCTTTTCAGAGAAAATGCAGTGTTTACATTACAGCCTAGTGATAACTGTCCACTCCTCAGATGGCTGTTAGGGATCCTTCCTAGGTCATGGCTGCCTAAAATGCATCTAAACATTCAGTATCTCCTCCCTCTGCATGCAGACACTAAACTTTCCTTAGAGAGATTAATTGATTCAATTCATCTCTATGAGGAGATGCTGATTGGCCAGGGCTGTGTTTGAATCATGCTGGCTCTGCCCCTGATCTGCCTATTGTCAGTCTCAGCCAATCCTATGGGGAAGCCTTGTGATTGGATCAGGCCACCACTTCTGATGATGTCAGAGGTTAGAGGAATTTCACAGGCAGAGGCAGCAGCTCCAGACTTGAATACAAGTAAGATTGTACTATCTTTAGGGAGCCCAAGGGGGCTAGATAGTGGTTTTACATACACATACATGTTTGTGTTCCTGACCCTATAATGCTCCTTTAATATCAGCATTCCATGTTGCATCATCATAATGATTAATGCTGCTAAATAAAAGAGTTTTTTTAGGAAAATCAATGAATTTGTTTCATAATGAATGACACGCATACTCCTTTTTATTTTAATGAAGTTTTCTCTTGCCTATTAATAATGACTCTGAAAACATTACTGAAGAAATTATATCTTTCATGCAGGAAATATAAATTCACCAACATGTAAAAATGTTGATCAAATAATCCTTTCACAGTAAAATGGAATTAATTTATGGTTTAACAAAAAAAAAAAAAAAACACAACAAAAATTGTTGCATATATTTATAGCAGAAATATATGTTAAATAGGTTGGATTTTATTTGGTTTAATGTTGTTAAAAGAAGAAACTTTGAGTTTGAAAATTGAGTTATGTGCTTTGGTTTTATTTGTTGTTTTGTGTTTTTTATTCGTCTCTGAGAATTCAATGAAATACCATACTTACAATGCAATCCCCTTGGCCAATTCAGACATCAGTCGGCTTCATCCAATCATGACAGCTTTGTTCAGATGTTCAAAAGATACACTGCAATTATATCAAAGGAAGAAGAATCTGGTGGATGGCCTGCTGACAGATATAACAGCTTCCATATTCACTGCCTCTGGGAAGCTTTCAATGAAATGATCTCAAAGTGCTTTTATATCCGTAATACCTGCACTGTTTACCAAACATATCCTGCCTGCATACATTATGACATAAAATCCTGTGTACTGATGTCATATTCGCTATTTTAAAGATCATTGCTGATTAACAAAGTTGTAAGATTATTATTTTTTTTTTTTTTATTCTCTCAGGTTTATTTCAGTTTCCGGAAAATCAAAGTAATTGTCCATGATACAGTCACACTTGCCCATCAGCACTGAATTCTTATCAGCATATGAGAAGCCATTATATTCTGTAGTACATTGTATAGCTTGCCACATGCATAAAAACAAGGGGAGAAGGCATTTACTTTTCGTGTTTGGCACTTTAACCTTCACTACTGAGTATTTTTGAAGAACAAAAAAATATTTAAAAAAAAAAAAAATTAATTTAAGCATAAGATACATCCCTGATAAGTAATATTACAAGACAGTGGCAATATCTATTTATAGATTGCTCTCCAGTTATACAAAAGGAAATTTTAATATTAAATGTACTTTCTATTTTTTTTTAGTTAATCTTTTACAGAATTGTTGGAAGTAAATATTATGAGAGATGTGTTTGTGTTCATTATAGGATATTCATAAACAAATGTAAAAAAGCCAATTACCCTTTTCTAGGGCATCTGCTGGTATTTTGGGGAATGTAGATTAAAGCATCTATATTTTAAAGAGGATTGAATACATATGATATACCATGCACACATGACCTTATGTCTGAGTAGAAGGGAAGGCTCAGGAGGTTTACTTGTGATTTTACAATGGAGAGCAATACAAAACAAAACCAGCCCTGTCTAAAAACAAACTAAGTGTATACACTGGACTGAGTTTGGAATGTGATCCAAAAGTGCAAGTACATTATGTAAAGTATGTTATAATAGCTAATTTCTAAAGCTTTTCAAATTTGCCACCCTAATAGCTATCACAAAGTGTGGCAGCCAATCCCTGCCTCGTAAACAGGTGTTTGACAAGGGTTGTAGACTGCCTAAAGCATTAACTCAGTTGAGTTGATTAATATGAAACTTTATCTTTTTACACAGTTTCAGCCATGGTTTAATAAATGCCGCTACACTGTAAACTCAACTGAGAAGGGTCTTCCCATTGCTTTTGCTCCAGTCTATGTAGAATCGGAATGCTACTAGTTAACAGCCTACTTTATTTCCATATTTTGATGCACTCTGCCAATCTAGTAGTATGGTATATTATTATTATTATTATTTTATTATTTATAGAGCACCAGCAAATTCCGTAGCGCGGTACAATGGGTATATAAACATAATATAATGTAATAAAAATACAGAATAACACATTACATAAGACATTCATAAATATTTTGAATGTGCCACCGAAGCCAGTTAATGCCAATGTATTAAAAATATAGGAAGAGTAAGTGATCAAAATAAAAATAAATATGACTATTACAAGATAGCTTTTGTGCAAAAAAAAAAAAATACACATTACACTCCAGTTGTTTTACTCACTATTTCCAGAGATTTAACAGGCTTAGATCTCAAGTGCAGTTTAGTCTTGAGCTCTTGGTGAATTCACTATCTGCCAAGCAGTTCAGATGTTTCTCCAGTTCTCTTAAGCTGATTCCCCTTTGACTTTATTTAATTCAGTTTTTTTTAGTTCCAAGAAAGATGTTAACTGTCCCATTTGGAAATGTTTCAAAGGAATCACAAAAATAAGTGCTTAGTTTCCTAAATGCAATCTTGCATTTTGATTTTCATTATATATTAGATAATTATGGTAACTTATCGTTAAGTTAATATATTTCTATTTTACTTGTTGTTGATGAACCTAATATAAAATATGTCAACAATAGACATAACTGGAAACATATTGTATTTTATTGAAATAAAGAATAAATATAGCTATTCGCTAATAAATTAGCATTTTGAGATTTTATAGCCAGTGATGAACCCAACGGCTCAATTGAGAGTCAAAATGTTGCAGTGTTCCATAGTCCAATAAAGGTGCCTGAAGACAATGGAGTGTCTGGACCCGTTTTCTAATACTTGTATTTATTATCTTCTGGGCTTATGCTGGACTTGGTTCAGCTAAGCACCCTGCCTTAAGGGAATTGAGTGCGGCTGCTTTTCCTATTTTTATAAGGTGGGAAAAAACAAGTTAAGGTGAGAAATAAACATAGCAAATGCTGGGGTCACATAACTACTCATATTGACTCTTTAATTGATAAAGCAAGAGAATACCCAGCATAGTTGTAGATATAATAATGCCTTGCTACCATATCATCCCTTTTTATTTTATATAAAAGATAATGACTATCCATATTACAATCAATATATTTTTCTTTACAAATGAGATGCAAGATCATAGTGTTAATATGCAAATCTCCCTATCATTCCATCATATAAATGTATAAATACTGCCAGTATACAGTCCAGTATTTAAAACTGCAAACTGTTACATAGGAATAGGAATTTGATTTGTTTCTTGAACAATCTTATAGCATGATGTTGCCTCTGGGATAAATCCAGGGTTAGAAACTGGTCTTACTGCTGTAAAGATTAAGATCAATATGTCACCTGTGTTTGGAACATGTGGTGACCTAACAAAAAGTCCAAAGTTTGGACAGATATCCCTCCATTAGTGTACTTCAGGGATAGGCATCCTTTGGCACTCCAGATGTTTTGGACTACATCCCCCATAATGCTCTTACACCTGTAATGCTGGCAAAGCATCATGGGAGGTGTAGTCCAAAACATCTGGAGTGCAGAAGGTTGCCTATGCCTGTAGTTGAATAGAATAATGCGACCAGCTCATTAGAAATATCCTCATATACATTTTAAAACATCTGAATCAAAGTATCCTTAAATTTAACTCTGCAGTTTACTATTAAACCTATCTACAATGAACATAAATTGGCCAACAAAGAAAAGCAAAACGCCTAACTTTCCAAAATAAAATCCCTAAAAAAACAAATGCAAAAATGCACTTATTATCATGTATAATTATATTCTGTAATGCCTTCCTTTGTATTTTTATTTTCTTAACTCTATGTCCTTATTGTATTAAAACTATATGTTTTGGTTTTAACACAATATTGTTGAGTACCAGCTTTAATGTGACTGTTAACATTGTCATCTTCTTTCATTTGTAATTTCAAAATACGTCAATTTAAATACAAAATTAGAGTGTACAGCAGAAAAAAAGTACATCATGATATGATGAGCACTGCCCTCATATAGTCCTTAAATGCTTTGAATATGAGAAGAAAAAAAAATATATATATATATAATTCCAAACACTTGCACTCCAACTTAAAGTATTGGTACCCGGTGCTCGGTCACATAATAAACAAAGTTTAAAAAATACCGGCACTCAAGTACTTGAATAAAAGAAGAAAGATTTAAATCCCATAAGTGCCAGTATTTTTTTTACTTTATATATATATATGAATATCCATGCACATAAATTCCAATATGCTAGCCTTCATAAAATCCTCTTAATGTCATGTATTAGAGTTTTGCAAATAAGAAGGCTAGGAAGAATGTTACCTGCTATCAAGAAGAGGGATTGTTTTATCTATTACTGTATTATACACATTCTATACATATATTTAAATATTTTTTTCTATATATTTAGTACTATTGTCATATTACAATCAAGTAACTTTGTAATGAATTTAATCTTATAAAAGCATGCAAAGCAAAATATAAATGTGATAGCTAATAGTTAATTGCCCACATTTTATAGTTAGCAGTAGTAGTAGTTAGGTTTTTAATATTACTTTTGTTTTTGCATGTATTAGATTGCCATGGATAATTTGGAGATAATGTATTCCATATGTTTTATCTTTAATCACATGTAATAAAATCCATTGTTTTTATTTTTTATTTTTTTCATTTTCTTTCAGATGATTTAATTCATTTTCAGCAGATCATCCTTCTTTTCACCTATTTTGTCCTTGCTAATTTGACATTTGATCTCCATCTTGGTGCTCCCTTAATCCTTTATTACAGCTTTTCTCCGTGCCTTCTGTCCATTGTTCGGCTTAGCCTATTAGTTCTTAAAGTATTCTCCTACTTGCTCTCTGGTGTCTTTAAATGAAAGTTGTTTCCTTTGAACAGTTTCACATTGTGTGTATTATGCTCATTGATCTGCCTCTTTTTTAAGCACACCTCTGCATGGTCATTGGGAAGGGATATTTGAAGTGCATCTGGAACAACTGTGTATTGTCATCATATAGATAATAAAATGCTATTAATCAGCTGTACATATGCTAAAGTATGCAAGTGCAATTTAATTCAATAACGAATGTCCAAAATGGAAGGCTATACTTGACATCGCAGATATAAATTATAACAATCTCAGTGGGGTGTGAATACATCCATTATCATCTGACAAATATCATTGATATATATTTACCCCCAAAATACTCTGCTTAATGTACAGTGGTATTTGCAACAAGATAAACCACTTAAGGATCATGTGGCGATCTATGCTGTCATGCAGTGCAGGGCCTTAATCCCCAGTGACGACTTAGACAGTCATACAGTATAGGTACCAGTAGGGATAAAATCCCTGTTGGTACCAATGACCTCCAGACCTCCAGGTATCTTTTGATATCTGGGGGTCCCTTCTTTCAGCTGTCCGATTGGCTATGAAGAGTGCTGCTCATAGCCCTTTAAATTGCATTACCACTGTAAATATCAAAATGCTTTTAGTCCCGCACCCTTCCTGCCTGGCACAGTGTGGCCTTAATGGCTCTGTGGAGGTCTTTTCTGCTTGCCCCCTGCTGGGCTCTATCAGCTGCCTAGCATCAATCTCCGTGAGAGCCCTCTGTACGGTGCGAGCTAGGAAATCCCTCTGCTGGTGTCAGTTCTGATAGCAGAGGGAATACCTAGAGGGTGGCATTAGGACTGAGATTATAGGTAGGACTATGATCAGGATTATGGGTTATATTATAAATTGGATTGAGGTCGGATTATATGTAGGATTAGAGTTGGATTATGGGTAGGATTAGAGGTGGCATTAAGGGTTGGATTAGAGGCAGGATTAGGGGAAAAGGTATACATGTGGGGTATCATTGCACTTGAGAATAGTTATAAAATGCAAAATGACCAGGGATCCAGCTTGTATCACTAAAATGCAAACATAAAATACATCATAGTGTAGTAAAGTTTTAGCATTAAACACTCGCTTCACGTTTCAAGATTACACTCACAGATTGACGTTTTGTATCAGGCCTTCATAAGGCTTATTTGTACATTTGTCATTTTGTTGGCAGTGTATTTGATTGTATATTTTATTGTCATTGTTTTAAATTTTGGTCCCTGAAGAAGTTTCTTAAGTTTCTTTTATTCAAGTGTATTTTTTAAAGCCAATAAATTCCTTTTTATACTCAACCATTGGGAGTGTGTGGACTTCCTGACACTGGAACTGGCGTGATTACCAGCAACAGGATTTAAAAAAAAAAAACCCTACCCACAGGGGAGGCACCCTGAAGGCCTGATACAAAACGTCAATCTGTGAGTGTAACCTTGAAACGTGAAGCGAGTGTTTAATGCTTAAACTTTACTGCACTATGTTGTATTTTATGTTTGCATTTTAGTGATACAAGCTGGATCCCTGGTCATTTTGCATTTTATAACATTTTGTATATAGTTACCAGTTTGGGAGGTAACTTAAAGGACCACTATAGTGCCAGGAAAACATACTCGTTTTCCTGGCACTATAGTGCCCTGAGGGTGTCTCTAGTGGCTGTTTGGTAGACATCCAGTACACGTGGAGTTAACAATGCAAGGTAATAATTGTAGTTTATCAAAAACTGTAATAATTACCATTGCAGAGTTAAAGGACTTGGGACACTGCACACAGGCCACTTCATTGAGCTGAAGTAGTCTGAGTGCTTATAGTGCCCCTTTAAATTATTGGTGAGTTACCATGTTTTAGTCAATGGTGTAAACTCCAGATAATTGACAGTTCCCCTATAATCTTAGTACATTTACAAAACTGGGATTATTACAATGTCGTCTTTAACTATTTTTCTATGTTATGATTGCTACCTAAATGTGGCATTTCTTATTAGCTATATGGGGCCCTTGCTCATGGCCACCTTCCTACTATAACGACTAGGAAAGGCGTAAACATGCAGTTGGAGGGAGTATAAAGAATTATTTCTAACTTGTACCTTGGGATCTGGCTGTTATTGCACTCTTCATGACCTTTATAGCTTTGCCACTGGTGAAATCATTGATGAGCTAGAGTTAAGTGTGTACCGTAAGGTATGATAAATCAGACCCTGTTGAGCACTGCACATTTACTCAGCAAAGCAGAAATAGTTAATTAATCTAATCAGCCAGAGGAAGGCAATAAGGGGAGACATTTTCCAAGCCTATTTTAAAAGTAGTTTTTCTGCTTGCTCTGAAGTATGGCTGGCAACAGATATATCTTTCTCCTTCGAGCCTTAATATGAATTTATTAGAAACCGGTGGAGCTAAAAGGTAGTGGCTTTCACAGCAGCAGTCTGGAAATCTTCAGCTCTCCACAGGACGTTTTTGCTGAATGCAGCAATTTCTTTTGTCTGAGTGGTTGTAATAAATTTAGACATCTACAGGTATCCCAATCATGGGACTTTTTTAATGTCTGCAATAGTAAAGAGGCAGACATTTTTAAAATAGCAGTGCTTATTATTTCTAATGAATAAAATATGATACTAAATCATATTACAATATCTATAATGTGCTGCATTATCACATACTTTTCAACAGTTCAAATGGGCAAAGAGGGACACTTTCATTATAGGTGTGTGAGTGAGGGTGGGCCAGGGGACATTCAGAGACATTACAGGGACTTACTGAAAACAATTCATATAACTAAAATGTAATTTAGAACTAGAACAATGTATCTTATTTAAACATACTGATTTCAAAAAACACATTTATTGTAGTTGAAAGACACATTACTGTGAGTATTATTGCTGTGGAGCTCTGTTATATACTAAAGACACATCAACATTACAGAGCTCCTAGAAAAGGAGGGACATTCAGATAGAAAAGAGTGACAGGGAATTTGGGCCAAAAAATAGGGACTATCACTCTTAAATAGGGATACTTGGTATCGTATCATTTTTGCCAGCTGCCTGGATTCGCAGGGCAGTCCTGTGTTATACAACTGTGGTGGCCCCAGTGGGAATGTTCAAAGTGCTTTTCGGTGATTTCCTACCATGCCTTTTTGGAGTTTTTGCCATGTATTCATTGTACTACAATTTCCTCCTTCCTGTACCCACGTGTATTATATATAAATTTGTAAAGGACTAGTAGAGCTCTTTGATACCCTATACGTATACATAATGTTGTATTAAACAGGAAGAAAACATTATAAATGGGGAGTCATTAGATGACTTCTGATCACCTGAGGCTGGACGTCCTATGGAAATGATGCCCCACATCATAAAAATAAAAACCCATAGGAAAGCTTGCCGCACATGCTGACGGAGTAGGGGCAGACCTAATGAGCATGTGCGACAAGCTTTCCTATGTTTTTTTTGGGGGGGATGTTGGGCATCCTCATGCATAGTCTGAGGATGTCCAGCGTCATGCGATCAAAAGTCAGCCAATGACCCTGTTACATCTCTTCATTTTGCAAACACATTTTCATGTCTCCTCTTCTCTTATGCTTTCTCTATGCTGACTACTGCAAATGAAAAATGTTACCAGTCACTGACAGAAAGATGTCTAGTTGCAGGATAGAATGTTGTGAATTTTTGCATGTGAAAACATAATAAAAATCCTGGGCAGCACCAGTTCTTCTTTACACTAAATAAGGGCCTGTTTACTAAACTTTGAATTGGAGTGAATTAAAATCCAAATGACAAAATGTAGGCAACATATTATCATTATCATAATACTGTTCTCGAGAACCTGGATACAGGCAATATTTAACGTACGCAGTGAAGACACTCTGCAGAACTGGAAGTGCCTACCTGCTTTTAATACATTTTATAAATACTGCAATAGTGGATTAAAAGTATGAAAAAATAAATAAAAAGATACCATCAAATTTCTTCTGCTGATGTGCTGAGAGAAGCAGTCACCGGCAGTAAAGCATCATCTGAGACTAAGAAGAGACTCGACCATTCCAGGAGTCTCTCATCCTGTGGTTCTTAGCATCTTGGCTCCAGCTATGTCAAAGAGCAATGGAATGGTGGTAAGGGATATGCACATCTATCTTTTGCCCTCTGTGTCTAAAAAATAAGGCTGAAGAGCCTTTGCAAATCACTGCAATTATAAGCCATTCATTACTGGAAGATATGGACAAGTGAGCTGTATTCACCAAAGCCTATGCAGTAAACGTAGGTGCTTTGACATGTTTAAACACCAGACCTGCATGGAACTAGTTCTTACCATAAATGGCGAATAGAGTCCAGGGATGGGGATATTTTCTGCTGAATAAAGTTTCTGAGTATTGCTGCCTTATAAGTGATGTCCCCCAGTCAATAGTTTTTCTATGAATGTATGCGATATATATGTGTTTCTCTCCCACTCTGCTCTAAACATGGTGAATGAAGTCTCTGGCTCATCATATTTTTGCACAATAGTATTTTCTAGGATTTATCTGCCTGTTCCATCTGCTGGAACCTTTTAATAAATTCACTTTGCTATGTAGGCTTGTTTTAAATATATTTACAAATCACCCTGTAACATTTTTGGGATCATTTATAAACTCCGAGCTGTTCACTCAGAAGTAAATTACAGCACTTTGATAACATATTTGAAAACTATAGGTTAAAATGCTGACAGGAACAAATATTCAACCTGAATAATTTTGCACATCAGTTGTCAACTCACTTTGACTCATTGAACGAATAGACCTTTTATATAAACAAGTTATATATCAATTTGGAAACTGAATATCATTTTTTGTGAATTACTTGGAAAAAAATTGATTGTGTATTTGAAAAACAGCTCTAATGTGTTCAGTTCCCTCTCTGACAAATCATTTAAATGAAATATGTCATCCAAGTATGTCTGTACATCAGTCATAAACCAAATAATATGGAAATGAATTAAAATAAATAAATACGATATGGATACTGAGATAAGGAATGACTTCCCTTTTTATTTCCTTTAATCTGCTTCAATAATGGCAAATATAAAAATACTAGTTATATGAAGGTTACAAGCAATATGCACAAGATGTATGCATCGTCATATGGATTGCCTTGGGCTGTGAGGAATTTCTTTCAGAAAGAAAATGAAAACATGCATTTTTAGTGAGTTTTGAGACACAATCACTTATGAATAGAAAATGGGTTGGCAGCTATTGCCTGACATCTTGCTGGCTGAAGGGATCAATAGTTCATCACACATGGTAACCACATTTGAGCCAAAAGAGAGAGTGTGAGAAATCGGTGTGCAATGCGTACATCCCAAGAGTAGTGTGCAGACCAGTATGTGCTTAAAATGCATCTAAAGTGGAATCTTTTAACTTGAAAAAAATAACTAACATCATTCAGTGGTGCATAAACACTGTTTATAGGTTGTGTTGTTACTTTTTTTTTTTTATAAATCCTGTTAATTTTCATTCTTTTTCTAGCATAACATTTCCTAGTAAGTTAGTGAGTTCATGGCCTATCCTTGTTGATTGATGGCTTATTTTTTATGTTTGAGATATATTGACAACTTTTTTTTTATCTTGGATAGAATAGAGCACATGGAAAGACAATTAGATGCATGGTTGTAGGAAAGTGAGTTAAATAGGAAGAAAATTACAGTTATTGCTAAATATTGCTTACAAACAATTGAGGTTTTTTTTTTTTTTTTCTTCCTGTTGTGTAATATAAACATATCTTGCAAAATGTTATCTAAAACAGTTGTTACACATAAGATGACGATATAAAGTTCACATTAGAAATATATATCTACCGTTTTAAAAATAAAATGTAAGAAATCAATGTTATCACTTTCTTGTTGCTAAGTGTTTTGGAAGACAATTTCCAGCATTTCATTTTGGGTTTTTTCCAGATCCATATTGTATATAAAGAACAGGAATATATTTATAATCGTGTAATAATGGTCTTGTATTTCTTCATAGTGCCTGTGTAGATAGATAGATAGATAGATAGACAGACATTAGGGGTGGATGAATAGACAGACAGACATGATAGATGGATAGACAGACAGACTGACTGACTATGTGTCTGTGTAGGAATATGTTCTACTGTCAATATATGTTTTGGAAAGAGAAATAAAAAATATAATAGTTTCAGAGAAAATGAGAGCTTTAGAGAACAAAGAACATGACCCTAAACCCCATAGTGTATCTGGCTGGAAACCAGCCACATATCTGGTACTTTTCAGCCTTACATGATGGTTATTGAAAGAACTATTTAACTAAGAAATGGTTTGCTATTAGTTCAAAAGAATGCTAAGAGTGTTAATACCATTACTGACATATGTAATTTTAATCAAACATAACCTGTCAGTAAAGCTTTATAAGTTTTTTTTTTTCCATTAACAGTCTTTGGATGAAGCATATTAACTGTTACCTCATGCAGGGAAGAAAGGTATTAAAATATACAATTTGCATGTTAGTACGGCTGTAATGTAATAGAACAATTTCAAATTATGCAGAGGTTGAGCAAGGTATACTGTATGATAGCTGAAATACCCCCTTAGTTTAGCCTAGTAGTTAGTAGCTCTATACCTGGGCTGTGTAAAGATTCCAAATTAATATGTTGATCCTTCTTTGGAATGTGTATGAGGTGCAGAACGCATGCATTCATTGCTATTTGCCTAATATTGTGTAGATAAGTCAACATTTATGCATCTATATCAGTGCATGTGCCTGCATATCAAAGAACTATCTATTTTGCACCTGGAAACTTTGGCTTTAACAGGTGATTGCTATGATACAGCATCTTGCAAAATGGTAAAGTCAAGTCAAGATATTATTGACTACCTAACCTGATCATTAATTATTTCTTGTGTTATCTCATTCTTGGCCAACTAGAAAAAATCATAAATTCGGTTTTGCATTTCTATGCATATATGTGTCTTGTAATAACACAAGTTATGTAGTTGTTGGTTTTTAAATCTTTTTTTCTGGTGAAGCAAAACCTTTTATCTTTGTTGCTGCATGTTTACGTCAGTACATGCTGTATCTACACACATCACATAACTATTATTCTATTATTGAGGATATATAATTACAGTGTATATCACTTTACAGCATGTAATATCTAATAATTGCTATAGAAAACTGCTTATTTGATGGATGTTTCTAAGATCAGTTGCCCACATTTGTCCTGGAGTATTGTATACTCTAACTTATCATTTGTTAATGTATTGTGTCTAACAATGCTCAAATGTCACTGTATAAATCACACATCAGGCTATGTTCATCCAGCTAACCGCAAGTCCCTTTTTCAAACTCCTGGCTCATATATGTGTTATGCAGGGCAAGATTTTTGGAGCGTTAACTCAATTTCAGAAAGAATGTTTGTACGCTCTCTAATATTTACAACTCCTTGGCATTGGCTGGACATAACAGTTTAATATGCTCATCTGTTATTTTGATTTTGTTTTGTTTATTTTTTGTATATCAGTACACAGACAGTCACAGAGAAGGATTAATTTCCCACAGGGCCCTAGGCAGTTTTTGGTTTGCCCTCCCCCTTAATTCTTCTTATACGGGTGATGAATGGAGCCAGTTAAAATCATATTTCCAGGTCCCCTGTCTACCTCCTATGTCCCATTGGTTAATCCCATCTATCTAGTTATCGTGAGTCATTCAGAGACTATTCCATTTGCATGATAGGCAATATTTTTTAATTAGATAAATTAAATAAGAGACAAAGAGCACAAGCATGTGAATTCACTTTTAAATGTTGGGCAAAGGCCATGGGGTTTTATTTTTTAAAACTTTTTTTTTCAAAATCATTAAACTGTTCTGTAAAACCACAATAAAAATTCTCACTCTTACTATGTAGAGGTCTTCCACGATCTTTCGATGCCCTCCTACTGGGACTCCTGGTGGGCTGCGGCACCTGGGGCTGGCAGGAAGCCCTAATGTTTTATTTCATTTTTCCCTAGGACTCTCACATCTTCTGTCAGTCTGAGGGAATTCAGGAGACAGGTGCTGGGGGCTGGTGCGGCCGCATCAAGGCTGCTGACGCCTGGAGGCAGCACTGCGTCTACCTTTCTGATTCCCAGCACCTTCCAGCACCCCAGCCCAGCATGTAAGTTCCACCCCCACTAGGAAGCCCCACCTCTGCACTTAAGCTCCGCCTCCCGCACTCAAGCAGCGGACCTTGCTGCAGGAAGAGGTCTGAAAATGGCCTCCAAGAGAAAACTTGATCTCCAACAGCCTCCAGTGTGTATAAATATTGTGTCTGTAGTGAGTGTGTGTAGTGAGCATGTGAGTGTCAGTGAATTTATGTTTGTCAATGAGCTTGTCTGTGTGAGCATGTGTGTGTGTGTGCCAGTGAGCTTGTGTGTAGTGCTCTTGTGTGTGTTTAAGTGAGCTTGTCTGTAGTGAGCATGTGTGTGTCAGTGAGCTTGTGTGTGGCTGTCAGTGAGCTTGTCTGTAGTGGGCATGTGTGTGTCAGTAAGCTTGTGTGCAGTGCTCATGTATGTGTGTGTGTCAGTAAACTTGTGTGTAGTGAGCATGTGTGTGTCAGTGAGCTTGTCTGTAGTGAGCATGTGTGTATGTATTAGTGTGCTTGTCTGTAGTGAGTGTGTGTGTATGTATTTATGGATAATATATGCATCAGGGCTTGACAAATTTGCTTGAAATCTATAAGCCAGCTAAAAAAGTAAGTTGCCAGATTTTTTCAGCACCAAAAATACCATTCTTATAGTCACCAGAACCACTACTGCTTAACCCCTTAATGCCGTTACGGCATTCTATGCCGTCCCCGTTATAATGGGCTTTAAAACTGTTGCAGGTGCATAGAACGCCGTAACGGCTGAAGCCCCCAGGAGCTGAAATATACTCAACATCCCGGCGATCCGCTTTGGGAGGACTGCGTGACAGCCCAGGCAGCCCTTCCTTGGAAAATCAGGCCCCCAGGGGCCATGTGATCGCTCTTAAAGAGTGATCACATGGCCACCTATAGCTGGCTGTGGATCTGCCTGCAGGGGGACTGTCTTGGCTGTCAGACAGTCCCCCTGCTGGTGGGAAGTATAAAAAAAATATGATTAGACATGTAAAATAAATTAAATGTGTGTATATATATATATATATATATATATATATATATATAGGGGTACTGTTTTACTCTGGAGACTTTGTTGAACACAAATACTAGTGTTTCAAAATAGTAAATTGTATTCCAACAATAATATTTTTAGTAAAAGTTACATTTTTTGCATTTTTCACATGTGAACAGCACTTTTACTGACAATATTATTGTTGTAATACGTTTTACTGTTTGAAACACTAATGTTTGTGTTCAGTGAAGTCTCCCAAGTATAATAGTACCCGCCATGTAGAGGTTTCATGGTATTTTGGAAAGGTAGAGAGTCAGCTTGCATTTCATTTTTTTCACATTGAAATGTGCCAGTTTGGTAATGTTGCCTTTGAGACCTTATGGTAGCCCAGAAATGAGAATTATCCCCCTGATGGCATACCATTTGCAAAAGTATGGAGCCCAGGGTATTGCAAGTGGGGTATGTCCAGTCTTTTTTAGTAGCCACTTAGTCACAAACACTGGCCAAATATTAGTTTTTTTGCTTTTCTTCACACAAAAACAAATATGAAATCTAACTTTGGCCAGTTGGGACTGAAACGTTGACCATCTATTCACTTCTATCACTTTATATAAGTGTTATAAGTAGAAACAAATGCTCGGTTTTAAAAGAAATCCGTGTACAGACTACCTTTTGGATTTGTTTGTATGGACTTGTGACCACAGTCTAGCACCCGGTATTAAAACAGTGATTATATTAATTCAGGAATGCAAGGCAAGATTGAACTGTGTGTGTATATATATATATATATATATATATATATAAGAAAAGAAAAGAAAAGAATTCTTGGCACTCACCCTTAATATTTCAAAAACAGTTGCAGTATTGCCTGGGTGCAATCCTTAGCGTTTAAATATAGCAAAAATCAATATGAAAGGAGCACTCACAGGTCTTCATATGAATATTGATTTATTCCAAGGTGCAAGTTACATGTGCAATCGACGTTTCGACCCTCACAGGGTCTTCTTCAAGATCAAATAACCAGTGAAACAGGTAAGTATATATACACAAACAAATATACAATAATAACTTACCAACAGGTGTGTGGGAAAATAAAACCGCCAAATGTCCGAAAACCGGAAGTATCTCTCGTGATCATGTGATCCTCTATACATCCTCTATCATTATGTGACCAATCCGCCCTCTGTGTATCCAGCTACAAACTATGTGAATACCTAAAACCGCCGGGCATCCGAAACCCGGAAGTACCTATGCGGTCACATGGTCTAGTTGCCAAGCAACCTACAACGCTATCTCTGTGTGTAACTACGTAAGTCCGCCGAGAATCCGAAACCCGGAAGTGCCCATGCGATCACGTGATCTAGTTACCAGGCAACCTACAACGCTGCCTCTGTGTACAATCTGGCGATGTGAAAATCTGTGTCATATATAATATAAACATAGCAATTACAAAAGGTGACAGAATGCTAAAAAATGAATAAAAATATATACATATATACAAGTGTACAAATGTACATATATACATATATATATATATATATATATATATGCATCTCTATCCACAGGAGGATCTTAATAATTAATATGTTAGTCACTACTTATTAATGTGGAAAAGGCAATTCCAAATATCAATTTATATAACAGAACATAGGATATAATATCCCATATCCAACATCTTCAAAACAAACAGAGCTATTTTTCAGATTCCTTAATTGCTAACACTGAACTATACTCACCACAAACATAAATAATCTGATATGCATGTTTAATAACAATATATACCTAATTACCTCACTAAATCTTACTTAGAGATATACACCCTATATTACCAAATGTACCTATCCAAGAGATGATCTCATCCATAATACTGCAATGATCCACTAACTAGTGTAATAGCACTTTCAAGTTGAAATGATGTAACCTACTATATTTCTCAGTCTTTATACATATACACTTAAGAAATTATTCTACTATACATCCACTCACACAATGACCACAACCTACAGTACGATTTACAAAAACATAGAATATGTATTATATTCATTCAGTCCTTTAGGTGTGACAGTGTCCAATTTAAAAATCCAATACGCTTCTCTTTGAAGCAGATGTTTGGACCTGTTACCACCACGAGGTAACGGGGGGACATGGTCGATGGCCACAAATTTAAGAGTCAGAAGTCTATGTGAAGCTGCCAGAAAATGCTTAGCTACTGGCTTATCTGTTCTTTGATCCCTGTAGGCTGTCATAATGCCAGATCTGTGTCCACGGATACGATCCCTTAAAGTTAGGTCTGTTTTCCCCACATACGACAGACCACATGGGCATGTTATAAGATATATTACATGATCCGTAGTACATGTAATATAGTGGGATATTTTTATTCTTTTTCTGGCAGCTTCACATAGACGTCCGACTCTTAAATTTGTGGCCATCGACCATGTCCCCCCGTTACCTCGTGGTGGTAACAGGTCCAAACATCTGCTTCAAAGAGAAGCGTATTGGATTTTTAAATTGGACACTGTCACACCTAAAGGACTGAATGAATATAATACATATTCTATGTTTTTGTAAATCGTACTGTAGGTTGTGGTCATTGTGTGAGTGGATGTATAGTAGAATAATTTCTTAAGTGTATATTTATAAAGACTGAGAAATATAGTAGGTTACATCATTTCAACTTGAAAGTGCTATTACACTAGTTAGTGGATCATTGCAGTATTATGGATGAGATCATCTCTTGGATAGGTACATTTGGTAATATAGGGTGTATATCTCTAAGTAAGATTTAGTGAGGTAATTAGGTATATATTGTTATTAAACATGCATATCAGATTATTTATGTTTGTGGTGAGTATAGTTCAGTGTTAGCAATTAAGGAATCTGAAAAATAGCTCTGTTTGTTTTGAAGATGTTGGATATGGGATATTATATCCTATGTTCTGTTATATAAATTTATATTTGGAATTGCCTTTTCCACATTAATAAGTAGTGACTAACATATTAATTATTAAGATCCTCCTGTGGATAGAGATGCATATATATATATATATATATATATATGTATATATGTACATTTGTACACTTGTATATATGTATATATTTTTATTCATTTTTTAGCATTCTGTCACCTTTTGTAATTGCTATGTTTATATTATATATGACACAGATTTTCACATCGCCAGATTGTACACAGAGGCAGCGTTGTAGGTTGCCTGGTAACTAGATCACGTGATCGCATGGGCACTTCCGGGTTTCGGATTCTCGGCGGACTTACGTAGTTACACACAGAGATAGCGTTGTAGGTTGCTTGGCAACTAGACCATGTGACCGCATAGGTACTTCCGGGTTTCGGATGCCCGGCGGTTTTAGGTATTCACATAGTTTGTAGCTGGATACACAGAGGGCGGATTGGTCACATAATGATAGAGGATGTATAGAGGATCACATGATCACGAGAGATACTTCCGGTTTTCGGACATTTGGCGGTTTTATTTTCCCACACACCTGTTGGTAAGTTATTAATGTATATTTGTTTGTGTATATATACTTACCTGTTTCACTGGTTATTTGATCTTGAAGAAGACCCTGTGAGGGTCGAAACGTCAATTGCACATGTAACTTGCACCTTGGAATAAATCAATATTCATATGAAGACCTGTGAGTGCTCCTTTCATATTGATTTTTGCTATATATATATATATATATATATATATATATATATATATATGTGTGTGCGTGTGTATATGTATGTCTTGATGAAAGCTCCGGTGAGGGGCTGAAACATTGGCTGGTATATTTTTTAAAATATATTTTTACATGCCACGCTAGAGGTAATTGAACCTTCAATTTGCTTGACTCCAATGGTGCTTCTACACCAGTCCTAGTCTCTGTTCTATACCAGTATTGGGTAGTATATTATATGATCATTTGTAACTCTGTGAATAGAAAGCCATATTTGGGGCTTGATGTTGCTACTATGCCCTGCTCATTTAATACTTTTAGTGTGTTTATTTTCTTACACTGTGCATGTTTTATGCTTTATTGTTCATCTCACGTAATCATTTCATGCCTCCTAACTGTACCGCTTTTAGCGGAACAGTCCCAATTTTGGGGTGCTGACTTGCCATTCTGCATTAGTTTCCTGGTGTCCCACATCTGGGGACACCAAGGAACAGTTTCCGGCAGCACAGAGCAAACCCATCATTAGAGGTGCTATTGCTGTGCAACAATAACTATGACCATGATAGGAGTGCTTCAAAAGTGCTGCCTGCATGGTCCAGATAGCTGGGGGGTTGGCCAGGTAGATTGTTAGTGGGAAGGCCCTGCCTCTTTTGGATAGGACTGCCCCTTTGTTGGCCAGACCCATTCATTGTGGATGTCGCTAATGTAGTGACTTACGTCACTGGCGACTCCCCTCATGGCGCCACCCTCTGTCCCAAAGTTCTGAGGATATGTAGTCTGACTGGCCTAATACATATAAACATCAATACTGTACAACCTACTAACCAGAATTTCCCCCCCTTTTAATACAAACACCATGATAATAGAAAACCCACATATATGAAAGTAACAAACAAAGGGAAGGGAGTTTGGCTTTCCAGGTAGCTCAACACAAGCTCTTCAGTCTTCTCCACACTTTTCAACACATTCTTGAGAGGAGCCCTGAAATATAAAGCCACTTTCCCTATTTTTTCCTTGTGCTCTACCACTAGCCAATCCAGAGCCAGCAGCCTATTCTCCAATCAGCTCCCTTGAAAACCCCAAATCTGCCTAGCTACTACTAATCTGCCTCACAACATCTCAGAGCTAACCGGACCCCTAACATTAACCCTTTCTTACCACAATGCTTATGCTGCTACAGGAGGTCATATGGCCTGTGGCACATCATTATTGTATTATTTTGCAATACAAGTTTAGTTGGAGGATTTCTCCATTATAACCACAATAACTAGTTAAATTAAATAAATAGGTTGTGTAAACAGTAACACTACAACACATGGAACAAATGTATTTATCGCACAATTACACCAAGAAGAACATTGTGGAAGGATACTGATTTTTCCAGGTTATGCTGCATTAAGAACAACTAGGTTTAACAAACGCTCAGTTAGGAGATTTTCTATATATTTTGTGCTCTCGGCAGAAGGTGGTAGGTTTAAAGAGAAAGTATTGTCGACAGAAGCAAGTGAGAAGGAGAGAAGAGGAAAGAAGCATATTTTGCAGTGCTCATCCCATAATTTTGAGGATTTTATAAAACAGATCTTGGCATTATACTTCATCCAACACATCTGTGGTTGTTGACCTGCGGCTCCTATTACCCTCAGCTGTCCAGCAGAGAAATGTATCCTCATTACACATTCTGCTTTTTTAGCCTTTAGTTACCACAATATAGTGTGGCTTAAACAACCTCAAGAGGCAAGTGGCATTGATACAGATATGTTTTAAAAAGTGTACGCTACATTTTGTGGCATTGCAGAGTATTTGTTTACTATCAATAGCTCCACAGGGATACAGTGTAACTATAATTTATTGAAAGTACCTAAATGCATTGACAGCATAGTCATACAGTTAAGGTAAATGAAAAGGCAATGTATTTTCCACTGCAAACAAAAAAAGTTGCATCTTGTAAATGTCTAAAATGTAAAGTTGCATCACCGTACTCAATATTATAGGATTAAAGAAAGTATGGTGTCTGCAGTGAAAACATATATATATATATATATTTTTAATAATTGTCCTTGTCATAGTATGGAAAGTACTTAATGGGCATCTCTTTTGTCTTTTTTTTTTTTTTTTTATATTAGACTCTAATACATTACACTACTACATCCAATGACGTGTACATTATATGGAATGACAGTGATAGTGGGCAACCCTGAGCAATTTAAATAGAGTAATAAATGAAATAGCGTATGCAGGTTTAACATAACATCACCAGAAGTCATGTCAATTAGAGGTCTTATCCTTGAAAAGCATGACCAGTAATCACAGTGCATGAAATTTTATACCAGCTCTTTGAATGGGTTTTACAGTTTTTCTTTGTCCTGCTTGTAGATTTTTGCACGTTACCTCCTATCAAGTGAATCAAAGCAGTTCCAAAATCCCCTAGTCTAACTATACCTTAAAACATGAAAGCAGATTCCAATATTAGTCAGTCCAGAGAAGGACTTCAAAACATTGTTCTTCAGTTCAAGGATACGACTAAACATCTAAAACGACAGCATTAAAATAAATGCAGAAATTGCATTCTGCACCAGGGATTGCTCAAGAAGAGCATTTGTGACAGCTGAATTAATTTACCAACATTATCATTGTTCTGGATTTGTATAGTTCCCTGGATCTTTACATTTCTTTTTATTATTTTTATTATTAAAATGACGTTGTTTTATTGTCTCTTTCTTTAACCCCTTAAGGACTGGACTGTTTTTGCGATGTTGTACATTTGCGACCAGGAATATTTTTACACTTTTCTGGTGTTTGTGTTTGGCTGTAATTTTCCGCTCTCTCATTTACTGTTCCCATACAAATTATATATTGTTTTTTTCAGGACAAAAGGGGCTTTCTTTACATACCATTATTTATATAAACTCATGTATTTTAATTTAAAAAAAATAAAAAAATATGATGAAAAATTGAAAAAAATACATGTTTTTTACTTTACTTGAAAAATCTTTTACTCATCTACAAAAGCGAATGAAAAAAACTGCTAAATAGATTCAAAATTTTGTCCTGAGTTTAAAAATACCCAGTGTTTACGAGCTTTTTTGCTTTTTTTTGCATGTTATAGGGCTATAGGTACAAGTAGGATATTGCGGTTTCAAAACATGCATTTTAAAAATTTATCAATAGTGACATTGTAACACTATTATCTGTCATAAATCTCTGAATAACACCCCACATGTACATATTTTTTTTAAAGTAGACAACCCAGGGTATTCAATATGGGGTATGTCCAGTCTTTTTTAGTAGCCACTTAGTCGAAAACACTGGCCAAAGTAAGCATTCATATTTGTTTGTGTGTGAAAAAAGTAAAAAAACTAAATTGAACGCTAATTTTGGCCAGTGTTTGTGACCAAGTGGTTACTAAAAAAGACTGGACATACCCCATTTGCAATACCTTGGGTTGTCTTCTTTTGCAAATGGTATGCCATCATGGGGGTAATTCTCATTCCTGGGCTACCATACGCTCTCAAAGGCAACGTAACCAACCTGGCCATTTTCAATGTAAAAATATTTGACCCATGTATTTGACCTTGTAACTTTCAAAAATGCTATAAAACCTGTACATGGGGGGTACTGTTTTACTCGGGAGACATCGCTGAACACATATATTAGTGTTTAAAAACTGGAAAACGTATCACAACAATTATATCATCAGTAAAAGTGCTGTTTGTGTGTGAAAAATGCAAAAAAAGTAACTTTCACTGACAATATCATCGCTGTGATATGTTTTACTGTTTTGAATCACTAATATTTGTGTTCAGCGAAGTCTCCCGAGTAAAACAGTACCCCCCATGTACAGGTTTTAGGGTGTCGTAGAACGTTACAGGGTAAAATACAGTGCTAGCAAATTAAATTCTCTGGAATTTCGGCCTGGGTTGGCAGGCAGGTCCCTCAAATTGCAATCAATAAAATTACTGAATTATGTAAAAATATTACATAAATACGCACGTAGAATTTAAAAATATATGCATATTTATATATTTGAAGTCTACGTGTATATTTATATAATTATTTATGTAATTTTGTATATGGACATATGTATATTTCGTATTATTTTTATTTATTTTTATATATATAGATATATATACAAATTCATTCTAAGTGTATTTTGATATAAATATATATATATTAATTTTAAAATACAGTTAGAATAAAATTTCATATAGCTATATAATTTTTTTTAAAATTTTTATTATTATTTTTAAAAATTTTTATTTAATTTAAATTACTTATTATTTATATTTTATAATAATATATATATACAATCTATATAGTTATTATATATATTATATATATACACGTGTGTAATTTAATTATAAGTGTATTTTTATATTAATATAAGTACATATTAATATAAAAATACACTTAGTATGGCATTATATATATATGATATATAGACATATATTATATTGATATAATATATGTCTATATATCATATATGTATCCACATATATAATTTTTTTTTTTTATTAACATTAACTTTATTTATTTATTTTTTGATTTTACACTAGCAGGGAGACTGCCTGTCAGCACAGGCAGTCCCCCTGCAGGCTGACACATGGACACCTATTGTGACCATGTGATCGCTGTGTTAAGCGATCACATGGCCACAGGGGTCCTAAATCAGTGTGGGGAGACTGTCTGGGCTGCAGGCAGTCTCCCCACACCGGGAGCAACGCTGATCGCCGCCGGGGGAACGACGGCGATCAGGTAAGTAACGGAAACCGTTAGGACGGTTCAGGACCGTCATCGGTCCTCAATGGGAAAATCCCGATGACGGTCCTGAACCGTCCTTGGTCGGGAAGGGGTTAATACAGAATGAAGGGCTATCAGGATAATTGTGGATTACTTAGGAGTGGATTGAATATATTGTTATCTATTACAATCTACTCTATATCTGCCTACATGTCTCTCTCTCTCTCACTCACTCTCCCTCTCAGCTCCAGCAATGTCTAAGGTATTCATCATTTGCTTTTGTTCTATGGATTTTTGCTGAAAAATATTTTAGCCATTGCTGCCCCCAGGTGTAGTGGGAGTTAGAGCAAAAGGCATAATTTTATATGTTTGTATTTGCTTCTGTATTACACAGTCATGTTACCATGCTTCCACCCACTCCACGTTCTATCTAATCCATCAATCTATCTAGCTCTCCAACTTTTTTCACTCTGTCTGTAGGCCTGTTAACATACATTGCTATGAGGTGTTGCACAATTTATACAATTTTGCTTCGATCTTATAAACATGCAGTCTCTTTGTCCGTCAGAGTTACAACAGAGTAAGATTTGGTAAACATAACCAGCACTCACTATTAGAGCTTGGGGAAACATGAAAACATAATGGTATTGGTGGTATGGGAGAGGGTCAATGAATAGCACAGCTGTTTGCCTTGAGTTTAGCAAATGTAATATATTTCCATTATCCGTTTTTACGGAACAGCAATTGTTCCAGTAAATGCAGTGAGATCAGCAGGTGGCCCAGGGTTATATAAGGGCTAGACAAAGTGAGATGAAAGACTGAAGAAAAACACATACCTGTGGCCAAACAGATTTCAATCACATAGCGATCCCATACTTAAACAATAGATTTACATTTATGGAATCTTTTTACACAGTGAAAATGGTTTAATGGCTTGGCGAATTGGAGTGGCTCATCCTATTGTGGAAGCCCTAATACATGTGAGATATAGTACAGAAAACGTAAATATCCTGATGAGAATCAACGTCAGTCTAAAGAATAATAGTAACAATGAATAATTCATGCCCTATGCCCTGCATTTAGGAATGTACTGTTTTTACCACAAGGGTTTATTCAATTAACAGTAAATACAGCAAGCATAATGCAAAAATAATCACGTTGTGACTATAGATGAATTTTCTTTTCTTTTTTCAAATCCGTTAATCTGTTTTATAATTTGCTATTTCATTTTCGAATTCACCAAAATTCACTGTTTAGTGAATAAACTCTAAATATGAATTTTGCAAACCATAGGAAAATTCCATGATCAACAGAATGTGCAGACATACACATGTACCATTTTAAAATCTCTTATATATACACTGAACAAAATTATAAACGCAACACTTTTGTTTTTGCCCCCATTTTTCATGAGCTGAATTCAAAGATCTAAGACTTTTTCTATGTACACAGAAGGCCTATTTCTCTCAAATATTGTTCACAAATCTGTCTAAATCTGTGTTAGTGAGCACTTCTCCTTGCCAAGATAATCCATCCACTTCACAGGTGTGGCATATCAAGATGCTGATTGAACAGCATGATTATTGCAAAGGTGTTCCCTAGGCTGGCCACAATAAAAGGCCACTCTAAAATGTGTAGTTTTATCACACAGCACAATGCCACAGATGTCGCAAGTTTTGAGGGAGCGTGCGATTGGCATGCTGACTGTAGGAATGTCCATCAGAGCTGTTGCCTGTGAATTGAATGTTTATTTCTCTACCATAAGCCATCTCCAAAGGCGAGAATTTGGTTGTAGTTTCAACCGGCCTCACAACTGCAGACCACGTGTAACCACACCAGTCCAGGACCTCCACATCCAGCATCTTCACCTCCAAGATCGTCTGAGACCAGCTACCCGGACATCTGCTGCAACAATCGGTTTGCATGACCAAAGATTTTATGCAGAAACCATTTCAGGGAAGCTCATCTGCATGCTCATCGAACTCACTGGGGCCTCGACCTAACTGCAGTTTGCCATCATAACCGACTTGAGTGGGCAAATGCTCACATTCAATGATGTCTGGCACTTTGGAGAGGTGTTCTCTTCACGAATGAATCCCGGTTTTCACTGTACAGGGCAGATGGTAGACAGCGTTTATGGCATCGTGTGGGTGAGCGGTTTGCTGGTGTCAGCGTTGTGGATCGAGTGGCCCATGTTGGCGGTGGGGTTATGGTATGGGCAGGCGTATGTTACGGACAACGAACACAGGTGCATTTTATTGATGGCATTTTGAATGCACAGAGATACCGTGGCGAGTTCCTGAGGATCATTATTGTGCCATTCATCCACGACCATCACCTCATGTTGCAGCATGATAATGCACAGCACCATATTGCAAGGATCTGTACACAATTCCTGGAAGCCGAAAATATCCCAGTTCTTGCATGGCCAGCATACTCACCGGACATGTCACCCATTGATCATGTTAGCGATGCTCTGGATTGGTGTATACGACAGCGTGTTCCAGGTCCTGCCAATATCCAGCAACTTCGCACAGCCATTGAAGAGGAGTGGACCAACATTCCACAGGCCACAATCAACAACCTGATCAACTCTATGCAAAGGAGATGTGTTGCACTGCATGAGGCAAATGGTGGTCACACCAGATACTGACTGGTTTTAAAACCCCCCGGATCTCCTCAATACAGTAAAACTGCACATTTTAGAATGGCCTTTTATTGTGGCCAGCCTAAGGCACACCTATGCAATAACCATGATGTCTAATCAGCATCTTGATATGCCACACCTGTGAGGTGGATGGATTATCTCGGCAAAGGAGACGTGCTCACTAACACAGATTTAGACAGATTTGTGAACAATATTTGAGAGAAATAGGCCTATTTCCTGTAAATAGAAAAAGATCTTTGAGTTCAGTTCATGAATAATGGGGGCAAAAACAAAAGTGTTGCGTTTATAATTTTGTTCAGTGTACATGATGGGTTTCCAACCTTTTTCATTTAAAATTGTTCTTGAAATAATGCGCTACTTATTGTATCTGCACCTATATTAGAATTAATTGTTGCTATTTCATTAACCCCTTAAGGACGGCGGGCGGGCTATGCCGTCCTTGGGTACCCGGCTCTAAACGCTATCACGGTGGGGGGACTCACTTGGCATTCCAGGGAGTCCCCCTTCTGCCGTTCTGGCCTTCCTGGGCCATGTGATCGCAAGGTCCTTGCAAGGACCTCACGATCACATGGACGGCATACAGAGTTTCATTTAGTGGTACAATTTGGTGGCATCAGAGAGCTGTCCTCAAAAAAACATAGTGCAAGCACACTATGACAGACAGCCTGGTGTGCCTGGTTATGATGACTTGTCAATTCTGTTAGGCAGGTGTAATTCTTTGGGTGTTAGTATCACTGCCCCCAATTTTATCCTGCCCGCTAGTGTCCCTCTTCATGGGATGCTGATGTTGGGGCATATGGTTTTTCCATTTGTGTGAGTTGTCTTGCACATTATCAAAACATACTAACCTAAAATTTCAATCAATCTAAAAAAAAAAATGGTTATGGTTATACATTTCACAAAAAAATTTTTTAGTGCAAAGTGTGTAGTGATTTTATCATTTTCACATGAATGTAATAATTAATGTATTAACAATGTTATTCACTAAGGTGAATTTTGGAGCAGCTCTCTTGTGATCAGCAGTTTGGAAAGGTCACTCGATAATTAGAATCCAGCCACATTCATTGTTAAGTGTATAGTCAGCTAAAGAGTTCAGTTAAAACTTAATATGTGTGGGATTAGCACTCCTAGTACATTTCACATGAAACAATGTATAGGTCTTTTAAAGATGCATTAAATACTTATCAAGAAAAAAATTGCTATTTTGGCCATAACATGCGTAGCCTGCTAGGGCATTAAAACAGTAACGCTAACTTTATATGCTATATAAAGAGATGATCTTATATTTGTGCCTAATGATATTTTGTGCTGTCCATTACAGGTTATCAAGTCATCATCAGTAGTGTAAGGATCAGAAGAGCCAGAGAAGACCGAGCCATGAAACCAAACTTGAAGCAATGGAAACAACTTATGCTATTTGGTATCTGTGCTTGGGGTCTCCTCTTCCTTGTGATATTCATCTATTTTACCGACAACAACTCGGTGGAACCAGTGCCAAGTTCCTTTTCTTACATAGAAGCCAAGAAACTCTTACCTATTCAAGGTAAGCAGAGGGCCATAATGGGAGCACTTCAAGATCTGTCTGTGTCATATGTCAATGATGATAATGAAGACAGCGTAGATTATTTTAAATTCGGCCCAGGTAGCATCAAAAACATGGCTGACGTGGGGCATTATTTTGAGAATGAAGATGAATTTATAATTTCAAAGAATTTCAAATCACCAGTCAGTAATTTTCGTGGAAATTCTGATAAGAATAATCTACATGCCAACATTCATTCAGCTAGTGGAAAAATCTCTCCATGGTATGGTGCAAGGCATTACCAAGCCATCCATTCACGTCACAGAAAAAACAGAAGACATGTGCAGCGCAAGAACCAACATATGTTTGAAGAGTCAGATGATTGGAATGGATTTTCTTCTTCAATGTCCAAATCTTTTCTACAGAAATTGTGGAAAGGTAATGTCTCAGCAAAAATGTTGACACCTCATCTACAGAAAGCTAGGAGGGAGTACCTCAGAGCAAATAAACTTGGAGTTAGCTATACTGGAAAACATAATTCAAAGAAACTCAATCCCCAAGAACTCCTATGTGTTCTGAAGAAAAGAGCTCATGTGAGGACACTGGATGGCAAGGAGGCTCCATTTTCAAATCTGGGATGGGAAAAATATTTTCCTCAAACACCACTAAACTTATTATATCGACAAGGTTTCTCCTCTTGTGCTGTAGTTTCATCTGCTGGCGCAATCCTTAACTCCTCACTAGGAGCAGAAATTGGTGAGTTCAGAGTATTTTTACAATATTTTTTTATTTGCACTCTCCAGTAACCTGTAGCCTGCCATATTACTAGGTGTAGCACGTTATTTGAAAAAGGCAGATGTAATGTAGTTTCTGCACCAAAGAAAATAGTAAGCTGTTGCTGTTGGAACTAAGATTGACTTATTACATTTACTGTCATGTATATTTATTGCTTATTATGCATGGATTTTACAGGAGAGTATTATGAGGTATTGAACTGTGTATTATGTCCATAAATTGAAAAGACAAAAAGACAAAACGCCAACTCTGTCTCTGAATAACAGAATAAGTCCTGCAATTATTTGTCATGATGATATTTTGTTTTCTCACATAAATATACATTCTCACTATAAAATATACATGCACCTGGCAGAACTACAGGGGTCGCAGCTGCGACCAGGCCTGTCACTCCAGGGGGCCCGACCACCCTGCGGACCCCTGTGACTGCATGCCTGCCGCCATGTGTTGTGGCCGCGGCCCGCATGGTGTAACTGCTGGGGCCATATTGCATTTTCTCACAATATGTTGTTACGGCCACCCGATGGCAATGAATATCCAGGGGGCCCCAGTCAGCGCTGCAGCGCTTTAACTATGTGACCGGGCCCCCTGTGATGACGTCAGATGCTGGGAGGAAGTGACTGCCCTGGTCACTCCTCCCAGCTATCAAAGAGAGCTGTGCGGGAGGAAGTCAGAGTGGGAACTTTGACATCATCAGCCTGAGCCACCACTGGACCCCAGGGAAAGTCACGCTCCTGCACCTAAAAGGTAGGAAACAGGAGGGTGACTTAAACATTTTGCATGTGTGTGTTAGTGTATGTGTGTCTGTATGTATGTCTCTATATGTGTGTCTGTATGTATGTGTCTTAATGTGTGTGTGTGTCCGTGTGTTTGTGTATGTGTGTCTATATGTATGTTTCTCTATATGTGTGTGTGCACATGTGTGTCTGTATGTATGTATGTGTGTGTGTGTGTGTATGTATGTATGTGTTTGTGTCTGTATATATGTATGTGTGTGTCTGTATGCCTTTATGTGTGTGTGTCTCTGTGTGTGTGTGTGTCTATGTGTGTGTCTGCATGTGTATCTGTTTACATGTGTATGTGGGAAGGGGGGTGGACATATGAGGGAAGGGGAGAAGTAGACTTATGGGGGGGGGGAATTAAACGTATGGGGAGAGGGTAGACCTATGGGGGGGACCCAGGGTAATTTTCTCACCGGGGCCCCATGGTTTGTAGTTACGCCTCTGATACATATGATAGTTATGTGCAAACTGAATTGGAAATAAGACATATTAACCCTTAAAAATCATAAATTCATGGTTTTATTTCTTGACAAGATCTTTACAAGTTTATTCAGGTGACATTATTTCAGGATATTGTTTCAGGAAGCAAGCAAACATTTACAAATGGTCCATTTCTTAAAAAGAAAAACGTATGTATCTGTTAGTGACTGTGCTACATATCAGTGAGATTGTCTGTCTGTCATTGAGGATCTATGTCAGTATGTCTGTTAGTGAGTGTGTGTCTGTCAGCGAGTGTGTGTGTCTGCCAGTGTGCATTTGTCAGTGTGTGTTTCTCAGTGAGAGTGTGTGACTGTCAGAGAGTGTGTGTCTGTTTAGAAAAATGGGTGGGGCTTATAGATGGAGAGGTGGAGTTATCAGGGCCGTCTTTAAGGAGGGGCAAAAGGGGCAGCTGCCCCGGGCCCAGTTACTCCTGGGGGCCCTAAGGCAGCTGCCCCATGGGCCCCCTGCGGCACCTGAGGTAATCAGGTGCCACAGCCCTTTAATACTGCTCTGGACCGGCCCGGGCCCCTGTTATATGGGGGGTGGCTGACTACATACTCACAACTAGCCCCCTCACATACTGCCATGTGAGTCTCTGTTTCCTGGGCATGCTGGGAGGCAGTGAGGTCAGATTGCTTCCTCCTCAGTGCCGCTGGGGAGGAGGCACACACCACATGGAGGAGGATGCAAGCATTGTGGGGGAGAAGGACTGAGAAAGCTGATGGCAGACTCCCATCATCCTGAGCCAGCAAGCTCTCACTGGACACCAGGGAAGCCACCTTTCTGTACCCAAAATGTAAGGAGACAGGAGGGTGGCTAAATATGTTTTGTTTTTTGTTTTGCTTATTTCTGATATCACTTTTATTTAAGTGTGTTGGTGTTTGTAATGTAACACACAGGGAATAAGTACATGTTAAAAATCCTAGAAGAACCTGACAGTTCCCTATTAAATATAAATTTAAAAAGTATTTATTTTAACATATTGCTTCAAGTGTTATCAAAGGCTGTACACCATTTCCAAATGTCACTTTTGCCAAATTCTGGACCAAGGTATGTAAGAACAGAAGAGTTGAGACATTATATTGGCCAAGTTTGCTGGGAGTTGCTGTCCAAGAGCTGCTAGAAGGCAGAGATTAAAATATGTAAATGTACACATATATGTGTGTGTGTATCTGGCTGTGTTTATGTCCTTGTGTGTATCTGGCTGTGTTTGTCTGTGTGTCAGTGTTTCTGTGTGTATGTATACCTCATACACCTGTATGTGCACCTGTGTGTGTGTTTCGGTGTGTGTGTAAGTGTGCATCTGAGTGTGTGGTAATGCATACATCCCAGCATTTTAATGCCAACACAAATACACTCCTACATTCCGTCTCTAGCACTGTACACATATACACCCCTGCATTTATACCTTTATGTATGTGTGTATCTGAGTGTGTGTGAATATACCTGTGTCAGTGTGTGTGTGTGTATGTGCCAGTGTGTGTATATCAAAGTGCTTGTATCTGTGTGTCAAAGGGTGTGTATCTGAGTGTGTGTGTATGTGTATGTGCCAGTATGTGTCAAGGTGTGAGCATGTGTCAGTGTGAGCATGTGTGTATCTGCGTGTTAATGTGTATGTGTATATGTGTTATAGAAATCACACAACATGCAAACAGACCCCTGCAAACACAAACATTACAAACACACCAGTTTGCTGAAACACTAATACTACACACAAATGTACACATGTATTTAAAAGACAACACTACGTCCAAACACCCCCTGCATGCAAATACAAACATTACATGCAAACACATTCCTGTATTAAAACGCTATAATTATATACAAACACCAACTCTACACACAAAAGTACACCTGCATTTAAAAGCCAACACTACAAACAATCACACATCCCTGCATTAAAATGCAAACACTACACACAAGTACACCACTGCATTCCAATGGTAACAGTGCATACAAATACACCCCTACATGCACACATACACTCCATACAATAACATGCTGACATTCATTTGCACAAACACTGCTCAAAAATACAACCCTGCAAGGATGGTAGATCCCCAGCTGGCATAGGATCGCAGGAGTTGTATGACAGATGGGGATCTATCTTTTCTTTACTCTTGTGCTACAGGGCAGGCCTGAATTTTTTTTTGTTGCACCAAGGCAACATTAGTTTCGCCTCTAGGTTGGGGTGGAGGGAGTGATTTCATGCCCAAGGGGCCCAAACAAATGCTTGCCCAGGGTCCAATCAATATTAAAGACGGCCTTGGGAGTTATTGTCATAAAAACATACATGTCTGGATATTTACAAAGGGGAGGGGTTTGTAAGATGACCACGCCCACATAGGGGCGCCAACAATTTTTTTTTTTTTAAACTAAGGCACCTGTGACCCTAGGATTGGCCTTAGTTTAAAAAAAGTGTCATTGCAGTATGAGAGGTAGCGCTCACTATCATGCTGCATTTTCTCACACAGTGATTGTTGCTGGGCCATTGGCAGAGCCCAGAAAAAATCCTGCTGCAGGGGGCAAGGAGGGAGATCTCCCCGAGGTATTTTCAGTTCCCAGTGGTATACCTGATACTTGGTGAGGCAATGCCAGGCTGTGGGAGGAGAAAGAAATACTGCGACTGAGTGAAATCGCTCAGCCATAGTATTTAAATGGCTATGAGCATGCTGAAGCCACTAACTGTGGCCCCAGCTGACAGAGAGGAATCCCAAGTATTGAAAGAGATCTGGGGTTCCTTGGTACCAGCAGGATTTTAACCCTTGCTAATACAGTCTATCCCGTCACTGGGCATTAAAATCCTGCACTGCATGTTGTCATAGACTATTAAGTAGTTAATGCTTTTGAAAAACGTACCAAATTGATAAGTCATGAAACTGCTTACACAGTTGTCACAAGTTCCAATCATGAAATTTGTTTCTGCAAGTTGCTCCGAGGTTTGCTCTCCTGGGGATGATTTCTCAATACATTTTATATGCTAGACACAATCTTTAAGGGGTTATTTGTTTCTACTTTTATAACAATGCATATTAATGATCCTCTGGCAATACCTTCTTATGATTTGAGACCTTGTTTTACAATAGAATATAAAATGCAAACCTAATAGTCTAGAATACCAGATTTGCTTACCTGAATATAGATTATTCAAGTCAGTTTGACTGAAGTTCTAATTAAGTTAAAATATATTCAAAAAGAGCAATCATAAAGAAAAAACGTATTATTATTTCATAAAACCCAGCAGTCAGACATATGCAAGCAGAACAGGTAAAGACTGGGCATCAGTGACCCTCACTAAATAGGTTTACTAGGCGCTGAGCATTTTGATTGTGTGTGTGTGTGCCTGCTAGTGAGTGAGCTTGTGTGTGTGCCTGCTAGTGAGAGAGCTTGTGTGTGTGTCTGCTAGTAAGTGAGCTTGTGTGTGTGTCTGCTATGGAGGGAGCTTGTGTGTTTGTGTCTGCTAGTGAGGGAGATTGTGTGTGTGTGTGCCTGCTAGTGAGTGAGCTTGTGTGTGTGTGTCTGCTAGTGAGTGAGCTTATGTATGTGTGTGTGCCTGCTAGTGAGTGAACTTGTGTGTGTGCGCCTGCTAGTGAGTGAGCTTGTGTGTGTGTGGGCCTTCTAGTAAGTGAGCTTGTGTGTGTACCTGCTAGTGAGTGAGCTTGTGTGTGTGCGCCTGTTAGTGAGTGAGCTTGAGTGTGTGTGTGTGCACGCCTGCTTGTGAGTTAGCTTGTGTGTGTGTGCCTGCTAGTGAGTAAGCATGTGTGTGTGTGGCTGCTAGTGAGTGAACTTGTGTGTATCAGTGAGCTTGTCTGTAGGAAGCATGTGTGTGTCAGTGAGCTTGTATGTAGTGAGTATGTGTGTGTCAGTTAACTTGTCTGTAGTGAGCATGTGTGTGTCAGTGAGCATGTTTGTGTGTGTGTGTGTGTGACAGTGAGCTTGTCTGTAGTAAGCTTGTACGTGTCAGAGTTTGTCTATACTACGTTTGTGTGTATACTAGTAAGCTTGTCTGTGTGTGTCAGTGAGATTGTCTGTTAGTGAGCCTATTTGTGTGCACTTGTAAGCTTGTGTTTTTATGTGAATGAGCTTATGTATATCAGTGAGATTGTTTGTCTATCAGGTTGTGTATCAATGGGCTTGTGTGTCAGTGAGATTGTCTGTGTCTGCATGGGAGTATGCTTACTGTATAATTAAATGTTTTACTCTGAAAGGACCAATATTTTAAAATAAATGTAAAATATTGTTCCTTTCAGAGTAAGAGTAAAACATTTAATATATATAATATGTACACATATAGTTAATACATTGCTAAACAGAAATACACACACCAGTCAAGCCAATTGTGTTTCAAAGCTGTTGTATAAAGCAGACACATACTCCAAGGAATCCATGTATAAAGTGGAATTATGAGGCAAAAATGTGGTTCTTTGTTGAGCTGTACTATATATATCTAGATAGATAGATACATAGCCTTACATATTACATGTGACAATACATGGTGCAATGACTTATGTGGCTGGCATAGATTTTTTTTTTTCCAAGGCTGCTTTGTATCCCCAGTCCAGCCCTGCTTATAGTGGACTTTTCTCTGAAGTACCTAAAAGAAGGACACTGTAGAACAAACCCCAGATATCTGATGGCAAACTCCAAATGAAAATTATCTTGGCAAAACTTAGACAGTTGAGGATATGTAATTTTGTAGATGCGTTCATAGATTATATTTCCATTATCCCCTACACAGGAACGTTAGTGTTGACCCGGATTACCAGACTTTTTACATCAATCTCAGGAATTCAGAACTAATGTACCAATTAATAGTTTCAGACAATCTGACAAAAGAATACACTGAGTTTTGTTTGAGTGGTTTATTGCAAACCCTGCACTTGTGGCCTCTAAGAGAGAGTCAACACGGGCTCTAAATAAGGGCACTCCTTTCTCTTTGTTACGTAATATATCATACTTGGCAAAAACACACACACATACAGCACACACACATACAGCACACACACACACACACACATACAGCACCCTCACACACATACAACACACACACACACACATACAGCACCCTCACACACATACAGCACACACAGCACACACATACAGCACCTTCACAAATACAGCACACACACACATACAGCACACACATACAGCACCCACACACACACAGCACACACACATACAGCACCCACACACACAGCACACACACACATACAGCACCCTCACACACATACACCACACACACACAGCACACACATACAGCATCTTCACACATACAGCACCCACACACACACAGCACCCACACACACACAGCACCCTCACACACATACAGTACCCACACACACACAGCACCCACACACATACAGCACCCTCGCACATACAGCACCTACACACAGAGCACCCTCACACACACAGAACACTAACAGGACCCTAACAAACACACACACACAGCACACAAACAGCACCCTCACACACACATCACACTAACAGCACCCTCACACACAGCACCCTTACACACACACACACACACACACACACACAGCACCCTCAAACCACCCTCACGCAGCACACACACACACAGCAGTGTATGTATGTGTGTGTATATATATACCCTGTTTCCCCGAAAATACACCCTACCCTGAAAATAAGCCCTAGCCGGATTATCGGGGTGGGCTGCAATATAAGCCCTACCCCGAAAATAAGACCTAGGCATTGCACCTTTGCGGCCCGGCGAGACTTCCTTCTTCTACCGTATGAGGAGGAGGGGAGGAGCGTTGCGGGCCGCGGCATCGCGCAACGTGATGACGACCTTTCGCAGCGCCGTCAGTCTGCCTTCACGGATCTTCAGCGGAAGGATCCATTTCCGGGCGGTGAGGCACCCAGTGGTCGGACTCGGTGGGCAAGGAATCTTTGAAATGTGAGTAGATATTTTATGTCTGGGACTGAATTAATTAAAGGGGGGTGTGTGAATTAATTAAAGGGGGGGCTGGATTAATTAAAGGGGGGGGATTAATTAAAGGGGGGTGGATTAATTAGAGGGGGATGGATTAATTAGGGGGGTGGATTTATTAAAGAGGGGGGTGGATTAATTAAAGGGGGTGGAGAAAAGTTGTTTAAATGTTGTTCAATGTACATACCGGTACCGTAAATAAATAAGCCCTACCCTGAAAATAAGCCCTAGTGTGTTTTTTGTGACTAAAATTAATATAAGACCCGGTCTTATTTTCGGAGAAACACGGTATATATGTGTGTGTGTATATATATGTGTGTGTGTATATATATATATATATATATATATATATATGTATATATATATACACGCGGCTTGTGTTTGTGCTTTAGGGTGCAGACCCTAATGCAATAGGCTGCACACGCCTATGTTGGAATTTGACTTGAGACATTCGTACATTTGTGTGTATATTCCTCTGTTACACAATATACAGAGCACTTGTGTACCTGCATTTTCCTTCTGTGTAATATTTTACTTTGCATAATATATTCTTGCGCGTAGCTCTTTTTCATTTCAGCCATCATTGTTGAAAATAAACACCCGCCTCCCTCCATTCTCCCCTCTCCCCCCACCCATTTTTTTTTTCATTTCACTTTCTTTTCTTCTCTACCACATATTTGTTATTGATGATAGAGATGTTAGAGGTTATATTGTAGATCAGTGATATCCACTGGGACACTATATTTATGTATTTGTCTGTTCGACATAATGAGACTCACTGTACATCCATATTGCTTGTTAATGGATAGCCTGTGATGTACAACAAATTTGTTCCCCTTTTTTCTTTTCTGTATCCTTATTTATTTATATGTATTTCAAAAAATAATGAGAAGAAATAAAGAGAAAGAGAGAAAAAAAGAAAATAAGAAATAAAATATGATGAAAAAAGGTATATCCTTAATCAACAATATTACATATACTATTCTGATCTATTGATACCACACTCCTATCCATACTATTGAAATATGAAATATGGTATGGAGCTGATATGCTAATCGCCTATTGATTTACTCCTGGTCTCACAATGAATTTCTTTTTATCTACACACAACATGCTTCCCTTTTTAGCTACACACATAATCTAATTATTCTTATCCTCACACACATTGTTTTCTTGTCTAACCACACACACATTGCTTTTAAAAGACTTTTTCTTAAAATTTAAAAATAAATTTCAACCCACGCAAATAAACCTGCTCCATCACCAAGGTTTACCTTCCATGCTGGCTGCATAGAGTAACCACTCAACATTTAGGTATTTTAAAAGGTGGGTTACCTCTTCTATTTGATTGCTCCCTTGAGTAGCAGATTAGGATCCCATTCTTAGCACCAAGAACTGTCAGTAATTTATTTACTCTACACCCAGTCAAGAGAGAGCACTGAGGTACGTTTAAGTGGTTTATTGCAGAACATACACTTGTTGCCTTTGAGGGAGAGTCAATACAGACTGTGAATGAGACACTCCTTATTGTGTTACATAATCGATTATATATTGCTGAGCATAACTCTTAAGTGTCCTTATTTTGGACCCAAATTCCTCAGTCCAAATGCCCCTCTTTTATAAGAGTTCCACATTGTTAGTATGTCTGAGTGTATAACAGAGCTCCACAGCAATAAACTACAAGAAATGTATTTAGCAAGCACACTGTGTAAATAAGATATGTGTTCTTGTTCTAAATTCCATTTTAGGTGCATACATTGTTATTTGTAAGTCATCTAAAATTTCTCAGAATAGACCATCCATGGTCATACCCACACTCGCTACTCCTCATATTAAAGTGTCCCTCTTTGTCCATTTCAAATGTTCAGATATGTTACATATGGCCTTGTCAATTAAACATTTGTCATATTGTAGCAGTGGTTCTTAACCATATTTTGAGTCACAAATCTTGGGCATTGCATTAGTTCAGCGACCCATTCTTCAATTTTAATATAAGTTTGGGGAACTAATTCTGAACTTGAATATAATATATGCCAGAATAAATACTAAAGAACATCATCAGTAAACCTTTAGAGCAGCGGTTCCGAAACTGTGCGCCCACAGGGGAGCTGCAAGATATTTTCCCGGTGCCATGATCAGAGATCACCCTCACCGGCCCACTAGCAGTATACTGCTGGCAGCGGGCAGGGGATGGAGGGAGAGAGGACCCGGGGGATCTCTAACATGCAGCTCTGCAGGGTTCTCCACTCGCAAGCTCAGAGCATTGCTAGGGTTACCAAGACAATGCTCCGTATCTCGTGAGAGTGAACTCTAGCAGCTCCTGAGGCTACTAGAGTTCACTCTCACCAGTGGGACCACCTGGACTTCTCCACTAATCCACCAGGGTTTGCCCCCACCAGGAAAAAAATACATTATATATTCATGAATTTGCCTTCCCACCCCACAGACCCCACACCACACAATATTTCCCCATACACACACCATCCCCCACACACACTGCCCCCCACACTTCCCCCCACACACACACTGCCCCCATACACACACAATTAACCCCATACACACAATTGTCCTACACACATTATTTCCCCCCATAGACACACACTGCCCACTCATACACACAATTACCCTCCCTACACACACTGCCCCCATACACACAAACACTGTCCCTCCATACTCACAAACTGTACCCCTCACACACACTGTACCCCTCACACACTGCCCCACACACTTTGTACCCCTCACACAACCTGCCCCCACACACACTGTACCCCACACACAACGTGCCCCCAGACACACACTGTACCCCTCGCGCACAAACTGCCCCACATACACAGACACTGCACCCCTCACACACACGCACACTGCACCCCTCACACACACAATCCATCACTCAAGCACACACATATTGCACCCCTCACACACACTACTGCCCCTATACCCTTCTACAGCGCCTATCCCGGCAGATCCCAGGTAAGTTGTCAAACTGTTCTTAAACAGTTTTCTACTTACTCTGGGAGGGCACTATGGCACTACTGGCACCATAACCACTACAAAGTGCTGTAGTGGTTATTGTGCCTGGATTATTTCTTTAAATAATCTACCAGTGCCCCTCCAAAGATTAGGTTCTGGATCTGCACTTGAACGGCAAGCATTTGTGCTGAAAAGAGGCCCATTATATGCTGCTGCGCTGTACATATATACAACCTAAAAAGTTTGGGAACCACTGATTTAGAGCAGTGGTTCCCAACCCAGTCCTCAAGTACCCCCTAACAGTCCAGGATTTAGGTATTACCCAGTTGTGTTTAACCCCTTGACGACCGATGACGGTTCAGTACCGTCATTGGAAACATCCCCATGGGGATCGATGACGGTCCTGAATCGTCATAACGGTCTGGGGGTACTTACCTGATCGCCATCGGTCCCCCGGCGATGATCAGCACTCCTCCCGGTCCAGGGGGACTGCCTGTCTGCCCAGGCAGTCTCCCCCCATGGCAGATCAGGACCCCGCGGCCACGTGATCGCTCGATCACGTGGCCACAATAGGTGTCTGCGTATCTGCCTGCAGAGGGACTGTCTGTGCTGACAAGCAGACTCCCTGCAAGTGAAAAATCATAAAATAAAGTTACAAAATAAAGCAATAAGTGTAAAAAAATAATAATATGTATATATATATATATATATATATATATATGATATATATACATGTATTATATCTATATATAATATATGTATATATATCTCATATATATAATGTCATACTAAGTGTATTTTTATATTTATAGATACATATATTGATATAAAAATACACTTATATTTAAATTACACACGTATATATACAATATAATAACTATATATATTGTATATATATATTATTATAAATTATAAAAAATATGTTAATAAAAATAAATAACAAAAAGTAAAAATAATTTTTAATAATTAAAAATTATATATATATGTAATTTTATTCTAACAGTATTTTTATATTAATATATATATATATATATTTATTTCAAAATACACTTAGAATGTAATGATATATATATATATATATATATCTATGTATAAATAAATAAATAAAAATAATACGAAATATACATATGTCCATATACATAATTACATAAATAATTTCATAAATATACACGTAGATTTCAAATATATAAATATGTATATGTATTAAAATTCTATGTGAATATTTATGTAATATTTTTACCTAATTAAGTAATTTTAATGATTGCAATTTGAGAAACCTGCCTGCCAACCCAGGCCGAAAGTCCAGAGAATTTTATTTGCTAGCACTGTGATTAACCCTGTAGCTTTCTATGACACCCTAAAACCTGTACATGGGGGGTACTGTTTTACTCGGGAGACGTCGCTGAACACAAATATTAGTGTTTCAAAACAGTAAAACATATCACAGTGATGATATTGTCAGTGAAAGTGAAGTTTTTTGCATTTTCCACACACAAACGGCACTTTCACTGATGGTATTATTGCTGTGATACATTTTACTGTTCTGATACACTAATATTTGTGTTCAGTGAAGTCTCCTGAGTATAACACTACCCCACATGTAGAGGTATTATAGTGTTTCTGAAAGTAAAAGGGTCAAATATAAGGCTTGGTTTTACTTTTTTTTTTTTTTTTTTAATTGAAATTTGTCAGATTGGTTAGGTTGCATTTGAGAGCATATGGTAGCCCAGGAATGAGAATCACCCCCATGATGGCTTACCATTTGCAAAAGAAGACAACCCAAGGTATTGCAAATTGGGTATGTTCAGCCTTTTTTAGTAGCCACTTAGTCACAAATGCTGGCCAAAGTTAGCGTTTTTTGCATTTTTAACACACTAACAAATATACATGCTAACTTTGGCCAGTGTTTGTGACTAGGTGGCTACTAAAAAAGACTGGACATACCCCATATTGAATATCCTGGGTTGTCTACTTTAAAAAATATGTACATGTGAGGTGTGATTTGGGGATTTATGACAGATAACGGTGTTACAATGTCACTATTGATAAATGTAAAATATATATATTGAAACAACAATTTCCTACTTGTATTTATAGGCCTATAACTTGCAAAAAAAAGCAATAAAGCATGTAAACACTGGGTGTTTTTAAACTTGGACAACATGTTGAATCTATTTAGCAGTTTTTTTCATTAGCTTTTGTAGATAAGTAAAAGATTTTTCAAGTAAAAGTCTAAAAACATGTTTTTTTTTAAAAAAAATTCACCATATAAAAATTTAAATAAAATATATGGCATGATACAAATAATGGTATGTAAAGAAAGCCCTTGTTGTCCTGAAAAAAACAATATATAACTTGTATGGGAACCGTAAATGAGAGAGAGGAAAATTACAGCTAAACACAAACACCACAAAAGTGTCAAAACTGCTCTGGTCTTTAACGTACAACGTCGCAAAAACCGTCCGGTCCTTAAGTGGTTAACGTGTTTTTAGAAAAAATAAATAAATAAAACACTTTAGACACAACAGGGTAATCCCTAAATCCTGGACTGGTAGGGGGTACTTGAGGACTGGGTTGGGTACCCCTGCTTTAGAGGATTATATTGCATGTAGGAAGGCAGTACTGCTATAGTAAACAGTGTATTGTGGGTAATTGGTAAAAGCCTGAATGATATTATGTTCCTGTTCCAACCATTACAGACCAACTAAATTAGCCCATGGACCTGATTTGGGGTTCTAGCCCATGGAACTGCTTTATAGCTTATCCCATACATTATATTATTCCCAAGGGCAGAGTACAGAATATTTGATAGAGTCCTAACCTCAACATATGAGGAAAGGGATTTAGGGGTGATTATTTCTGATGACTTAAAGGTAGGCAGACAATGTAGTAGAGCAGCAGGAAATGCTAGCAGAATGCTTGGTTGTATAGGGAGATGTATTAGCAGTAGAAAGAGGGAAGTGCTCATGCCATTGTACAGAACACTGGTGAGACCTCATTTGGAGTATTGTACACAGTACTGGAGACCGTATCTTCAGAAGGATATTGATACCTTAGAGAGGGTTCAGAGAAGGGCTACTAAACTGGTTCATGGATTGCGGGATAAAACTTACCAGGAAAGGTTAAAGGATCTTAACATGTATAGCTTGGAGGAAAGACGAGACAGGGGGGATATGATAGAAACATTTAAATATATAAAGGGAATCAACACAGTAAAGGAGGAGACTATATTTAAAAGAAGAAAAACTACCACAACAAGAGGACATAGTCGTAAATTAGAGGGACAAGGGTTTAAAAATAATATCAGGAAGTATTACTTTACTGAGAGGGTAGTGGATGCATGGAATAGCCTTCCAGCTGAAGTGGTAGAGCTTAAAAGAGTTTAAGCATGTGTGGGGTAGGCATAAGGCTATCCTAACTATAAGATAAGGCTAGGGACTAATGAAAGTATTTAGAAAATTGGGCAGACTAGATGGGCCGAATGGTTCTTATCTGCCGTCACATTCTATGTTTCTATGTATAGCTTTATTTATTTAGCCCATAAAGAACTGCTTGATAGCTTTATTTTGAAAACCTGAGCCAAAAGGGCTATTCACTAAAGTTAGATTTAAACACTATCTCAGTTTCTCATTAGTATAATGTTGTTTAAGGTGTAAACATTGAATTTGTTTTTAAGACTAACAGATAGTATATGCCAGTAAATTGGCCTTTGGAAAAAGCAAACTGTCAGCGTTTGTAAATAAGTGCCCAGGCAGTATATAATTCCTTACCTCTTCTGGATGCAGTGGTGGACTTGCCAGTGTATAAGCTTGCCCGATGGAAAGTGGGCCCTGCGGGCCACTGATGAAGTGGGTCAGCTTAAACAACAATGCCTTATAGTTGTGGGTGGGCCCCCTTTTGCTCCCTGGCAACCAATATTTTTAGACCCAGTCCACCACTATTTGGATGTATCGTTGCTTATTAAATAAAAGATTGTGCTAACAATTAAAGACATTGTACTCATTATGACCTGTTCTTGCTTTGTTACTGTTAAAACGTGCATTAATGCCTCTGGAATATAGTTTATGAGGTCTGCAATAGACATTCCTATCACATTTTATCCAGTGTTCACACTTCTGATCTGCACCGGTCTCTTAAGGATTCCTGCAGATCTGGACCTGTTCTGAATGCCTAGAAGCACCATCCAATCTACATTAACACTTTACTTAAAGATGCTGTCATTTATCTTGATGGAAACCTCAGAACAGTAATTTATTTGCCTTTTGATTGTCTGCAATTGTTTTTTGTAACACGTAAATCTGTAACTGGCGAAGAGCAGCAAGTAATCATCCCATCACGGAGGCTTTCCAGTACGTGCACTTTCCGATCTATTTTTCTTCTGTCTGACACAAATGAGTCCCTCGTAAACGCCTGTGATAGAGTTGAACTGCCACCATTATCAGACAGCTGAAAAGGTTTCAGAAAACAAGTTAAGGTTCAGAAATCCTGTTTTCTCACATTTGACAAATCTGTCTATTAGATATGATTATTCTGAATTTGTGGTCACAGTGCAATGCTATGATATTCACAATTCTACAAATAATTTAAAATTCATAATGGTAAAGGAAATTATTACTGAAAGTAAAAGATTACATGTGATATAGCCTTGGTATTATTATTTTGTAATGATTACTATAGGTAGATACCTTTTTTTTAGTGTGTCTCCTTTCTTTCCTTTCCTATGTGGGGTAGCCATTTAAATATCTTTTTGATCTCAAGCATTGTCTAGATCTCACACTAGATCTTAATTACCTTTGTGGTCTCTGGTCAGATAAAAGGTTCTTCTGACCAAGGAAGACTGAAGATTGTCATTCCCACAGAGGAAGTGTAAGTAATAATTACAAAATAATATGCTGATAGACTATAATATATCATCTTTTATTTCAAGTAACACATTTGTTTGTCAGTTTAAATTTTATATTGCTAAATAGAAACACTGGGGTTTCTACACATAAGTAAGGCAAAAGCATGTCTTCATTTATAAGATTACCCACTTAAACGAGATACCTATTTACCTGGGGTTTAAATTTTGCCCTTACAGTCATGTGGCACCCGAGACAGAATGGGTTAAAATTTTTAATTTATTCAGAATCCAAAGTAATATGTAGAAGAGAAATGTTGCAGACAACTGAACATGCATATTCTACAAGGGTACACTGTGAAAATAAATACAACATAGAAAACACAGTGGTAAGTGGGTTAATACTTTTTTATTGTTGTTTTAAACAATAAAATGTTAAATACATTGTTTGTATATTTTATAATTAGACAGTTTGATTACAAAAAAAAAAAGGATTTGGCTGTCGTTATACTGATACTATTAAAGATGTTTGATAAATGATTCATATTGCATTTATTATACCTGAAGCCATTGGAGGTTGTAGGTGTATAGATACAGGGTGCTTAAAAATTTTCCTAATGTTTTAGGTGAAAAGTTAAGAGTCTGTTTAAAGCACACATGGGGTTAAAAATATACAGTATTAAAAGCGACCAACTATTTAATTAGATAGAGAAACATTTAGAAACAGTTTAGACGTATGTAGCAGAATAGAGAACTCCAATATACTTTTATTTCCCTTTTTGTTCAGCTGTCCGTAGACCCCGTTCATTTACCCAACCCCCTCGCTGTGTGGCCCCTTGTTCGCACCTTCATAATCACCGACCACCCCTGGCTGTTAACCACAAATTAGTTATTAGTTCAAGTGCTTTCTCTGTGTGGTTCAGCGTGTAACTGAACGCATGTATTCAAACAATTGGCAGCCATTTTGTCTCCCAAACGAGGGCAGCGGTACATGGTCGTGAACCCCCAGGAAACTGGTAGCGCTGCCCATGCAACTTCAGTTAGAAGAACGGTGTCTGGGAGGCATAAACTACCGAACAGGGGGAGCATTCGTATTCTAACAGCCAGGGGATAGATTCATCAGTGTTAATGTGAAAACCCCTGAAAGATAACTGGTCGTTGCCTTGTTGTCTCATGAACTGTTTTGGGGCATCACCTCGTGGGTGACCAATCAAAACTTAATTCGAATGGCGTTCCCAAACTACTGAAGGGATTTGAGTGATATTTTGGCAAAGTGTGTGCTCAGATCCAAGCTATTTGTGGTGTTCTGAAGTTATTAAAATGTATTTTTGGATGTTTTTAAATATTGTAGATTTTTCTGTACCTGAGAGATAATTGAGTTATAGGTTTTTTCTCATGCAATTATCTCTCAGGCACAGAGGATCTTGGGAAGAAAAGCCCTGTAATTGTGACTAAGAAACCCCATGCTAGGGGGGCAATGTATAAAAGCCGTATGTGGCAGGAATAAAACCAGTTGTACTCCCAGAACTGTGTGTCGTCCAGTTGCTGGGGAGGACGTGGAATATCTACTTGGTGTTTTCTAGTTAATGATTTTACTCTTCGGGGATCCAGCGAAGAGGAAGTCCCTGCTAGGACTAGGGCTCCGCTACAATGTATATATATGCTATAAAGTGAATTATGAAAATTAAGTCAATTGTTATTGTTCTATTTTTGAATATCAAATTCTTCACCCCACTGATAATAAGAGCAAAATTAAAATGTTATTTGGCTCCAGGTGTACTTTACACACTCCTGACATTCACAATTATGTTTTTGCAGAGACAGGTGCCAAGATTCATCACTGAGAAATATTGAATGATTTTCTAAACATACTTTCCCTTTTACCTTAATTAAAAATGTAATTTCTAAAAGTCCTTAAATGATCTTAAATTAGAAAATATCTCTATTATAATTAAGTATGGTGAATGTATGTACACGTTAATTTACATAAGTGAACCATATGTGTAGGCCTAAGTTGGGCCTGACATGATTACTACAGTTAATTGCGACACTCAGCCATGGAGAGGGCCAAGTCATATCATAGAAGATGAAATGTCCCAGTAAGAGGCCTAATACCGGAAGCTGAAGAAAGCCTCGCTGTGAAGCTATGTTTTATTGAAATGCTGAATATGTTAGTAGTGAAATTGCCCTGAAAGAACAGACATGCAGTTAGTAGAACCCGATTAAATCTGTATGATAGGTGTGGCATTGCAACTTATCTACATCCTAATTCACCTATTGGTGTAAAACTGTAGACAGAAAGTCAGACAGCATGACAGAAAGTCAATAGCCCATTGGATATCATGAACGTACAGGCACATGTGCTCATTATTGAATTGTGTAATGATCGTATGCATATGGAGGACCATGCAAGGAGTTGACGGTCCTGTTGATGGTATGGCTAGACCACGAGATTCTAGTCTTTTCATTCTCGCATGTATTCACCCCCTAGAGGACACGAGTGCTGAGAACTTGTGTAGAAGTCAGCGTTGGAGCGTAAAACCTCGTGCATGGAGGATGGTTATTGGCCTCGCGGGACCACTAACTCTAAGGCAGAGATGCCAGAAACTTAACCTCTATTGATCACCTAGATCCCTATAAGCCAGTAAACCTACTAACTAAAAAGGACTTTATTGCGGGGAGCCATCGTTGCTAAAACGTATCTGAATTAGTAGAAGAACTTGTGTAGGTTCTGTATAGTATGGTTGTAACGTGTAACTGAATTCTGCAGTACCCACTAGAGGAGGCAGGAAGGGGAAGAAGAGGACTATAACCTAAATAATGACCAGAATGTGTATACGGATTATTAAACCAGTATTATCCCTGTGATTGAAATCTTACCTACTGAAATTGGAATTGAGGTACAAAGAGCAAACGCTGCTCTGAAAATTGATGACTCCGTGATCTGTACTAGAAAGTAGATTCCATGATTTATAAGATGTAACGAAATCCCATGTTAAATAGACTATGCGAAACAGCCTGTTCGGTTATTTATGCGTGTGTGTGGTGATTTCGTGCAAATACCAATTAAACGAACAAACTAGCGAATCACCTATTGAGGTCGTGTGGCGCTCATTAACCACCCAGACCTTGCGGTTAACCACAGAATAATTGGGGAACAGCTTGGTGGTCCACATTCGTCTGCCGAACACGTGGTGGGCACCATTTTAAATTGTCGAACGCTCAGCGGTAAATGGAGGCGATGCCCTGGAACTCTTTTCGGACACTTATTCCGCCAAACACCGCTGTTACCTATCAAGGTCCCCGTTCATTCGGCTGGAAACCCACGAATGTCAGGAACATTTCACCGTTCGGGACTTTTATGTGATGCGAAATAGACCGACGCCAGATAGCTACAGTATGGAACTCTTTCTCGGATACAAACACGCGAACTACCGGTGAAGTCCAAACTTCATTCGACGATATTGAGAACTGTGTTCGTGGGATCTGAGCGCTATTCGCCTATAATGTGCGCTCAGATCCAAGCTATCTGGGGGTATGTGGGACTTAAAGTTTATGTTCAGTAAAATATAAGTTATAGATTTTACTACTGTTTTGGGAATATATAAAAAGACATGTTTTTCTCTACCTGGAGATAATTAAGGTTTCTTTTACTAACTTAAGTTAATTATCTCCAGAATAGAGAGGAGGGATTTACCTATACAAAGGGGAATGCTTATGTTGGAGCCACTGCGATTGGCTACTGTAATTCTTTTGTCCCAGTCTTCCATTTGGTCCCCTAGGGGATTGTCCACCAGGTGGGAGACCTGCATAAATACCAGGCAGGTAGCCCCCATTAAATCAGATCGTTTTACCCCTTCATGAAGTCTCGACTCATGTTTGGGGGATTGGGAGCGATAATCACTTTTTCAAGCTAGATTTCGGGAGAAGCTACAAGGATCAGCACTGCACGAATAGAAGGATCCTTTACATAAGATATGGCTAATATGCTGGCCTGGAGGTAGTGCAGGAGTGCACCTGTGTATGAGATAGCACATACCCCATGAAACCCCTAACCGCATAGTGGTATACGACTGTAAAGACATGCCCCGTGCATTAGAGAACTTTAGAACCAGTAAATGACCTACCTACAGAAAGAAACATAATCTGATGATCTGATAACAGAGGAATAAAATATCAGTCACAGACAAACCCTAAATTCCAGGACAATATACTCATAAATATTATCGGTGACAATATACGTATACTATAACATGAGACAGATCACACGTCAAAACCTGACCTAATCGTTTGTTTATAAGGATACATACAGTGCCTTGCAAAAGTATTCACCCCCTTGGCATTTTTTGTGTTTTGTTGCCTCACAACCTGGAATTAACATGGATTGTTTGAGGATTTGCATCATTTAATTTACTGAACATGCCCACAACTTTGAAGATTTTTGTTTTTTTCATTATGAAAGATGGTTATGATAGATTTGATGGTGCTCCTGGGGAGAGATTTGGATATTTTTTTATAACCTAACCCTGACTGTACTTCTCAACAATATTGTCCCTTACATGTTTGGAGAGTTCCTTGAACTTCATGGCAGTGTTTGGTTAGTGGTGCCGCTTAGGTGTTGCAGCCTCTGGGGCCTTTCAAAAAATGTGTGTATATGTAATGACAGATATGTGCACAATGTGGAAAATAGTCAATACGAAGCTCTATACACCTCAAAGTGGTGTCCCCTCTACCACTTTAAAATCAACAATATACATACAAAAACAAGATGGAGCTTCTTAAAATGGCAATATAACAGATATTCTGTAAAATAAAATATAAACAATAGCGCAATACAGTAATACAAAGAAAATTAAAGGTGTATATACAGTAGATTTTCCACTCACAAGCCTGGAGTCATAATCTCATATGACTCGGATGGTGTGTGCCTTTGGACCATTTCAGGATGTCCAGATCCTTCTTTCATGCAGGATTCCGTTTATCCTCCCCTTTAGCCAACTCACAGACAAAAATGCCGGGTCAGTAATAAATTTCCAAAACGGTGATGCTTTATTCAAAGTAAAAACTTTTGATAAAAAAATAAATGTTAAAATAAATTAAAATATAACAGCTTTTTATCTAAATAGGGCTATATAGTCCTTAAAAATCGCCAAAACGTGTTTCGCCTGGTAAAACAGGCTTCCTCAGTCGGCTTTATTGTCCACTGTTCAGTCCTTTCTCAATTTTTAAAAGTCTGCTCGTTTTTACTTCCGGGTTCCGGTTTCTGCCTATTTGGAATGCAATTATGCGTTCCAACGATGTCATTTCCTGTTGTGTCACTTCCGGATTTCTGTTTCGATCTATTGGAACGCATCGTGCGTTCCAACGATGTCACTTCCTGTTACGTCACTTCCGGATTTCGATCTCGACTGGTTGGAACGCATAATGCGTTCCAGTGACGTCATATTTCGGCATCTCAGTCATTTCAATTAGTCCACATAATATCCAGCTATGGAAGTCTGTTTTTACCTATTTGTACACATATATTGATAAACTCTACATGTGTATTAATAATGTTCAACCAAGAAGGATCTGGACATCCTGAAATGGTCCAAAGGCACACACCATCCGAGTCATATGACATTATGACTCCAGGTTTGTGAGTGGAAAATCTACTGTATATACACCTTTAATTTTCTTTGTATTACTGTATTGCGCTATTGTTTATATTTTATTTTACAGAATATCTGTTATATTGCCATTTTAAGAAGCTCCATCTTGTTTTTGTATGTATATATGTAATGACAGATTATGTGACACTTAGATTGCACACAGGTGGACATCATTTCACTAATTATGTGACTTCTGATGGTAAGGAGCTTTTTATGGGCTTCATAACAAGGGGGTGAATACCAATGGACATGCCAATTTTCTGTTTTCTAGTTCTAAAAAATAGTTTTATGTATATATTTTTTCTCATTTCACTTCACCAACTTAGACTATTGTGTTCTGATCCATCACATACAATTCAGATTAATAAAATATTGCACTTAATGCTGTAATGTAACAAAATAGGTAAAAAGTCAAGGGGGTGAATACTTTTGCAAGGTACTGTACTGTGGTAATAGTTCTAAGCATTAAAGCGATGTTTGTAGAGCTAAAGGTCTCCTAAACATACATCGCTACATATCAGATTGAGAACCTATCATAGAATATGATTGATAAGACATAAGAAAAGAAAAAGTCGCATTCTGCAACTATGATTCACTGTAAGTCTCGCGGTCTGGTTGCCGCGCGGATCGTTGCCACGGCTCTGACGGCCGCAGCTCTCTAAGTTGCCATAATACAGACAGTGACTCGAGTATAAGTCGAGTGGGTGTTTTTAAGCACAAAAAATGTGCTGAAAAACTAGACTTATACTCGAGTATATACTGTAGATATTACTAATCAGAAAGAAGTTAGCAAGTCCTTGGACCATGCAGAAATGGCACAAGGAAATATGGACAGTGTTCCTAAAACCAAAACATCCATCGTATAACCTATTCCATCTGCCAGGAAGGAAAGAAAACTGTTGCAACATCATCAGAACCATATCAAATGAAAACCAATTTTCATTGTGAATAGCGTTCTAAGACAAGCATTCGTGAGAACAAACTGAGTGAATACGTCCAGATACAGCTTCTGACCTTATGCGGAGATTCGTTTTACAATGAAAGAAAATATGCGAATGTCATTTGAGGACACGAAAAACCTCATACGGCCATAGGGCCTTTGTGCCCGCGTGTTCGACAGAAAACATGCGACCGCATTCGTGTGTATGAGCCAAAAACCCCTGTTCATATAGAAGAGCTGAACGATGTGTTTGAATGGCTGAAACCACGAAAGCAATCCGAACAACAAAGTATACATGAATGCAAAGTATACTTGAATGCAAATAGCATGGTAGCAAACCATGATGCCGCCCAAGGGTGGGCGCCAGCGCGACAGCCCCAAACACAACTCCAGGCAAAGCCTTAACATATATATATATATATATATATATATATATATATATATATATATATATATATATATATATATATTTGTGGTCAGGGCAATATTGCCATAATAGTAAGATAACATATAATTTGTACACAATATTATTATTAATGGTATTTATATAATGCCAGCATATTCCATAGTGCTTTACAATATCAAAGAAGAAGATTTAACAATAAATGGGACAATTACAAAAACTTAAAGGAACAATAGGTTGAAGAGGGCCCTACTCAAACAAGCTTACAGTTTATAGAACGAGCTTACAGTCTATAGACCCAATAAACATAGTTAATAACACCAGTCTGCTGGTGTGCCGGAACCAACAATGCAGTAGGCCTGTAATAAAAAGGGCCCATCTTAGAGTGTGATGTAAAAAGAGGAAGTGATGGGAGGGCAACTTGCCAGACCAACAACGGTAAAGTGGGAGAGGAGTTGATTCCCTTAGAAAGGCATCTCAAGCCCCTCCCACAACTACAGGTCCAGCCTTAAATTTGTGTAATGGCTAGATAACATATAATTTGTACACAATAAACATAGCTGAGCTGGGATGTGGTTGGAGGAAGCAGATGATGCTGCTCCTATGTGAAAAGAGTGTCCTGAATAATGAGTTGCATTTAGGCCAAATCTAGTCAAATGCATACGGAGCATAAACTTAGCAGTAGTGAGACTGGAACCGTGTAGTTCTAGTAGTGGTTGGTGTAGTTGTTTGTGAAAAGTGTTGAAATTGTATCCAATACCTTAACGGGGCACTATTTGTTATAGGTAGGGAAAAAGGTATGTCAACTGTGCGTCCCATCTGGCTAGTTTTAGAGTGGTGAAATGAAAGGATGTAGTGATCTACAGATCTGTGGATATCAACTATTTTAAGGTAGTCTGTGGCCATTACATTTATGGTGGTGAATTCTCTAGGCCGTAACAATCCATAAAATGCTAGATATTTGACTGTTTTAATTACCATATTAGTTCCATGTTCGAAAGGAGATGTATATAACAAATTGGATAAGGATTGGAATATCTTATAATGGATGGGGTTCTTTTAGGGGGTAAATGCATGTCTAATTTTTGGATTCCTTATAGCAAGGTTTTGATCTGGTATGATAATAAGAATCCTGTTTTATTGGGGTGTTGTAATAGCCTGTAAGATACAGTTTGATTGTGTTAAAGATAATTTTAATTTAAGGTGGCAAAAAGAAGTGTACCCCAGTATAGTCTCCATGGCAAACATATCCTGAACTCGAAAATCCGCTATGAAAGTGTATGTATGTGTGTGTATATAAATGTACTTATATACATATATATATGACATACGTATTTTTGTGTTAATAAAATGTGTGATTATTTCTTTTATTTTTACTTTATTTCAACTTTGGGTGACTACCTGACATTCCAGGCAGCGGTGAAGCCTGCTATTCTGGCCATGTGATCGTGATGACATTGCGATCACATGGCCCAGAAGGGCTGGAAACAGGGGAACTGCCTGGAATGTCAAGCAAGTCTCCCCATCCTACTTAAGGATAGCATAGCATGCCTGCCTTCCTTAAGGGGTTAAAAAGTAATATATAGAAAAATAAATATGCATTTGGAGAGAGGGTTTCCAAATCAAATACATAATTCATTTTGGTTTTCCTAAATTCTTTGAAGTGGTCTCCCCTCTCCAATATTTATTATCCTTTTGGATACCAACAAGGTTTAAATAGTTTGTTCAATACATTATGTATTGTAACAAAAAAAAGAGAATATGAGACCTCGGAGAACAGGCAAAAGCTCAGAGAAAACTCATTAACTGTACATGTGCAAAATATGGTTAGCAAACTTCCCTTTTATGTTTCCTATATGTTCTCTAATTGTAGTTTTCAATTATCCACAGTTTTTGCCAAGAAACTGAGTTGCCTGTGGACAGGTTAAAAAATATATAACAAATGATGTGTTGCAAATGATAACAGAATTGATTTTATATTCTTTTCCAGTATTCAATGACGGAAAACTTTCACTCTTTTCTTAGTTTAAACTCTCTGCAACCAACATAATTTCCACATTAAAAGAACAAAACACTTTTATTTCTAAAAACATTATCTAAAAAGTATCTTTAGTTTTGTTTTTTTAAACATAACTACAAGCTAACCGTCTATTCTTAGCTTCTCTAAAAACAGTTTTTAGTCTCTCACCTTTATACTTCACTAATTCTTTCTGAATGAATATGTTGATTTGATTTTTCTACATAATTATTATTAACGTTCAAAAGATTATTTAAAAGTTTAGTTCTATCTTTAGCTATAACTTATAAAAATGTTTTTTTATACCAAAACAGTCCTCCTTGTTGCAGTTCCCATAATTTAAATTTAAGGTGGCAAAAAGAAGTGAACCCCAGTATAGTCTCCATGGCAAACATATCCTGAACTCGAAAACCCGCTATGAAAGTGTATGTATGTGTGTGTGTATATAAATGTACTTATATACATATATATATGACCTAAGTATTTTTGTGTTAATAAAATGTGTGATTATTTATTTTATTTCAACGTGACTGCCTGACATTCCAGGCAGTGGGCTTTATCTCTCTCTACTGGATTGGTAGATCAAGACAATTTCCAGTGTATGTTTGCAACAATTACCTACAGGAAACATTTGAATGGACAAAAGCCATCAATCTTAATGACTTCAGAGAGAGAAGATTGGGCTGCAATAATGTGCCTGTCTTGGTACAGATAAGTTTAACTTTTGAAATAATTCCATTATTGAGTAATTACTCAATAAAATGATGTACAACCAACACAAAGAAATATCCTTACAGAAAAGGTCATCTTGGGTTGTCAAAATATCAGGTATAATACAGATATTGCAAAAATGTAGTACACCAGTTAATGCAATCTACTATTACTGCCCTTAGTAACCAGTCATTTCAGCTCTCTGCCACGCCAATGAGTGGTGGGATGTGACTGTCCCGAGATTCACACACAGTGGGTGCACAATTTCCGAATGTCGGAGGAAACATTTCCATACCTTTGTGCAAGGCTACGTCCAGCGATGGAGAAGCAAAGCACCAACTTCAAAGCCAGTTTACCTGTGAGAAAAAGAGTTGCCATTGCACTGTGGAAGCTGGCTAAGAACAGTGAATACGGAAGTATCGGTCATCTTTTTGGTGTGAATAAATCATCAGTGTGCGGGACTTCTGTAAGGCTGTCTGCACATTATTAGTGCATAAAATTATTCATTTGCCGGACCAGGAAAAGCTTAAAGACATGGCTGACTACTTTGAGAATAGGTGGGGCCTTCCACAGTGTGTTGGTGCTATTGATGGGCAAAAAAAATAAATCTCCAGGCACTCTAGTGTTAAAGCCGCAGGCAGATTTTAATGGAACAGAAAGAGCAGCAACGTTTCGACCTCCACAGAGGTCTTTTTCAAGCTAGGTCGAAACGTTGCTGCTCTTTCTGTTCCATTAAAATCTGCCTGCGGCTTTAACACTAAAGTGCCTGGAGATTTCTTTTTTGCCTTGACGTATTGGGATTGCTGGTCCTGTTCCAGAGCACCGGTGGCTGCTGCGGTATGAGTACAGTTCCTACAATCATCTTTGTGGTGCTATTGATGGGTCACACATACCAATAATAGCACCACAAGAATACCACACTGACTACTTTAACAGAAAAGGCAGGCATTCTATCATCCTCCAGGGAGTAGTGGATGGAAAAGGACTATTCTGGAGTGTGAATGTAGGAAAGCCTGGGAGTTTGCATGACGCTCGGGTTCTACGATTGTCCACATTTTGGGACTTGGTTGGGCAGGGAGGCCTGTACCCTGTTTGCACTAAGAACATTGGGGGGTTAAATGTTGGCTTTTATGTGCTGGAGGACCCTTTACAGAACTGGCTCCTGAAACTATTTCCTGACAATGGCTGCCTGACACCAGAACAACAAACCTACAACAAGAAAACAGCCAGAGCACGGGTCATAGTTGAAAATGCATTTGGGAGACTTAAGGGTAGGTGGCGGTGTCTTATGAAGATGAATAACAGTGACATTGAACTTGTCAAATCCATGGTTCTTACTTGCTGTGCTCTTCACAATCTTTGTGAAAGTCATGGAGAAGACCTCCACCAGGAATGGGATATGAGCCAGGACGGGTAATAGCACGGGATAGCAAAGAAGAGTGCAGTAAAGTATGTAAGACTCTGTTGCGGCACCTCAACATTTAATTTTATACTATGATTTTTTTAAGTTTTAAATTTAATCAGACACACCCACAGTCTCTCCATATTTTTATTCCCCAAAAAATAATCTTTCAAAATAAAACTACAAATAAACAATTACAAAAATTCAAATAATTGGTTTTTTTACAAATAAACAAAATTACAAAACACAAACAAACAAAAAAACTACAAAAAAAGTGTACAGGTCCTGTGCTGGCTGAAAGGCACTACTGCCTGGGCGGTGGCATGGGATCACGACTGCCTCCCAGCACTTGAACAAGCTGCTCAAGGACACAGAGGAAGGCATGGTTAAAGGTAGCCGTCTGCTCCATCTGCTGCCAGGCGATTTCTGCCTCTGGTGCCTCGCTTCCTGGGCATCCTGACGCAGTGCTTAAAACCGCCGCTCAGAAAGGTTCTCCGTTCTTTCCTGCTTCCTTTCATCTGCTGCCCGCATCTCCTCCATGACTGTGCGTATATCCAGCTGCAACCATCTCCTATCACCAGGAATATACTAAAGACAAGAATAGTGTTTTTTTTTAGCAATGGTACAAAAACTAGGTGGATATATATTAGCTAACATAATGTAAATAAACATATATAACACATATGAACCATGTAAACACAAATTAAAATAAACTTAGTAAACACAATATATATAAGAGAAGCTCAAAACACAATGAAGAAAATTAAAAAGCAGTATATACAGACAATGTACAATTATGATTATGGATTTGATCATGCAAACAAAAACTACACAGAGGAATTTTGAGTGAGTTCACAGTTTAATGTGAATTAAAGGTTAGGAAAATGCACAATTACAACTTTCACTCTGATCATTATGTCTTACCAGTATGTTGATGCCGGGGTGCATTGGGTGTAATCTGTGGTTGGGTCGGTGTTGATGCCATCGTACTGGCGCTACTGACGGAAAAGGTTGAGGCATCATTGGAAAGTCCCTCAACTGTATCTGAAAATGCACAGTTAACGAGTTTGATACACAAACAACGAGAATAATACACAATGTTAGCGGTTAACTATCTTAAATGGCAGTTAGCATCAAGTAGTAAACAATGGGATGCTGAGCTAGTACACAATGAGATGCTAACTACCCAACCCTTTCCTTTCATTCCACTTTACAAATAAATGTGCTGTGTTTCCTTCCACTGTACACATAAATGTGTTGTGTTTCATTCGACTGTACAAATAAAATGTGTTTTTTGTGCAAAGAGTGAATGGTTTTGTGCAGTGATTTTTATAAATGGGTAGCAGAGCTAAAGCCAATGCCAAGTGGAAAAAATACTTACCAACAGGCTCCATAATGGATTTGAGAAGTGCAGATGCCGAGTCCAGACCTCCCTGCCTTGGTTTGCCAGCCTGTGACCGTACGTGGCGTCCATGGTGTCGTACCACCTCCAAGTACTTTGACTGTTTCCACTACAGCTGTTGGCGTCCTTAATTTTTTAATATTGGCCTTTTAGCTTCTTAAGCTTTACCCTGCACTGAATCGACGTCCGTTCAAATCCCTCGGCTGCCATCCGCTGAGAAATATCTTTATACACCTTTTAATTTCTCACTGATCCATCAAGCTCACTCTGAAAAAAAGCTATCACCAATTATAGTTAGGAAAGTGGATAGCCACACCCCACTCACATCCCTAAAATTAAAGTGTCTCTCTTTGTCTAATTTAAATGTTGGGAAATATGTAGTTATCAACACAAACCAACAGCTGAAGGATGATCATGAAGTCACTGCTAGAGAACTAAAAAGAACCTGACTTTCTCCAGCTTCTAAATCATATTTAGGCGAAAGGCCACATGCAAATAATGACACTTCACATCTTCCTGAGAAGGCAGGAACTAAGAAAGGGTAGTGCAGATACTCCAGTCTTCAGAAAGCTTGGGAACTAGGAAAAGAGGTGAGTACATGCCCTGAAATCTTCCAGAAGAAGATATGAACAATCTGCCTGCAGGTGTAAGGTACCTTCAGAACGTTCTACTTTTACATCTATTAATGGTATAGACTTTAGAATGGGAACCACTATTACATAGCCTCTGTTCTAGAGACCTTTCTACCAAGTCTGTAATTTTCCATCAAAGACCAAAAAAAGTTAAACGTGCTTTAAGGCTAGATAAGTGTATAAAATTAAAAGAGAAAATTGCACTTTTAGTCTTTCATGATACCATGATACAAATTGAATTATTAAGCAAATGATCATTCATTTGATATAAACTGCACCCGTAATATCAGTTGATGTCCTTCCAATAAATGCAACACTATACTTTATCTTTGCAGCAGTCTTCAACGCAATTAACTACTTTATTGCTTTCTATAAAGACTAAAGCTAAAGTCAGCTGTAAGTTTCCAGCCACAATTCTTACACAGGTTGATGCAAAGTCGATGATTCCTATAATCCTGTAGTGGGGAACCTTCAGCCCTCCAGATGTTGTGGACTACATCTCCCTTGATGCTTTGCCAACATTATGGCTGTAAGAGCATTAATAGAGATGTAGTCCAAAACATTTGGAGGGCCGAAGGTTCCCCACCCCTGCTATAATCCATAAAAAGATCCAGCTTAATCCAAAAGGAAATCCATATTCTCAGTCAATATTAAAATTGCTACATCTATTCTAGGGGATTAAATTAAGTCATCCTTCTTAAATAGATGTCTTTCCTTGAATCATCACGTCTAGTCTGGCTTTTTACAGGCAAAATAATAGATTATTTAAGGCATTAAGAAATAGAAAAGTCAAGTTTTTAAGCTTTATATCCATAATTACATAAAGGATATTACAAAATATTGATCAAAATCTCTAGAAAAACACTATTTTGAAAGTCTATAACGAGGCGCATAAAAACAGAGAAGCCAACATCCGTAAAAAGTTCAGTTAGAGAAAGTGAATTTCAAATTGAAATTCACATTTAAGATCAAAATATCCAAACTGGAAGCATAGCTGACGTAAAGAACTGTTCCAGTTTGACTATATTGCCTTAAAAAATGACATTTTTAATGTAATTTGAATTACGGGCAATTTTTAAACTCTAAGAATGCAAGGGATAGTCTACTTAGTTTAAAGTCAAAATTGCTGCCACTAGTGTAAGACCTGAGAGCGAAACTGGAGCCTGCCAAATCCTCAAAACTGAAAACCAGGTACTCAGATGTCTCCTGCATGATAAAAAAAAGTATTCCTGTGCTCCTTTTCATATGAAATAGGGCTATCCTATAATTACAGAGGGTTTCTCTATGGTCCCCTATCACTATTCAGAACCCTATTACCTCAGACATCTTTTCCTGAAAGGTGTTGTATATTTGGGGCTTCTAGACATAACACATAAATTCTAATACCCCACCTCCTATAGTCTGTAAGCTCGTTTGAGCAGGGTCCTCTTCAACCTATTGTTCCTGTAAGTTTTCTTGTAATTGTCCTATTTATTGTTACATCCCCCCTCTCAAAATATTGTAAAGCGCTACGGAATCTGTTGGCGCTATATAAATGATAATAATAATAATAATAATAATAATAATAAATGTAGCCAAGGTAAGCTAAAAAGGAAATTGCGAAACCTTCTGCAAAAGGAAATATCTAAAGACATAGGCACAGGGAAAAAAGACTTGAGGGGAAGGGTCAAATTAGATATGTTTATAATTGTATTTCTGTCCAAAATAGCAAAATGGGTAGAGATAAAACTGTTTTGTGGCTGATATGTTATTTATTCAGGAATTACTTTTAGTTACTGAGGAAAATAACTATCCATTTGTTTGTCATTGTTTTCTTCTGAACTATAAATATAATTTCTAATGTAATACCAAGTTCTACCCTTCATTTTAAAACCATCTCTTTAAAGTAAAATAAAGAAAAAGCCCTTGTGATAGAATTGGCATACAAGGACACAGAATGTGATTTCATTTGTTTCATTGTGTGTGCCACAGGACTAAAAGCCTTTTTTTAAAACTTATTTCTTGCTTGGCAATGAAGTACAAAACCACATCCTTCCGTGCCTTGTCAATGTGTGTTAGTATCAAATGATACTTGTTGGCAATGCATTAACTAAGTTATTTTCTAAACTAAAAAATCTTCACATGTCATTTGAGTATGGAAGTAGGGAAAAAGCCTGCTGGAAATTGTTTAAATCTACGGCTTAGTGACCTAATTATAAGTGGCACTTTCCAAACAATAGCTTGTAAACATACCTCTCAAGTGTCCCTATTTATTTAGTCCCTATTTTGAGCTTAAATCCCTCTCACTCTTTTCTACATTGGTTGGCGTATATACTGTATGTGTATATCAGAGTTTCGCAACAATAAAATTCACAACAATTTGTCTTTCAGCTACAGATATAATTAGAAATAAATCTGTGTATGTGTGATACTTGTAGCCCATGGATCAGCACAGCTAGACGAGTGGGCCTTGACAGGAGGTAGGCATAACAGCAACAGGAGGTTTTAGTGACAGGCAGCATGCTGGGTGGGGCGGAGCCACAATGGGAGTATTTATACCGGCCATCTTATGAAGTGGCCATTTTAACAGAACCTAAACTTACCTGTCAGTTGTCCCCCCCACCTTCCTTGAAATTTGGTTAGGTTAGATGATTTTCCCGTTTTTTTCACAGCGGCGGGGAATGGCCAGGTTAAATCGGAGGAAAAAGTAGGCATCCTGATGTTTAGGATGGATTAGGCAGTGTTACACCTGGTTGGTAGGTTCGAGCCCGTCGGTGGCTCCGAACCTGGGGGTGTAGCGGTGTCTCGGTACACCCCTACAATCGATATGGTGGGTGGTGGTGTCTCGGTACACCCCTACAATTTATCTGGTGGGAAATGTGGTCATATTGGACGGCCAGTTTCAGTGTAAACATGTTATTTAGATTGTTATCTGTTGTTATTATTGTGGGGTCATTGCTAGGGGTATGTTATGTATATGGGGGATGTTGACTTTAATAAAATTTGTTGGCAATGTCCCCATTTGTTATTCTTTAATTATTTAATTAATAATTAATAAAGCTGTGGACTAATATTTCCAACAGTATAACCTGTGTCCGTGTCTTAATGGGGGTTTGGGTAAGGTTAGCGCATATGCCGGCAAGTCCGACTGTGCGTCTGTCATGGGTCACCTAAAAATATCTGAAATAACCTTATCCATGACCAGACCTCTGGCCACACCCCCTTTAATTAAAATGTGACTCTTTTGAAATAGTAGGAGGTATGGGGTAAAATATATGTAAGCCAGATTAGCCAGGTCGTGTGAATAATAAATAGTCCTTTATCGTGTCTGAAATTAACATTTTGCAGGAATAATGTTCAAGTCTGCAAAATTATGACAGAATATTATTTAATGTTATTTGATGTGTAGTATTCTTTAAATCATCATACCACTTTTGTATAATTGTGTTACTGAACACCTGAAGTTTTTTTTGAACAACTGAAGAGTTGAGAAGTGAATTTTACTTCAATATTTAAGAGTTAAATATTTAAGAGAAGTTTTCTAGTTCATTATTGATGTTTAAAGTGTTCTCCCTACTGGCTGATGATGATAATCTTAATATAGTGGTAAGATGAAAGTGGTTTCCAATGATGAAATATACCAGGCAAATCGGAAAGCACAAAGGAGGAAATTTAGCAAGGCAACTCTGGGACAAAATGCTAAATGTTGAAAGATAATCTATTGGTCAACATGCTAATTGCCCCATGCATACATTAAATGTACATTTACTTCTGCTTGCTGTTTCAACATTAAGGATATTAAATAGCAAATTGGCTTTAAACCCAAGAGTTTATTATATTTTTGGTATTGCAGATAACGTAATATTGCTCAAATTGTACAATTTGCTTTCTTACCACATAGTCAATGGAGTTGATGTATACCATTCTCTTTATGTTTGCATGCTGTGCAAAAGAAACACAAATGGCAAATTATTCATCCCATCAATGACTTAGAACAAGTAAATTTTCACAAGAGCCAATTAAAATTCTTGGCATCATGTTACTTTTTTCATCTACTGTGACAGAGTTAGAGAAATGTGTTTTATTCTTTCACAATCTGAAACTGTGAAAGCTGTAATTTCTGAGAAAATGAACCATAATACAGATAAAAAGCACAATAAATGAGTATTTTGCTCATTATTTCAGTCGTGTTGGTAAGGACAAACCAGCGGGTCAGATTGGTCTGTTTTAGTTTATTATTATTTAATGACAGGGTATCATTTAACCCCTTAAGGACACATGACATGTGTGACATGTCATGATTCCCTTTTATTCCAGAAGTTTGGTCCTTAAGGGGTTAAAGCAATACAGCATAATTATGATATAAAATTCATTTATGTCTGAAATATTATGTAGATCTACATTAGAGGAACAAGTTACTCTCAAATGCAAGAATTGTTTTGGGCCCCCTTTAACACAATCATGGTAAAAAGGTAGACCCCCTTCCAGAGGCCCCCCGCCACACACATGTACACATACAGGCACACATACATATAGACACACACATACAAACACATACACACACATGCACTAACAGACACACATATACACTCATATACACATTCAGACATGGCAGTGTATGTCAGGGTTGCAGTGTGTGTGTTAGGGGGCAGTGTATGTGTGGGGCAGTGTGTGTGTGTGTGTGTGTGAGGCTTGCAGTGTATGTGTGTTTGGGGCAGTGTGTGTATGGGGGGCACTGCATGTGTGTTTGGAGGAGTGTGTATATGGGCGGCAGTGTTTGTGGGGCAGGGTGTGTAGTGTGTGTATGGGGGGCAGTGTGTGTAGTGTGTGTATGGGGGCAGTGTTTGTGGGTCAGTGTGTGTAGTGTGTGTATGGGGGGCAGTGTTTGTGGGAGCAGTGTGTGTAGTGTGTGTATAGGGCAGTGTTTGTGGGGCAGTGTGTGTATGGGGCAGTGTTTGTGGGGCAGTGTGTGTAGTGTGTGTGTGGGGCAGTGTGTATAATGTGTGTATGTAATGTGTGTGTATGGGGGCAGTGTTTGTGTGTGTGTAGTGTGTTGTGTGTGTATGGGGGCATGTGTTGTGTGGGGCAGTGTGTGTGTATGGGGGCAGTGTTTGGGGGCAGTGTGTATGGGGCTCTGCGTGTGTAGTCTGCAATAATATGGGGGCAGTGTTTGTGGGCAGTGTGTGTATGGGGGCAGTGTTTGTTGGGCAGTGTGTGTATGGGGGCAGTGTGTGTAGTGTGTGTATGGGGGCAGTGTTTGTGGGGCAGTGTGTGTAGTGTGTGTATGGGGGCAGTGTGTGTATGGGGGCAGTGTTTGTGGGCAGTGTGTGTGTAGTGTGTGTATGGGGCAGTGTTTGTGGGGCAGTGCTTGTGGGGCAATGTGTGTGTAGTGTGTGTATGGGGGGCAGTGTTTGTGGGGCAGTGTGTGTAGTGTGTGTATGGGGGCAGTGTTTGTAGTGTGTATGGGGAGCAGTGTGTGTATAGGGGCAGTGTTTGTGGGGGCAGTGTGTGTGAGTGTGTGTATGGGGGCAGTGTTTGTGGGGCAGTGTTTGTGGGGCAGTGTGTGTAGTGTGTGTATAGGGGGCAGTGTTTGTGGGGCAGTGTGTGTAGTGTGTGTATGGGGCAGTGTTTGTGGGGCAGTGTGTATGATGGCAGTGTTGTGGGGCAGTGTGTGTATGGGGGGCAGTGTTGTAGGGCAGTGTTTGGCCAGGGCAGTGTGTGTAGTGTGTGTATGGGGGCAGTGTTTGTGGGGCAGTGTGTGTAGTGTGTGTATGGGGGCAGTGTTTGTGGGGCAGTGTGTGTAGTGTGTGTATGGGGGCAGTGTTTGTGGGGCAGTGTGTATGGGTGCAGTGTTTGTGGGGCAGTGTGTTGTTGTGGGGCAGTGTGTGTAGTGTGTGTATGGGGGCAGTGTTTGTGGGGCAGTGTGTGTAGTGTGTGTATGGGGGCAGTGTTTGTGGGGCAGTGTGTGTAGTGTGTGTATGGGGGCAGTGTGTGTGTGTGTGTGGGGGCAGTGTTTGTAGTGTGTGTATGGGGGCAGTGTTTGTGGGGCAGTGTGTGTAGTGTGTGTATGGGGGCAGTGTTTGTGGGGCAGTGTGTGTAGTGTGTATGCATGGGGCAGTGTGTGTAGTGTGTGTATGGGGGCAGTGTGTGTAGTGTGTGTATGGGGGGCAGTGTTTGTGGGGCAGTGTGTGTAGTGTGTGTATGGGGGGCAGTGTGTGTATGGGGGGGGAGGAGGGTAGGGAGGCTTTTTAATAATAAAAAAATGTATTTAATAAAATTAATGTACTTTATGTCCCCCGTCCCTTCTTACCTTTACTGGGAGGAGGGGGGACATTTCAGGATCCCTGGTGGTCCGGTGGGGATTCCCTGGTGGTCCCAGTGGTAGGAGTCAACTCTAGTCCGCGCTCCAGGGCTAGAGTTCACTCACGCGAGATTTGGAGCTCTGATCTCTGATCTCCCTCCCTGGTCTGCAGGCACATTGCAGGGCTGGCACTTGGACAATGCCAGCCCTGCATTAGCCGGCAGGGGAAAATCTCGGGGGGCAATTGCCCCGTTGCCCCCCCTGGATCCGCCACTGCCTCTAATTGTAGCTACAGTTAACGCATTAGATGCCTCCTTAAAAAAAAAAAAGTTAAATGTATTGGTAGGTGCAGGCAATATTTGCATTCATCCACGTGTCTATGGTCTGCACGCATCTGCGTTACAAAAAACTGGAACTCTAAAATACATATTAATTAATGCACCTGCCTATGAACAACTTTATAAAAAAAATAACATGTAGACATTTTTTTCCTTCTCCTATTTATGTATTTTGTTATTTTTACTTTTTAGACACTTTCTGATGTCTTCCTTTTCCCCTTTAAAATTTTATATTAATGCTGCTATGTTTGTTCTCTTTGATATATGCATGTTCCTACATGACTATTCTTTGTCTTTAATGCTAGTTTTTCTACTGTTTAATGTGAGGTACTGCCTTACATGGATGTTTTGCTTATTCTGGTAACCTTTATCTCATGTTATTTTTGCTTATAACCTTTGTTTGAAAAATCTTCTTAAATAAAGAGTGTTAAGAAAACAGTTTCAACATGAGGCAATCTTTATCCTTTGTATCTGATATGACTATCATAGTCAGTGGGGCTTTACATTTCCATTCCTGCACCATCGTACCAAAAACGCCAGCACATTTTTATTTTGCATAGACTAGATTTGCTAGATTTTCTCTCTCCCTCAAGCATGACCTGTGCAGTGTGAAGTGTTTTATTCTGAGTGACAGCAAGCTCTTGTATTAATTCTGTTCCATAAGATATTGTTAATGGTCAGTTGCGAATGCTATGAGATAGGGCCTGTGGGGAACCAGTAATAGGTCAACCTTTGTGGTTGAGTGTTTTAGGAATAATTGGTGTCTTTGAGGCCTGCAGGAAATGTTCACTGAAACATACCTTATAACATTTGAAATGAAGGGGAAAGTTGGATTAGTCAGAATACATCCTTTCTATCCGGTATGATCACAGCATGGCAATAAAATTCTACTTTAATTTGCAACACTGATGTGGATCATACTGCTTTGAATGATTTACAAACGATCAGATCTAATATCATTTATATACAGGAAAACTATCATTTTACTACACATGGCTAGATACAAAGAGATAAACAAGAGAACAGCAATTTTCCCGTAGAAAGCCAAATTTGTATTCAGTTACCAGAGTTAAAGGGGCACTCTAAACACATAACTACAACAACTCTTTGTAAGGATTATGATGCTATTAGATTTATGCTCCCCCATTTTCATGAGGTTTCTCAAAAACCAGGGCTGTCACAACCTCCAATGCCTGCTCCTTCTGCAGCAACTCAGTTAATGTATAAGATTCTCCCATGCATTATCCATCTGACACCCCCCAGCACTTTGAGCCTATCATTGACAACCAATGTTGGATGGTTTTGGATTGATAATAAATAAATTAATATAACTAATTTTCTATGCAGCTACAAATGGGTCAGGCGTTGGGTGCCAGGAAGGGCACAGTTGTTTGGCAACAAAAAAAACCAAAACAGTTCGAAAAAAAAACAAAACAGAGGAACAGCATCCAAAGATTCATAGCACCATAATCATTAAAATGAGTTATGGTGACTATGGAATTTCAAGCATCCCTTTAAGGTTATCTTTTGTTATAGAATCCAGTCCTCAGAAATATAGACTGTCTAGTCCAGGGGTAGGCAACCTACGGCACTAGTGCCATGCACGGCACTCAAGGCTGCTAGAGCCAAACAGGCACTGGCCTATCAGGAGTCTCAGTGAAACTTCAAATATCTGCTAATACGAAATGATGGTTGAGGACAATCCTCAATTTAAGCATTGCAGCACATAGAGGAAGTGATCTCAGAGCACTTCCTCCCAGCACTTGTGAATGGGAATCCACACAGTAGTAGAGCAGCCTGCAGCTGCTGTTGCAGCTCCTGTCCTTGACCTGTACCTAGCCAGCCTGGTCCCCACTGGAACCCAGGGAAGCCACCCACACTGCTAGATATACACAGAAATGCAGAATAATACTCCCCTCATACAAATGATACGAACAGCCCACACACAAACACAACACACAATCTGTACAAACGTAACCCGCTAACAATCCACATACATGCACACAACCCCACATGCAGCTTCTCACATGCAATACCCCAAACAGCCCCCACACATATACACACTACCAAACACACAATGTGACATATCCATCCACACACAATTCCACAAGCAGCCCCCATACACAGCCCACATTAATAGGTACACAATACCACAAACTACTCCTGAACATATACAATATAATAGCTCATATACGCACAAATACAAAGATACAAAGCAATTACAGTATAAATAACACAAGCAGAATACGGCAGCATACATACCTCAATTTTAAAAAATAGGACTGGCACGCAACGGGACATCACAATCCTATATCGGCACAGTGCTGCTAAAAGGTTGCCTACCCTTGGTCTAGTGTAATAGCAAAATTACCAGCGACAGTATATGTTACATTTGCTTTGAATATGTAGAGCTAGACATCCAACACAAAAGTGGTAATTCAGGATTTTTTTTGTAGTAAAATTTCCCATATATGTTTATATTATTGATAAATGTATTATTGATAAATTAATTTTATAGACTATTAACATCTATGATGACAATTCGATCTATGTAATGTCCGTTTGAACTGAGAAATAATTTTGTTAATGTTATGTAATGTTTTGCCTTTTTACATATACTGTAAGAATGTTTAATACAATATCCACTACTTGTATTGCCTTCGTGTTCATTCCCGTTGCATGGTTAGATTTTAATAACAAATAGCACTATGTTAGCTTAACAATATAAAAGATACAGAAAATGAAATACTAGCTAACTTAATTTTCTTTGTTTGAAAGTTGCAATCTAAATCTAATGGATTTTCTGTGGCATTAAAGAGATCAAGATAATTTCATCCTTTATAATTAAGTTTTAAGCATTAATGATAATTATCTTATTCAATGCAAATCCCAATACTTATTTATTTTAAATTAGTTGAATTAAATGGTCCCTAAAATTTGCATACTTTCTTATGTGAAAAGAAATCTACTTCATTATGTTTTCTGTTCATCCCAGAAAACACATGGGATGAAATGTTGTAAAATAAGTCAATTGGATTCGGAGCAGGAAAATTGCTGAGGTGATAAAAAACACAAGGTGTTGAAACCAAAAAATAACTTAGTGTTGCCTTCCTAAAGCCCTTCCCCTCTAAAACCACACATCTCACTCCCAAATCTACCCCTTAGCATGCCTCTGTACACACTCATAGTTGCTTACAGACAAACACATAGACACGGACAGACAGCCATAGATGCACACATACACCCTCATAAACAGACACCAAAATATACACACAAAGACACATAAAGGCACAAACAGACACAGACATGCACAAACTGACACAAACATGCACCAACTGACACAGACAGACACAGAAAGGCATAAACATATACAGACATGCAGAGAAAGACACAGACAGAAACAAACATACACAGACAGGCAAAGAAAAGCACAAACATACACAGACAGGCACACATAGAGATACACACGTGTGTAGACCTGTGTAAATACAAACACAACAAAATAATTCATAGCAAATAGATGTATTTTTAATATGCAACTGATACCTGCCATATACAATGTGACATGCTCAGTAGTGGTCTTACCTGGAGTGGATATACAAATGGAGAAATGGAGAGAACAGACCCCTGCAGGCTTATGTTATGGGGGAGACGGGCCTCTGGTTTCTTCAAATGCAGAGAAAGGGGATCAGATCCTGTCTAACCTATATTCCCATGGGTTCCTTGCTCTTCACTACCCTCTGCCTGTCATTTTGTGCTGGAATTTCAGTAAGGAACATCTGCACAGTGTGTGAACTGTGTAGGTAGACTCGGAGTCCCAGATAGTCCCAGGAATTGGAACTCTGGCCTAATAATTATACTGAGCATATTTTAGATCTGGTGCTTTTTGGGGGGCATTAAAAATCTTACTTGCGACTTACATGTTTGCCACCATAAAATAGATTTTTTTTTCAATACAAAATATAGGTTATATACCAATGCAGGATATACTTTGTTTTTCTGTTCGTGTAATTTATGAGACAGATTTAGTTGGTTGATAAGTTATGTAAGGGGAGCTGAGTTCTGTAGTGTTTGTGGAAAATCTTCATGACTAATTCATGTTCTGAAGCAAGCTCGCATTTCTTAATTTATCCTTACAAGGCTGTTAAAATATTCAAGATTCTCATAATGCAGAAAAATTATCGTGTAGCTATATGGATGCTCTCAATGCTGTATTAGTAAGCTGAATTTCTACAAATGAACTGACTTTTATCTGTAAATGCAATTGCATACTATTTAAAACTTGATGAAGGCTTGTGTCTTTTCAGCCTAGGTAACTATGTAAACCATTCATAACAAGGGGGTAGGCAAATTCCATTATATCATACCTGCTCTGGAAATTTGAAGCCATGAAGAAATTAAGACACAATAGCATTTTTATAAGAATTTCTGGTGACTTTCTTCTGTAACATATTTTTTGTTATAACAAATATGTGGGTTATCATTAAAGACCTGCAATCAAAGTTCCTCTAGTTTAGTAAGTGGACAATATATACAAGCTAAAAACAAATCAAATATCATTTATTATTTAAACTTTGTACCATATTACGTATATATGTAACAAAATAGCATCCTTCCAGAATATAATCCAGTTTAAGACTTTCTAATGAAAGCGTTTGTCATGATTTTTGACTTGTTTAAATTATATGGTTTATATATTACTTAGGTTGTTTTTTGCCCTCTTTAACTAGCAATGCATGTTGGTATATATCCATATATTTCCTTATCTGTGCATGAAATCCAATTGCTGTAACTAATGGATTTTTCACATTAAAGCTAATATTGACATAGATCTCTGTTTCTCTCAGTGAAAAACATGATTTACAGCAAAATGAATCGATAGTATGATCTGAGTTTGTTATGAAAATTTACTAAAGAAGGGTCATTTATAAGTAAAAAAACTAAACAAAATATTTATAGGATTGTTAATATATATATAGATATATATATATCTATATATATATTAACAATCCTGTTTTCGGATTGTAATCTGATACAAGCTGAATCCATTGCATCTTACATTTGAGTATGTCTAAAATTGTTCAACATTTATGTACAAAAAAAAACAAGTCCTGCGCTCAAACTCTCCTTACTCCTGGACCGCAGCAAAGACCACAGTACACATCAGCCCAAATACATTCAGTAAAAACCAAAGCAGTAACCTACAAAGAGGTCTGCCTTGACGTGGCAGGTGGGCATACCCTATCATGGCCATTGGAAGTAACTAAAAACCTCCATTTGTTTTAAAATACATAGGGATTTGGGAAAGAGCGCAGGTAACTTTTTTTTCTTTGCTTTCTTCATTTATGTGTTTGTTTGTAGGTTACTGCTTTGGAGTCTAGAAAACATACTGTTGATAAATATTCCTGAAAGTTACATGACAGTAATTATTAGAACATTTAGTGATCATTATGATATTACATCCAACTTTGCAAATAATTTATTTTTGTAAAGATGTGTTGCTTCCCTTTATTAAGGTTGTTTCACATTAAGCATAATTCATAAAGCCTGATGAAACCTAGCCAAACTTGGCTTTAGCTATTGGGATTAATGAGCTTGACTAATGCATTGCAGGTTCATTAAACAGAGAAGGGGGTTAATGAATAATGTGTATTAATAATACTAATAATAAGTAGTTCTTCAGTGACAGCTGTTCCTTTACTATTTAAGGAAATTTTATGTGCCAATGTTTCATGACCATATATATTTATTTTATTTATCCTTAGATGCACATGATGCTGTGCTACGTTTTAATACTGCCCCAACGCGCAACTATGAAAGAGACGTTGGAAACAAAACCACCATGAGAATTATAAATTCTCAGGTAAGCATTCACTCTTTCTACATCTAACAGAGGAGCTACATACATTCATTATTAACATATTTAATTTAATAAAGAAATGTTGTTCTTGTGTATGGGTTCTAATTGAATATTCTTAGAAAATTCACTAAACTATCAACCACCTAAATGAGCAAGCCCACTCCTAAATTCCTCATACTTAGCTCAAGGCTGGAATCCTAGTACTGAAAATCCAAACTGGCAACAAATGTCCCATGAAATAGCCGTGAATAGCTCAGGAATTAGTGCTGTTGAATTCAAGCAATAATTAATTAAATAAATGGCAAAATATAGAAATTTAAAAAAGACTGGAGGTCTCCACACTTCCTATAACGGGTGCAGAGGTTAAAGCCTTCATGATGGATAGCAATGTGCAGTTTAATAAAAGCAGGTAGGTTGGTTACAGATTTCATTAACCCTCACATTTGCAACCACAGTGTGTGAAAATACAGTATGCTGCTATAGAATTGCTTATTTATAAAATGTTTTGCCAAGAAGAATGGTTCAGCCCCACAAATTGCCTCCTACGCCAGATCTTTTCTCCAGCGTTATTCATTTTTATGACATCTCTAGCCAATCAGTGGCACCCCTGGCTGGAGGCAACCTTAGAAAACGGTTTAAACCCCTTAATGTAAGAAAGCTGAATGCTTCTGAGGAAAGGGAGATCTGGTGCTGGAGCAACAGTCGAAACATGTTTAACCCCTTCAGGTAAGAAAGCACCAGGTACTTTCTGGCACTACAACAATATCATATTGATGAAGTTGTTATGGTGCGTTGAGTGTTCCCTTAAGTTGAAGTTGTTTTAGTGCCTCTAGTATCCCTTTAAACTATTACCACATTTTAAAGGGACACTCCAGGCACCCAGACCACATCTGCCCACTGGAGTCATCTGGGTGCCAACTCCCACTACCCTTAACCCTGCAAGTATAATTATTGCAATTTTTGTTTCTATCAGACATCCACTAGAGGGACTTCCGGGTTCTTAAAACACGAAAAGTGTTTTAAACGATGCTGGACGTCCTCACGCCATGCATGAGGACCTCCAGCGTTTCTGGAATCCCCATAGGAAAGCATTGAATAATCCTATGCAGGGGGGGTGGTCTAACGCGCATGCACGGCCATTGACATCAGCAGGGTAGGAGCAGGGGCGGAGCCTGAGCCAGCACCAAGGGACATCGGCGTTGGATTCAGGTAAGTCACTGAAGGGGTTTTAACCTAGGATCGGGGGTGGCAGGGAGGAGGCACTGCAGGATTCTGCAGTGCCAAGAAAATGGATTTGTTTTCCTGGCACTGGAGAGTCCTTTTAATTGATCAGTCTGAACAAATTATATTTTGGATTTGAATGTATAAAAAATTAAATAACGTTAAATAAATGCAGTTCTGATAAGAGAAGGATTAAGATCTCACATGGGGCTTTAGGCATTAACCTTCCATCTTCACTTAGGGATGTTAATGCAGCCAAGTAAATTCTTGAATGATGCCAATGTTGGCTAATATCTGCACTCATACTCAGACCAGTAAACTTATGCCAGACCCACTAGTCTATAATTTTACCAGTTGTTCAGATAATTTAGTAACACCGTTTTAAAATCAGTTTCACGTTATTTTGCTTGTAAGTGTATATAATATAATGCAATATTTTTTAACTAATCCTAGCCTGATAGCAGCTGTTGAAGTGATCTAAAGTGATTTTGAGTTTAATTTATATTTGTTTGGCCAGGTACAATGCCTATATTTACCTTTATGTAAAAAATAAATAAATGTTTTTTTGTGTACAATGCAAAGCAATAACGAGATATACAAGATGTAAAATCCTTCACTCTGTGCAATTTCCATTTTGTATGAAAGCAAAACCTGACTACATGTAATTTTGCTATAATTTCAAATGTGAAGTACTTTTTACCTTCTCTTTGTCTCCCACATGACAATGCTCTGCACAGGAAAGCTTAAATTGAGTCAAATTGCTATGCTTTTACAAATCTTTTTGAGGCGAAGCCTACGACTGCGCTTTTCTACTCTATAAATGTGGCAGCTGTAAAATTACTGATGTATGAACAAATCGAGCTCAGCTACAAAACAATAGTCATTTCAAAACCTGTTTGAACGTACCCTTAGAAATACATCACCTTTAGTGCACATCTCTATCTTATGCCACATTTGAAGAAAATTCAAAGAGATATATTTATCTAAGCCTTTTTTATAATACGTCACAATATGCTGCATTCAAATAATTGTAATGCTGTTGGTTCTGTTTTTTTCACATTTTTAGTACCTTAATGTATTTATCTTGGTCTTGCTTTGAAATTAAAAATTATGTTCGTCATTTAAGTTAGATATGAAAATGGAGCACTGTATTTTTGCTGTTTTATTGTTATAATTCTTGTTAGATATCTGTTCATCTGGAATTCACCCATAGAATTCCATAAGGAAGGTTTACTACTCCACCTTGTTTAGTTTATGATGGCACTATAGTGTCACCTAGTGGCTCATTCATGGAACTCAATCCATAACAAAGGAAATAGAAGACAAGCTCAAGGGTATGCGTCCTCTCTACTTTTTCACCCTGTTGTTTTATTTTATAAGTCCCAGGGCAAAATAACATATAAATTGGAAATTTGCAATAAAATGTGAAACATCTGCAAAATATTTTGTTCAGTGCTAGGTTGTCCTACATTTGTAAAGATAGAATATGACATTTCGTTATTACTTATTTACATATGTTTATGGAAGGAATCTATTCAACACAAATAACATAATCCATACATTCATATCATTTGGTAGTGTATCTTTTCTTAACATTTCCAACACTCAAATGTATAAACATAATTTTAATATATTAATAATAATGCCAATATATTTTCCCTTAAAAAATATTTGTGAGGTATTTTTTTGCGTCTTAAACCTTACAACTACCTTTCTTAAAGAGGAACTGTAACCTTATTTTGGTAATAGTTCCATTTTATATCTAAAATAACTACTACAATATTTATCGGGGCTAGGAACGTAGCAGAGGAACGTATAAAATACACATATAATAGAAAACAATCAGAGAGCTCATCGAAACAAAAATAGTAGAAATTATGTAATGGGAGAACCTCGGTTAAAAATTCTAAAAATGTTGACTATTTAACAGAAAATGAGTCCTGCCTCAACCAAGGAATTCACTGGAATGTCAGTAAATTGAAGAACCCTCACCCATTGCAGAAAAGGCGTCTTTTCAGATGATGCTGTACGCAAGCATGCATAATCATTTTTTTGCATCAATGGAAACATCAGACTTTATATACCTGATTGCATAGTTTGTAGAAATGAAACTACAGCAGTTGCAGAACTACTGCATGTTGTAGGGGCCAATCAGGTGGTCCATGTATAGGCAATATTATAGGGGCCTGGTCACAATGTTAAAGGGCTATGGTGCCTGACCGGGCCCCTGTAATATTGCTGATGCTGGGAGAAAGTGAGTGCAATTACACATAGAGCACTGTGCAGGGAGGCAGAGAGGCATTAGAGGGACTTGGAGCAGGGCGGAGGAACACAATGAGTGACCCAGTTCCAGCCAGCCCTATACTCATTTCAGTCTCAGGCAGCAGCAGGACCACAGGGAAGCCACCCTCCTGCACATAAAAATTATATTAACATGAGAGTGGATGAAAATATAAGAATCATGGTATGCATATGTATGTGTCAGTGTGTGTATCTGTGTGTAATTGTGTTTTTATATGTATCTGTGTGTGTATTTGTCGTATGTATTTGTCTGTGTGTACATTTATGTGTGTCAGTGTATTTATATGCATGTTTGTATTCGTCAGTGTGTCTCTTTTTTTAATGTGTATCTCATTGTATATGCATCAGTGTGTATCTTTGTGTACGTGTCAGTGTGTGTATTAGTGTGTGTCATTGTGTATCTGTGTAAATATGCATCTGTATATATATGCATACATCCCAGCAATGCAAAGCCAACACAACATCCAAACACACCCCTGCATTCAAATGCAGACCTTACATTCCAATGGCAACAGAATATACAAATACACAAACACACATAAACTCTATATAAAAACATGCGTACATTCAAATGCACAAACACTGCTCACAAATACAACCCTGCAAGGATGGGCAAATTGTAGATCCCCAGCTGGCATAGCATCATCAGAGTTGTACAACAGGGATGTACCTTTTGGTGACCCTGGCACTAACAGGGGGCACAAAAATATTTCTTGCACCAGGGCCCTCTCTACAATAGTTCCACCACTGAACCACAGGTAACATTTAGTTAGATCATGGAATATGTCATTTCCGGCACTGTGAAGATCTACCTTTAAAGTAATAATGGTAAAGTAAGGCTTTATAAAAGCTTTGTCCTTTGGGCAAAGTACTTTTATGAACATATCTATGTTTTGACCGAACACAAAATGTAATTAACTATATGTATTGCTCTCAGCTGCCAGAGCTAAATCAATTACCATTTCATTCTCCTTATCAGCAACCTTTTGGCTGTAAAAGGTACAGGAAGTTTAGAAAAATATATTTAAAAAGGGAAAATGTCTGGCTGTTAAGACATTTTTGCTTCTAATTGGAAAGCATTTACTTATGTTTTCATTTTCAGTGTTGCTAATATCTAGTTACAAAAGGATTACACAGAATCAAAATGTATATGTAGTCCTCAACCCCATCGTGTGTTCCTGTTTTTTACAGAACTCCACAAAAATAAAACTCATATTAATATTCAGTGTGTGAGTATACCACAGAGCTCCACAACATTACATCTCAGAGTAATATGCCTATTGGCATATCACAGAGCTCCTCAATTATAAAACACAGAGTAATGTGCATTTTCTTTGACAGAACTCTACTGTAATAAATCTTGCAATGGCATGCTGTAAAGTGTGTATCTGTGTGTTATCTGTGTGTGATAGGCATAATGGCTGTGCGTGATATGTATGGTGTGTGATGGTTATTTAATTCAAATTTAAAAAATGATACATGCCCATGTGTGAATGCAAGTATGCATTTGTACAGAGTCACATGCACACATTTCCACAGTCAGACACACAGTCATACACATACACTGTCAAGTACAGCCACCTACACACAGTCCCAGGAACATAGACACACACACAGCTACAGGCAGACAGTCACACATGCATCCACAGGCAGACAGTCACACACACAGTTACAGGCAGTCATACACAAAGATATGGCCAGTCATACAAATGCAGTTACAGGCAGTCACACACACAATTACAGGCAGTCACACAAAAAGTTACAGTCAGAAATACAAACACAGTTACAGTCAGTCAGTCAGTCATACATACACAGTCACATATACAGTTACAGGAAGTCACACACACAGGTACAGGCAAACAGACACACACAATTACAGGCAGACAGTCACACACACAGTTACAGGCAGTCACACACAGTTACAGGCAATTACTTATTTCCATTATGAGCACTGGGAGAGGAGCAGAAGTACTGCAGTCAATGTTGTCTAGTGGTTTGGGAGGGATGCATTCCTACTTCTTCCTCCTCAGTATGCAGCAGTTACCAGACAGGTTTAGGCATATTTTAGCTTCCTCTCTGCAAGATCCAGGTGAAAGATAATGAAATATTTTACCCGGGTGCCTCGCTTCCATGCTACTTAATGTGACCTGCAGGACAGAGGTGCTTTGTCCTGTCATGCCTGTCATGCAGAGTGGATTTCCTATTCCTTCCTAATCCTTACTGAATTGTGGTTCCCTCCGCCTCTCTTGCCTGCGGCCAACCCGCATTAGGAGGCCCTGCAGGTAATGACGTGATATCATATAGCAAAGACCTCCCTCTTTCAATTGGCACAGAGGCTTTGAGGTTTTAAAGCTCATACACTGTGCTGATGGCATGCACGAGAAGGAGAATAAGCAATTGAGTATTCTCCTTCTTGTATGGATGCTACACTGTACCACCATGATGCAAGATGCAGGCGCAGCACTGGTCAGAGTTTCATTTGCAGAATGAAATTCCGAAATGAAAATAATGGCTGAATTTCATCTGAAAATGAATGAACAAACAGACAAAATTTGTTTTGGATGAAATTAAAAGTTCAGTGGTGCCTAAGTCTAATTTCTACCTTTCTTACATTTTGTTTTAGTACCTTTTAAATTTTCTTCTTAGATTTTCCCTTTAGACCTGTATATACTGTACGCGGGAACTATGTTTCTGAGAGCTGTATTTCTTTATTATTCTACTTACTTTACTGATTACTAGTGCAAAGCTGCGTGATGGGCAAGAACATGCCCAAGATGGCCCGAGTCACTCCGATAAAGTGGATCGATGACTCCGACTTCACGAGTCTCCCTATGGACAACCGGACGGTCACCACAGCAGAAAGGAAAACTTTTCTAGCCGAACTTGCTGCATCACTAATAGCAAGTATGGCAACACAATTAAACAATATGGTGGAGGAGTTGAAGAGGGAGATATCTGATTTAGGTCACAGAGCTTGAACTGAAAGTAAGCTAGATGAATTTGCCATAGCACATAATGGCCTAGCATACAAGCTAGAAGAGATGGAAGCTACCCTTGTATTATATCACAACAAGCCAGCTGACCTAGAACACAGGTCTAGAAAGAACAACTTAAGTATTAGAGGGATTCCTGAGTCAATTTCCAATTCTAATTTAAATAATAACCTAACAGTTTTTTTTCCATCCAGATATGACGATAATTGAGTAAGCACACAGACTGGGTAGACCAAAACACCTTCCATCTTCTGCACCAATAGATATGAGCAGCAGAATACATTTCTTTCATGTCAGAGAAAAACATGTGAAAAACCACCTGCTCTTAGTGGCTCTGTGAAAAATATAAAAACACTCCATATTCAGGGGATGGGACCTGACTGCCAAACAAGATGGTCGCATCCTGCTGGAGCTCCCTAGGGAAAACATTGTATGAAGCTTAAAACTGGACAAAACAGTTAGTTATATATTTGGCACAAATTCTGGAGAGCACCCAGGCGAGCATTTGGTCTGACTGTAAACAACTCTGGCAGGCACAGCCATTTTTCTGAAACATTGCTCTGTGGCCTGCAGTAGCACTCGAGGAGGGGGAGGTGGCCAATCCTCTGCCCAGGTCTGGAAACTATCTGCTTTCGAACCCTGTTACCCCCCTCTGGACCAGCAGGGGTTTTCCCGGTTCCCAGTGGTACCTTCTTGTGGCATACTACGACAAGCGGCCTTGTGACTTACAACGACTCCAGAGGCTGAGGCCTACCTACTAAGATGGCTGACGCACCAGGGCCCGCTGCTCCACAGACCTTCTGAAGACCAGCCTATTCTATTGACCCACTTCTCTGGGTTTTTGACCGGCAGTGTGCCCAATTCTGGGTAAAGTTGAGCGCTCATGCCCAAACCATGCCCCCCATCAGTCAAGGCAGGTCTCCCAAACACGGTCTGCAGGCAGATGCCACAAGGCGGGGATTCACCCTAGCGGCCATTGCGAGGCATCGAAGAGATGGAGACGCAAGAGACCGCCACGGCGGACACAAAACTGCCAACACTCGGTGACGGTGAGAAGAATGCAGGGGCCACAGCCAACCCAGGTATGTAGCTTACCTCCCAATGCACGGCGTTCCAAGGGCCAAACCTTCAGACTCAACCCACACTGCTGGAAAGCTCACGTTCAGCACAGCCTACTGCATGCATAAATGCAGAACCCAGGCCCTGCTAAAGTTGTTGGACATGGCTGGACTCTTGAAGGCACAAAGCAGGATCGCAATCACAACTGGAGATGGCGGGATGGTGCTCTGCACCTCAGGGGACTCATGAATCCTTATGTTAGCGGCCTTCAATCTACAGGCATTGGCCAAAAGGGCTACGTGGAAATGCCAATATGTGGTGCTAGATGCCAGCACGTTATAATCCTGATGCCAGCCTTTTGGGCACTACAGAGACTTATATTTTCTCTTATGTTTGGCCTTTTATTATCTCCTTATTTCTCCATCATGGACTACCAGTGGACTCAGAGTTTACCTGTATAACTATCTGACACAAACTAGCTTTATCTTTATAATCTACTTGTCTAGCTGGTCCTAGTGTTTCACTTAAGAGGTATCTGCATGGTATAACTGAGTTTGGCTCTTAACTTACCCCTGACAATCAGACAAGTCTGCCTAGCTTGTCACTTAGACCACACATGATATTTCAATTATATACTTTTGTTTATTCATATAATCAGTTAGCATAACTTGTTTTTTCTCAAGGTTTATTGCTGAGCTTGCCGTTTAGTGGCGTCAGCTGAGCATGCTTTCCTCACTGTATGCTGGCCTACACTCCGAGTCCCCTCTGGACGCCATTTGCCATACTTGAAATGCTATCTTTTTCTCACAATATGCAAAGTTTATCACCTAACTTGTTCACTACCTCTCAACCTGCCTAAACTGTCTCATGTTATTTTAAGTCTCAGATTGTTTTTTTCCCTAAAGCAATACAATTATTAGCACTGTCAGTCAGTACAGCACGACTTATCTGTTTTCCCTTAACTTACTACTGACACGCTCTCTGTCGTGTTTCTGTTACACTACACTATACTACTTACACTAACTACAAGTCAGTTGCTTAATCCACTTTCATTTTTGCTCATACTTTTACACCTACTGACATATTTTTGCATGACCATGTGTATTATACAAAAATTGTGCAGTTTTATCCAATGTCATGATGTATGCTTCACAATGCCTGCATTAGAAAAAAAAAAACCACTCTATATTCTCAGATTTGTCAATTCCTACTCTAAAGTTCCACAGCTTGCTGACACATCTTACTGCTACCTCCCACAACTAATATATCCAGTACAGATGCCAAACTGCTCAGTCAGCGTAATGTATAACCCATCTCCTAACATATAGATAAAACCATTAACTACAGAAATTCTTATTGACCATTAATGCAGGAAAAAGACTAACTATTTCTTGCACATATTTAGAGCAACTCTCTATTAAGTCTTAAACAAAAAAGTTCCTTAATTTCTATGCCAGACTATATAATCTCAAAAATGATAAGATCTTATGTCATCCAAGAACAACAGATTTACCTTGCCAAGGTGGTTTTGTCATGCCTAAACCTACAACAAGCACAAATCCTGAGTCATCAGTTCCAGTTAGAAATCTTACAAGTAAATCTTATATTTACCTCAAGGCAAATTGCCTGATCATGCATCTCTTACCAATATTATAAATGATATGTCCTAACTCTAGCACTCTATCTACTTCGGGTGTTCCAACAAGTGGGACAATTAGGCACTCTTCTGAACGATGTGCTCTTGGTCACTTTTGTAACAATTCCAAAACCGTAAAGATCCCCAACCTCCTGTAAAAACTACCAACCAATATTGTATTAAATTTAGATGTAAACAGACAAAGAGACTTAGCCTCCTATTAACAAGCATTATTAATAATGACGAAACAGGATCGACCAGAAGTATACAACACCACAAAGGTATCCTTGATCCTTCATAAATGGTGGGAATATGGCTTGAAAGGTCTTCTACTGGCTCTAGACACGGAAAAGGCTTTTGACCACCTGAGTTCGAAGTTCTTAGTGGCTGTACTTCATTAATTTGGTTTTGCATACTTCTTATATAGATTGATATTCGCTCTATATGCTGACCCTCAAGCTCCAGTTTTACAAGCTGGCTTTCTATCTCCTGCCTTCTCTTACACATCGTACGAGATATGGTTGCCCCCTGTCTTCTTTATTGTATGTGATGGCCCTGGAGCCTCGGTTGTAGACCATCTGCAACAATTATAGTATACAAGGAGTTCACATGGGTGGAAGGGAGATTAAAATTAGCACATATGCATATGTACTATTGTCACTCACCTTTCTCACATTGTCGCTCACCTTTCACTCACACTTCTATTCCTTCTTTTATGGAGGAACTGAAAGCATATAGCAAGCCTTGTGTATTAATTTCCCAGAGAGTGACCAAACCTAACTTCAATCCGACTTCTCCTTTGATCGAAGACATCATTCTTTTTAACCCTAGTGCTTAGTAAACTCAAAAACAAATGATGATGTCTTTGAGCAAAAATATATGAAGACCTGGAAGACCTGTAGATCGCTACTTCACATCTTATCATCCTTATTTCTTGCATGGCTAGAGAGCATAACAATGGTAAAGATGTCAGTCTAACAGAGATTACAATACTTGTTTTGGACTCTCCCGATGACCGTGCCAAACTCCTACCTTGTAGAAGTGAACTCTGATATAACAAAATTCATCTGGTCAGGATCTCGGCCCAGAGTATCCATTAACTTATTACAGTTCATTTGGAAGGTTTGGGAGTTCCAAGCATCCAAAAAATATTCACATGGAATCCACTTTTCCACATTTCCTTTATCACAATGAAACACTTCAATGGGTATCTCTCGAAAATGACTTGACAGAAAATGACTTGACAGAGCCCCACATTGTAGCAAATATATTTTGGTTACTGCCAAAATATTGCCTGGCATTAAAAAAAATGCACCTTAAATTGATAGATGTATTAAATAAGTATAGGACATACCTAAACTCTTAGAAACACATTTCCCTGGCGACTCCCGTGACTGCTCTTTCCTACTGATTGCCCACTTTTACCATACACCATGGGAGAAAAACACACACACATATATTTGCCATCTAATACAAAACAATTTCCTCCTAAGCTTTGAAACACTTCAAAATTGATACAACTTATCTGATAGTTCACAATATTCATATTTGCAAATGCAATATTATAGCCCAATTGAAGAGACAAGGGCTATGTGGACATATGGGGAAGGAGAATACTAGAGATTAAATTAACACCTAATACTCAATTGTAAACTGATCTCCATGTGCTTTAAACTGATATCTGCGCATAGCTCCCTCCCTTTTTACAAAACTGGTCAGGGGTGGAAGTCTGTTTTGCAATGGACCATATCCCAAAAATATTTACTATTAATAGAGGTTTGCACTGCTCCTCAGACCTTATCCAACAACACAGCAAGACCATTTACAGATTCCCTCCCATTTTCAAAAAATAGGAGGGAATCTGCAGACTATCCCCTCCCATTTTCATAGAATTTTCCTTATACGCCTCCTGTATGTTGGCGATGTGGCCAAGCAGAAGGTACAGTATTGCATATCTGGTGGACCTGTAGTAAAAGTACTCACCTCTGTGAAGTCATATACTTATCAATCCAAGCAATCATTAATGTAGTTCTTTCTTTTAATGTAGTTCTTCCCTATGTATTTACTACTTGAATATCCCATTACATACCATAGAGCGATCACAGAACTCATTCTGCGTATTATTCTAACAGCACAAAAATCCTTAGCTAGAGCATGGAAATCTCCAATGTCCCCTGTCTGTTGTGTTGGAGGCAGCGTCTATTGAAAAACAATCTACATACAAATCTAAGTTTATGGCTATCTTTAAACCTAATAATCGTTACGGGCAGCTGTGAGACATGTGGCATGCATGGAGATCAGGATCAGGGCAAATATTATCAGCCTTAGAATTATATCCATAATATGGATTACAAAATTATGTTACTATATAGCCTATGCTGATATTGAGGTAGATAAGAAATAATATTACATAACCAACTTGGAGGATACCCCCAATTGCACTAACATTGATACGTTGATATATCTGTTGAGAACTATACTGATGTATACCTGCTGATTCCTATCTAGATATGTAATTTAATGTAAAACAATGACACACAAGCTTTGTATTGGTTCCACCCCTTCTCTTTTATTCCCTTCTGTATCTAACATTTAGAAAATTAATAAAGTGCAAGCGTTAAAAAAAATATATATATATTCTGTTTCTTTAAATTCCTTTTATCTAAAATTGTACATATATTGTTAATAATATAGATTTTTTTTTATAAAACTTCTCAAGAGTTACAAATCACCATACAGGGAAAATGTCCATTTATGATTATTATGACTGTGGAACACATAACGATTTGACATTGTCTGCTGTTCAGAAAGAAATATTCAGAATTATATTTCTGTAAAATGATAGCAAAAGAAAAGAAATACATGAAAGTTAGAGAACAATAAGGAAATTACAAATTGGGCTGTAACTTACATCACTCTTGAGGCTGGAATCCACAGACAATTGTAGGCTTGTCGATGACTGGCCAACATACGTTTTAAAGTAAATATTTTGCATTATTGTTGTTTCCAGCAGACAGTTAAGGAACGCATTCTTGCAAATTTTACATGTATTTTGTTAACACCTGGTCATTTTATGTTTACTTCAAATATTTCTACCTGCCATATCCAATATTCATTTGTCTAATATAGTATATCTGATTTTTTTTTTTTAAACCACAGATTCTTACCAACCCAATCCATCACTTCACTGATAGTTACTTGTACAAAGATGTGACTTTAGTTGCTTGGGATCCTTCGCCCTACTTTGCAGATCTTCACATGGTAAGAAAACATGCTCAGTGTGTAATTATCACAATATTTTTTTTTAAACACTGTCTTTGAAAAGACATTGATTTAGCTTAACAATGTGTTGCTTGCTCAATAATAAGGGGCTTCAAGGTCAGCACATACCTATTTGTTTTACTTAGTGTAATGAGGGCACTAAGGTGTCTGTTAATATGATACATGTCTACAAATTTGCCTTTTAGTAGCCTTTAATATGTTCCCATTTAACTCCTCTTATATAAATTATAGATCCATGTAATGTTTATTTCAGAGGTTTTTCAGACTATGACATATTAACACATGGGAATAATGAACTGAATGAATTCAAATCATTGCACAAATCCAAAGTAATATGTCTCTGAAAACCTGTTTAAGACTATCGTTTGATGGTTACTCTTTGTCCCCTACATAATCTCATATATTTATCTCCTCACTAAAGCAAAATGTACTGACTTCTCATTTTCCATCCACATGCTATAAAATATAGCTTCCTTTTCTTCCATTCTCAAAAGTACCTTATTTATTTATGTGTAATGTGTTTTGTTCTATCCTATCCTATCCTATCCCTTTCTCTCTCTACTCGCCCATATTGATTGATTAGCCCTTTCTATTTCCATACAAAGTACTATTTTACATCTTTATCCTTTCTGCCCTTGATTCTTTTGTCATAAAGTCTACAATTCTGCAAACTCAGTCTTTATACTTGAAGTCAGTATCTGACTACGAAATTATCCATGAAATTTAGATCTGCTTATCAGCTAACAATTTAAAGGGACACTATAGTCACCAAAACAACTTTTATTTAATGAAGCAGCTTTGGTGTGTAGATCATTCCCCCACAGTCTCACTGTTTGAATCTCTGCCATTTAGGAGTCAATCACTTTGTGTATGCAGCTCTAGTCATGTGATTTACATAGCCTTCCAAACACTTCCTGTAAAGAGTCATCTAATGTTTACACTTCCTGTATTGAAAATACGGTTTAATTTAAAAATTCTTATTTTCTGCTGTTAATAGCTTGCTACTCTCTGTAGGAGCCTCCTATATGTAATTAAAGTTCAAATTACAGAACAGGAGATAACAACTTTTAAAGTAAGTTACTTCTGATTGAAAGTGAAACCATTTATTTTCATGCAGACTGTGTGAGTCACAGCCACGGGAGGTGTGGCCAGGGCGGCATAAACAGAAACAAAAGTGATTTAACTCTTAAACGGCAAAGAATTGAACAGTGAGACTGCAGTGGGCATAATCTATATACCAAAGCTGCTTCATTGGGCTAAAGTTGTATAGGGGTCTAAAGTATCCCTTTAACCCCTTAAGGACCAAACTTCTGGAATAAAAGGGAGTCATGATATGTCACACATGTCATGTGTCCTTAAGGGGTTAATGAAGTTCCAGAGGGTGTGAAATATAAATATATATATATATATATATATATATATATATATATATATATATATATATGTATATATATATATATATATGTACACACATCTCGGGTAGCTTAACAAAAGTTGTTAGTTTAAAGGCTCTGGCATACTTCTAAACTACAGTTACATAGCATTGTGTAGCCATTTACAGTCTAGTGCACTCTTATAGGGTGCTGTAATCAGTAGTGTTGAATATTGCTAAGTTTTAATTGTCATGTTACTAACAGAAATATAAGGGGATTTGTCAATCTATAAACTAGATAGAAATCATCAGCTTTAAACCTGAATTAATGTTTAACAAACTTCTTTAAAAATAGAATGGGAAGTATGCAGTGTTCCACTCGTTTACATGGAAGTTGTATGTCCTGTCCTTTATTAATTTATTAATTCCGATTAGCTATTATTATTTATTTTATGCTATTATTGTATTCATTCATCACTGCAGTTAACACCAAATTACACATTTCCAAATTACAAGACAAGTTTGAACTTTTTTTGTTGTTGTTGTTGTTTTTAGTGGTATCATAAACCGGACTACAATTTATTTCCTCCATACGAGCAACATCGTAAAAAGAATCCTGACCAACCATTTTATATTATTCATCCAAAATTTACATGGGAACTGTGGAAAATTATACAAGAGAACAGTAACGAAAAGATACAGCCAAACCCCCCTTCTTCTGGATTCATTGGTAGGTGTACTTAGCATATTGATTAATAGTATGTGCTTGAATAAAAGCACAACACAGCTATTAGATGCAACCGCAAGTACAAAGTGTAATGACTCTTATTGATTGAAAAATAATTATACCATAGAAATTAAAGCTTTCAACCACAGAAGCAAGTGCTGAAATATTTTGTAACTGGAAAAGTCCAGCTCAGTGTGGACATCAATAAACTGTTAACAAGGTTGTGATGCCCAAGGGTACATTAAGAATGCAACGAGTTTTATAGAACAGTTATAAATTAAAGTTTAAATGCTCTCAACATAAAGGAAAGTTTAATATAAGAACCAGGACTGCAATAGGGCAGAAAGGAAATTACAGTAGTTTTACATATTCATATATCTACATACTTCCCAAAAGATGAGGTGGACAGTGCTGATTTTAACCCCTGGCTGACCACCCTAGGTTTGTTCCATTGTGTTAAAATTCTGGGGACCCCAGGGAAATGTCTCCAGAAAAGATAGTGAAAATGCATCATTAAGAGCACTTAAACAAGCATTCAAGCAATGAGAGGGGCAAGCCAGAGTGACTTGTCAGTCAGCCTTGTGACACACGCCAGGCTGACGTTCACTTTCCAGGAAGACAAACTCTTTTCATGGGCTGCAATGTACCTTGTCTCCACTATCTTGTTTCGGGCCCACCCCACCCAGATTCAGGAGATATATCTGATGTACTAGAGTTTATAAGACACGTAGTATTCTAAACATGGTAGAGCCAGGACTGTCTGTGTCTTTAGTGGATGTTTTATTTAGTATTTCTGATTATTTTAAATGCACAAGCTTGTAGAATAGAGAGAAATGATTAACAATAATGAAAAAATAATAATAATAGTAACAATGACATAAATCATGGCATGCAAACACCAAAATAAATAGTTTTGGTTGATTTGTCATTCGTCGACTTGGTCTATTTAGTGTCTGTAACCATGAATCATAATTTTTCCCATCAATTATCTATTTTTGTAGCACCACAGATGGAACCCTGAATCACGAATCAAACTAAACTGTCCATTGTCAATTTTTCTTTTTTTTATTTTGTTATGTGGTCCTATGGCAATTTCAACCTAAAGAATTTGTCCATTCCAAGTTATGAAATTTAAACAACCCATCGTTCTCCCAAAATTCAGACGAATTGCAATGTGTTTGTAACTGAACGCACAAATCTAGTTACAATAGGAATGGTGTGCTAATTTCAAAAAGTTTTTCTTGCTCAGATTTGTGTGTTTTCATTCAATAATGTACTAGTAAAACTAAAGATAGGCTTGCCGATGACATCACAGAGCAGTAGTGTGTGGATATATGTGTATCTATTAATGTATGTATGCAAATTTCTTTAGTGCTAATAAATATAAGAAATACAGAAGCAGAGAGACTGACTATGACATGTATAAGGAAGATATGTAGTCATGGTGCTTGGAAGGTTTATTTAAGGCAAGATCTAGCAGACTACCTATTTAATGAATTCATTTTTGAACAAGTCAACATCAAACACTCTCTGTATTGGAAGCAACCTGCAGGAGGATTCATAGAGCTGGTCATTGCTTGATATAATTAATTATTCTTAATGTGTACCATTGAGCAAACATGCCATTGATGTGTGATCAGCCAATGTTGACCATTATTGATTATCCACAAGAGAGAGAAAATTAAATAATTGCTGCTATTTTTTATTTCAAATAACAATCATGATGATTTTGAATGTTTGACCACTGACAAAGAAATGATTAGTCTATAATTTTAATGGTAGGTGTATTTTAACAGTGAGAGACAGAATAAAAAAAAAGTCCAGAAAAACGCATGTCAAAAAATTATAAATTGATTTAAATGTCATTGAGTGAAAAAAGTATTTGACCCCTTCGACTTAGAACTTGGTGGCAAAATCCTTGTTGGCAATCACAGAGGTCAGACATTTCTTGTAGTTGGCCACCAGGTGTGCACACATCTCAGGAGGGATTTTATCCCACTCCTCTTTGCAGATTCTCTCCAAGTCATTAAGGTTTCGAGGCTGACATTTGTCAAATCAAACTTCCAGCTCCCTCCACAGATTTTCTATGGGAAACCTGGCTAGGCCATTTCAGGACCTTAATGTGCTTCTTCTTGAGGCACTCCTTTGTTGCCTTCGCTGTGTGTTTTGTCATGCTGGACCGATTTTCGATGCCCTAGCTGAGGGAAGGAGGCTCTCACCCAAGATATAACAGTACATGGCCCCGTCCATTGTCCCTTTGATGCGGTGCAGTTGTCCTGTCTACTTAGCAGAAAAACACCCCCAAAGCATCATGTTTCCACCTCCATGTTTGACCGTGGGGATGGTGTTCTTGGGGTCATAGGCAACATTCCTCCTCCTCCAAACACAGCGAGTTGAGTTGATGCCAAAGAGCTTAATTTTGGTCTCATATGACCATAGCACTTTCAGATGTTCATTGGCAAACTTCAGACGGGCCTGTACATGTGCTTTCTTGAGCAGGGGGACCTTGCGGATGCTGCAGGATTTCAGTCCTTCACGGCATAGTGTGTTACCAATTGTTTTCTTGGTGACTATGATCCCAGCTGCCTAGAGATCATTAACAAGATCCCCCTGTGTAGTTCTTGGCTGATTCCTCACCGTTCTCATGATCATTGAAACTCCACCATCCAGGTGAGATCTTGCATGGAGCACCAGGCCGAGGGAGACAGACAGTTATTTTCTATTTCTTCCATTTGCGAATAATCACACCAACCGTTGTCAGCTTCTCACCAAGCTGCTTGGCAATGGTCTTGTAGCCCATTCCATCCTTGTGTAGGTCTACATTCTTGTCCCTGACATCCTTGGACACCTCTTTGGTCTTGGCCATGGTGGAGAGTTTGGAATCCGATTGATTGATTGTTTCTGTGGACATGTGTCTTTTATACAGGTAACGAGCTGAGATTAGGAGCACTCCCTTTGAGAAAGTGCTCCTAATCTCAGTTCGTTACCTGTATAAAAGACATTTGGGAGCCACAAATCTTGCTGATTGACAGGGGATCAAATACTTATTTCACTCATTGACATGCAAATCAATTTATATCTTTTTTGACATGCATTTTTCTGGATTGTCTTCTATGTTATTATTAAAATACACCTACCATTAAAATTATAGATTGATCATGTCTTTGTCAGTAGGCAAACATTCAAAATCAGCAGGGGATAGAATACTTTTTTCCCTCACTATATAAAGTTTTTTACATTTGTTTTCTTCTCTATATATTCTATGGTGGAAAACTGAAACGTTTTACTTTTTAGCAGGTTTTAGTTTATTGGTATTTTTTGCTTTCTACATGAACTTTCACCCAATAAAACAATAAAGTACAGTGCCAGAAGGAGTCATAACTATAATAGTAGGCTGTAAAGCATTTTTTTCAAACCAGTCTGTCATTATCTGCTCACTCACAGAGCAAATGTAGTTTCCTAATCATATGTAAATGTGCATTCAAGAAACGTGCCTCAAGATAGAAAAGAAATAAAATTATATAGAAGATATATTGTAAAGAAATGTAGGAATGGTAATTGCTTGTTTGCCAGAGACAAACTCATGTACATGTTAGAGGAAAAGATGGATTAGAGAAAGAGACAGATTCAGAAGTAAAGGATTCTCCACCTGGCCAGTCTATAGAAAATCTTGCTGTTCTCAGCTTGTCAAATGTTTGTATCTCATAGGTTATATGCTGGGGATCACTTGGAGATTCAAGTCAGGCTGAGTACTATGGCAAGCAGAATTCAAAGAACAGTCTCAAGTAAAAGGGCAAACTTAATTTCAAGTTATTTAAAAAAAAAAATACAAAAACCCAACCCTGTGAAAAGGTCAATGTGCGTTTTATATAAATGTGTATTCTATATCAATCTTACTAGTTTTGAGCTGCAGACAGGACTTATTGATGAGTATAACTTAATTAGCACAAGCAGCGTAAAGGATGAAGGAATAAATAAAAAAAAAACAGATTGAAAACGTTATCCCTCCAGCAACTGAGGTACTAAAGACAAGGAGTGATCACTCTTAACATAGCTAGTCTGTAGAATTCACCTACACTGCACTGCTATAAAATGCTCACACACTCATACAGTATGGACACTGGAGGAAGACTTTAGTTCTAGCAATCATGAGACACTGACACTGCTCTTAAGCTTGTATCAGCAGACAATGTTTGACATGTCCCTCTAGGTGTGAATTTTGGGGACACTTTTGGAATAGCTGTGATCAGATGAACCCTGTCCCAAATTTGGACAACCCTGCCGTGACCAAGAAAAAATTTAGTACTACACGATTTCTGGGTAGTATGAATAATGCTAGTGGCCAATCACAGATGATATAAAATAAACCTTCTAAAATTCACATTATTAAACTTTAGTGCTAAATAATGATAGACATGACTAAAATTAGCAGTAAAATTGTCTTTAATGGAATGAAGAAACACAAGTAAATATTTGACAATCCAATACATTAGGTAGGTAGACCAAGGGGTAACCTTTGAACGCTACCATTTGTTATATTCATATTGAATTTTTACAGATATAAAAATCATAGTATATAATACTCAAATTGTAGTTCCTAATCAACCCACGGCAGCTTTAACTATTGTTTAGCTCACATATAGCAGAAAAGACAGGATATAAAATCCTGATGTTAGTATGACTAGAAAAACCCCTTTACTAATATTCAGCCTTTTTAGTCCTTCACATCAGATGGATGTTTTTATTTCATTCTAACCAGGTCTAACATTGGAAAGGGCATTTTTGGGGGAATATTTTGCTTTCTGGCTGAAACATTGGGGCTTTTGGTTCTTTCTAAAGACCTGCTTTCCTTTTCTGCTTTTTTACTCCTGCTTTCCAGGCACTCCTGCTTTCCAGGCATGTTCAAGAATCATTTATTTCTTTGATATGTAGATTAGAAATGTCCTAACTTTAGTATCAGCACTGATACTTTTTTTGTTCTGAAGCCCTAATAGTGATTGTAACACTATGGATCAATTGCATACATGTTACTATTTTTGTGCTAATCTGGAATTATTTGTGTGAAAGTTTTAACCCCTTAAGGATGGAGTCACTTGTCCAGGTTCTGATCCAAAGAAAAACTTAGAATTTATGCTGTGTGTTTGTTCTTCTGAAACATAAGAGTTTTCTTTAAGCGCATAAATGCATATTTTATATTGGCTTTAAAGGACAGTAAGGATTTTTTTTAAAATATGCTTTATGTACACCTAGCATGACATTAATTCTGAAATTATTAATATTATTAAAAATGAATGTTAATTATGGGGGAAAATTGCATTTTATTCACGTCGACTTCTAATTTTTACACATCAAGTGCAACTAAAGAAAAAGCATATAAAACAAATTAATGTACCAGTCCTGATTGTTGAGTGACTTATACGTGTAGGATTTAGAATTTGTAGTAGTTAACATTAACCCTATAACATCCACACAACTCTATTGCAGCCCTACCCATAACACTATGCTTACACAAACTCTAACCATAAACTTTACCACTAACCTTAACCCTACACTATCCCTAACTCTAAATTAACATTAACTCTTATCTTAACCTAACAGCAACCCTACATTAACTTATGCATACACCCTACTACTAATTTTATCACTAAGCCTCTGCTGATATCAGTAGATGATTATCCCAGCTACAAGATATTAAAGCTATAAAAATGGTCTGTGACTGCCATCCAGCGACATTTTGCTGCATAACTGGGAGATCTCATTGCCATGCTGCTGCCTGGTATGCTGCATCTGCCGATAACACAGTAAGCAGTGTTGGGCAGCTGAGAAAGCTCAGCACCAGTCATAATTGGTAGCTAAGCATACAGGGAGATTTACAATCACGGCAGCTGGGCTTGATCATGCAGAGGGTGGTGATTTGAAAGGATTTTAAGGGGTATAAGTAGTGCTCATTTTAAGAGTGGCATACAGCCTATCTGTCAGTCTGGGCCACTAGCTGACAGAGGGGAGTCCCAGGTATTAATTTATACCTGGGTCTTCTTGGTGAGTGCAGGGATTTAACCGTGCTTACCAGTGTTCATTTTGACAGCAGTTTTAGTTTTAGTCATCTGAATTGTTTTAGTTTACTTTATTTAAGCATTTCTCTAGAATTTCCGAACTCATTATATTCTCCTTGAGTAAACATATATTAACTTGTTATTATCAATGGTATTAAGGTATTAACATGCAATACAGACACAGATTTAACTGTTGTGAAATAATATTATTGCTGTCAAAATCAACCCTGTTGCTCACACCAAAACTTTAGGATGTGCCATGTCATTCTGACGGAGTTAAAACCCACTCTGTAGAGACCAGAATGAAATGCCCTAATATTGTTAAAGTATTAAATAAAAGTACAAATACACTTTGTATTGTATACACTTGTGTCCCTATGTGCATTTAGAACTAGCTATGGAAATGCCCAGTTAGGAGAATTCGGCCTCTTCCTTCCTGATGACCCAGTGCACATAGTTCCTTTTGTTGATTGGCTGTATAATAATTTTTAAGTTTAATAATATCAAAATATTTAACCAGTATTATTTGCATTCTATTCTATTACTTCTGTATTTCTTCATATTGCACTAGGTGGTTGGATACCTTCTGCAGTAGCCCACCAAACTGCTAAATAAGTGGAAGTTTCCTTATAATTACTAGAAATTATTGATTTTATTAACCTGATTACCAACACTTTCTAGTTGGTGCGGTTTGAACTGTCCTTTATTTCTGTTTAATTGAGGGTTGTGGTCCAGACATTTCTGGAGGGCATTGGGTGGTAATGGGGATACTTCCAGCATTCATATTTCAGGGTTCAAGTACTTTGGAAGAATATCCTTTATTGGTGCCTATGTAGGAATACCCTTTATTAATGCTCTTACAATCTAAACCATTTACAGGGCCTTCAAATTCCAATTTAGTTTGAGTACTAACCAACAGTTAGTGATGCCATGGTGATTTATCAGAGAGTATTGTTTCCATACTTATCTTAGATTCCCTTTTCCGCTCAATCATCATAGCAGCATTATGTTCCCTATTTTTTATGGAGTTAGGGAGCTAGTTATTAAGAGTTCATTTTAGGCAATGGGTTGTACTATTCAAATCTCAGAGTTCTCTTTCCTGTCTTTTCGGCTGCTGTGAATTGACAGAGCTACCTAGTATTTAATGTTGCTTTGGTGATTGATTAGGAAAAGAAAATGAAGTATGGAAACAAATTTACTTATCTATGCTCTGAGTCTAAATTCCATAATGTTGAGTTAAAAAGTATACCCCAGCATACAGTTGCATTGACGATATTTCACATTGTAATTTTGTGCTGCACTTCACAGTGTTTTTTGTGCCTTTAAAACATATAGCAAGGCTAGCAATTGAAATGTAAAGGTGAACATTACAATTGTGACATGTTAACAATTAGAAAGACTATAGTAATTTAATTGACACAATTCCACCCAACAACCAAACATAACCATCATATACATAATAGTTATACAAACATTTGCACTACAACACAAAGGATTGGTAGTCACATGCAGTGTTCTTTATATCGGAACATTCAGAATGGATCTCATATATACTGAGAGTTATAATGTTTATCAATATTAATATCACAGTATATATGATACAAATAGCAGGAATTTGGAAATGCAAATAAAACACATTTTAGTGAATTTATGGTTTTGTTTGCATTATTCTAATTACATGTAGTTTTAATATTATTTATAAAGCGCCAACAAATTCTGCAGTACAATGGGTGGACTAACAGACATGTTTTTGTAACCAGATGAGTTGGACACACAGGAACAGAGGGGTTGAGGGCCCTGCTCGATGAGCTTACATGCTAGATGGGGTGGGGTATAGTGACACAAAAGGTAAGGGTAGGGTAAAAAAGTAAGTTGCTAGGATAGTATTGACCGAGGGCTAAGTATTTTTTTTTTTAAATGACAGTTGCAGGAGAGGAATCAGGGTGCAGGGAGAGAAAGCTTTCACAGATTAATTAATATGCTTTCCTAAAGAAGTACGTTTTCAAAGATTTTTGGAAGGAGTGGAGATTGGGTGAAAGTCTAACAGAGAGAAAGGGAGCTCCATAGGAATGCCACAGCCCTAGAGAAGTCTTTAAGGCGAGCATCAGAGGTAGAAGTACGAACAGAGGTTAGACGTAGGTTTCTGGCAGAGTATAGGGATCTAGACGGGATATATTTTATGTATTAGTGAGTATGAGTAGGTTGGAGCAGCAATGTGTAGAGCAAGTATCAGGATCTTAAATTGAGTCCTATATCTTACAGGAAGCCAATATCAGGACTGACAGAGGGGGGAGGCGTGGGAGGTGCAGGCGGACAGGAAGATGAGCCTCGCTGCCGCATTCATTATAGACAGTAACGGAGCAAGTTGGGAACATGTAAGACCACTGAGAAGTGAATTACAGTAATCAAGTCGAGAGAGGACAGCGACATGGACAAGCACCTTTGCCGTATCAGGTGTTAAATAGAGTCGGATGTGCGCTATGTTTTTGAGATGAAAGCGTCAGGATTTGCTGATTGATTGGATATGAGGGATGAAGTAGAGGTCAGAGTCAAAGAGAACACCTAGGCAGTGAGCCTGAGAGGTAGAGCAGATGGTAGCACCATTAACTTGGAGGGAAACCGACAAAGCAGTAGCAACACTTGAGGGAGGGAAGACCAAAAGTTCTGTTTTTGGACAGGTTAAGTTTAAGGAAATGAGCAGCCATCCAGTTGGAAATAGCAGATAAGCAATCAGAGAAACGAATCAAGAGGGGTGGTGAGAAATTATGGGAGGACAGATACATTTGTGTCATCCGCATAGAAATTATACTGGAAGCCAAAGAAGCTGATGAGTATACCAAGGGAAGCAGTGTAGATTGAGAACAAGAGGGGACCAAGGACAGACCCTTGGGGAACAACAGGCAGGGATTTGGAAAAAGAGGCAGAGCCAGAGAAAGAAACACTGAAAGAGCACTGGGAGAGGTAGGAAGAGCACCAGGGGAAATCGGCATCGCGTAGACCAAGATTATGGAGGATGAGAAGAAGCTGTTGATGATCAACCGTTTTAAAAAGGTCGAGCAATTAGGATTTTGCAGTGATAAGATTATTGGATACTTTTGTCACAGCTGTTTCAACAGAGTGATGAGCGCAGAATCCAAATTGAAGCGAGTCAAGCAGAGAGTTGGATTCGAGGAAGTCTTTCCATCTTGCATACACAACTCTATCAAGGATCTTGGAGGTAAACGGCGATAGCGAGATAGGGCGGTAGTTGGATGGGAAATTAGGGTCAAGGTTTGGCTTATTCATAATCGGGGTTATGGTTGTATGTTTGAAGGGTAGAGGAAATGTGCCAGAGGAGAGGAAGAGATTGAAAATTTTAGTGAGAGGCAGAGCAAGAGAAGGAGACAAAGTGCGGATGAGATACGAGGGAATAGGATCAAGGAAACAGGTGGAGGGGCGGTAGGGACGGATCAGAGCAGAAACAATTTCCTGATGCTTTACAATGCAATGTTTTAAATATACGTGATCTTTCATGTAATATCAACAGCAATGTTCACTTGTGTAACACCTGTGAATATCATACCTGGTCCTAAACTTAATCTAAAAAAAAAAAAAATTCCTATATAAGATACATAATGATGCAAAGTTCGGGTGACATTAAGAACACAGAGACCAGCAGAGTGAGAGAGCAAATGTCACTAAAAACTACCCTTTAACACCTCACGATGGGGGTGTACACTTAAATAGGTAGGGTAACACTATAGCGTTAGGAATACATGTGTGGAAGCATTGGTTTCATGGAAAATGTTTTAATTGAGGCTATTTTGGCTTAAAATTTACAATTCACTTTGAATTCTTGACATAACCCTGATAGTTTAATATTATGACTCCCAATTGTAGTATTTTTATTGTATGTGTTTATGTGTTTTTGGTTTATATGCAAATTGTTAGAGTCTCCCCAAGTTTATTAAAGTAATCCTATTAAAGTAATACCTCCCAATATTTCAAATGGACTATTAGGGACTATATAGTCACCAAAAGAACTTTAGCTTAATGAAGCTGTTTGAGTGTATAGATCATGTCTGTGAAGCCCCACAGAAGTACAGGAAGTAGAGGAAGTATTTAGGAAGGCTGTACACTTTACATGCAGGGAGATGCAACAAGGCTACATAAACAAAGTGTTTAATTCCTAAATGGCAAATAATTGAGCAGTGGGACTGTAGGTGCATGATCTATAAATCAAAACAGCTTAATTAAGCTAAACTTGTTTTGGTGACTATAGTATCCCTTTAAATTTAGTTGTGTGACTGGGAGTGTGGCCAGGGACGGGGCTGTCCTAAGGAATTTTAGGTTATTTACTAATAACAATGTGTGCAACCAACTGTAATTTAGAACAAGATCTAAAGTTTATTTTATATACACAATCTAATGTGCCCATTTAATGCTGCTAGCTGCAAATACCTTCACAGACCTGTGTCTTATCTCCATTCCTGTTTTTAGGCCTTAATCCACTTTCTAGCTCACAAGTAACAAACGCACGGGCTATCTAACATTGCACTTTGTATTGTATAAGAAAGCTTCAATGGCTAAATATCAGCCCACAGATAGGGCCCTCTTTACCGGTTATATTGTACTTTTTGTTGTTTTTCCTCAATTGTACAGCGTTGAGGGATATGTTGGTACTCCATAAATGCCAGTAATAATAATAATTTATTGTAGTCTAAAGACACATCACTGGGAGTGTTATTGCTGTGGAGCTCTGTTATATACTCAGACACCAACAATATGGAGCTCCTAGAAAAGAGGGACATTAGAAGAGAAAAGAGGGGCAGAAGGATTTGGGCCAAAATAAGGACTGTCCCTCCTCAATAGAGACACATGGAATGTATGAAAAAAGGACCTCTTGTGTATTGTGCATAGGGGTTATTTATTGCCTACAGTTCACTAATGAGGCCTCTGAAAGGATTGTCATTGCAATGTCTCTTGTGCCGACAGGTCCTGCATGAAGCATAGGTTCATAACTGGCCATGTGGGAGGAACCAATCAGATATTCCCATCTTAACCCCTTAAGGACACATGACATGTGTGACATGACATGATTCCCTTTTATTCCAGAGGTTTGGTCCTTAAGGGGTTAAAGGTTCTTTGTGCAATGTTACAAGTGAGCTAAATCTCATATGAGAACTCCTTAGTGGGAACTAATTATAGGGCAAGATTTTACCTGTGTATGTATCTACAACTTGTTTTTTTTTTCATAATTGCAACACTCCTATATTCAGTATTTTTTTTTCATTCTTATACTGAGAGATAGGAATGCATTTCCATGGCACACTGTGCTGCCTCACATCCATGTGTATTTGTATAAAGCCTACTTCAGTGGTTCTCAAGACCACCAACAATTGACACCCCAAGTAATACTTACATCTTGAACCTCTCATGATCCTTGATGTCTGGTTTGAGAATTACTGACCTACAAAATGTTAACATATTCACAACAATTTTAGTCTGTGCTCCATAAATTAGATTTTGGAATAATTTCTGTATCTTCAAAGGAAAACCTACATTGATGCTATCAACCCATGCATTATTAAGAAGTCACGAAAGCAGATACTACTGTGCAGTAGGAGTATGAGATTGACAGGATAGCACTTTGTAGTGTCTTTATTAATAAGAAATGCAAGAATGCCTTGGCTAAACTATCTACTGGAAAATAATTGTGTGCTCAGATCTGTCAGAATCTGTCAAGCAGATAGAAAATGTGTAAGTGGGTAGAATACTTTACTCCCCATTGGTTTCCTCCAGAGTTAAATGTTACAATTTGATCATGTTTTAATAAAGAGGAGACTCGCACGTAGATGGTTAACATATCTTACAATGACTCTCAAACTACATATAATTGTGTAAAGAGCTTTTTTAGAACTCATACTATTCAATAACATTCGGTGCGTATTTATGACAGTTCTAACTGAATAAACGCCTCTGTGATGTTTTTCTCCTGTTTTAATTATAATAATAACAGCTGGCAATATCTGCGAGCTGTGTCTGCATATCACTGCACTAAATTAGTATTCTGCACATAACAACGTAGGTGAAATGGGAGTCATTCATACTAATCAATTGGGGGGCAAAGATATGAAATGGAGCAATCTGCATGGACCATTGGTTTCCATGGTGATCGCAACACTTTTGATAACTCTGTCCAATAAAGGTGCTTTAAACATAACTCCTAGTGTATATAAACTTTAAAATGAGTAATTAAAAATCTGCTTCACCCACAACTGTTACAGTACTGATTTCCAATTATAAGACCACAATTTATTATTCTCAACTACCATTTAATGTGCATAGATTGGAATTTGGTTTAGTCAGTAATAGCCAATATTATTGATGGCTTTGTGTGTTGCTGTTAATTATTCCTGAATGTCATATGCAACATAATAAATAATACATGGACATGTACATTGAAATAATATAACACCATCATTGTTAATTAATAAAGCAAAATACATTTTCTAAATCATGGTTTCGCATCCCAATTGGATATTGCATTTAAATAAGACATTGCAGGAACATGTTATCATTTTTTTTACGTTATATTTACACTTAAATATGCACAATTCAAGTATCAAGTAAATTTCTTATCTCATTTTAGATTCATATTTTTGGTTATTCTGAAGAATTTCATAATACAGTTAAAAGAAGTACATCATTGACTTGTTTTGCAATGATTATTTGCTGAGATATGTTTAGTTTGATCATATGTTGTCTCTTTGTCTTGATTTGGAATGCAAGGTACCTTTTCCAAGTTCTCTGGTAACCTTGTGAGTTCTGGGGCTCCAGCGGTGCTAGTGAATCTTTGATTTAGCTGAATAACAGTCAGATTGGACTGACACATGGATTTCCCTTCCAATGGTTCTTTAGGATTGCAGTGGAAAAGCAACAAGAAACACTTGTAGAACTGTTGAATAAAGAGAAAATAAATAATGTAAATTAAACATTTTATACTGCATTTTAAAATGATCAGTGGACAGTTTTAACATTTCAAAAACTTTAGATTTCTTCTATCTCCACTATCTCCACTTTCAGTTTGGAAAATCATTTCATAGAAGTATAACATGAGCTTTAGATTTATTATATATATATATATATATATATATATACATATATATATATATATATATATATATGTGATTTATTCAGCTTTTCTCTCTCTAATTAGGAAATTGACAAATTGATCACAAGTATCTTTCAAAATCTTTTTTACACAATAGTTCCTTTATCTGTCCCTCCATTCAGTGTTAAAACATACTGAAGGTATGGCTAAGGCAGAGATTCTTCTACTCATACCAATTCACACCAGCAATGGGTGGAATGATAGGCTGAAAACAGTAAACTGACATGCTCAACCATTCACAGCCACCTACTGCTGCTCAAGTAAAGGCTTCCTCATTAGCCCAAGTAGCACAGAGGAAACAGTGACGTTGTTATGGTGCTTGGAGTCCTCCATATTACCTGCTTGAATAGTTTATCATGTAAGATATGTCTCCAGGTACCAAATCTGTAGCTCTTCTATTCTGCTCCAGGCTCAAGTGGAAGCATTAGCGCAAGGGAACAGCAATGACTGACTGAGCTTATCTGCTTCCTCATTAGGGTGGAGCTGAATAGGAGAGTTGCAGACCAGCACATAGGGATATATTCTAACTGTTAAACGATTTGACAATGGTTTTATACTTAAAGGTAAGATTGCACTGAGGACTCCAAGCATCATAACAACTTAATTGAGATGAAGACGTTATGGTGCCCCAGGAGAATGCCTCTAAAAGGAAACTATAGTGCCACAAGGTTATTTTCCATCACTATATCACTCTATAGTGCCGTTGTGCCCCTCCTTCCTTGGTGCAGAAGGGGTTTTAAAAAACCAAACCTTCTGTCACCTGATTCCTGAAGCAACCCTGTTCCTTCCTGGGTTAACGGCAGCAACCCTGTTCCTGCCTAGGTAAACGGCAGCAACCGTGTTCCTGCCTGGGTTAATGCCAGCAACCGTGTTCCTGCCTGGGTAAACACCAGTAACCGTGTTTCTGCCTGGGTTAACGCCAGCAACCCTGTTCCTGTCTGGATTAGCGCCAGCAACCCTGTTCTTGCCTGAGTTAATGTCTGCAACTCTGTTCCAGCCTTGGTTTAACTCATAAACTCCTGCTACAACTTCAATCAGGCCTTTTATCATTTGCTCAGTGCTGGAACTCAGGTAAAAGACTTTATTTTACCTTAAGGTCTTTTATTTCCTATGAAGATATTGCCTTATTTTCCACTTGTATTGCACTGGGACTTTTTCATTATATTTATTTGCTTTATAATGAATTTAAACACTGTGTCTGTTCAAATCTATGCATACTGAGCCCATTCACCCCAAACCCGTGACAAATCTCCAGTCAAAGTTAAATGAAAGTTTCAGTCTCTCACTCAGGTCCGAAGTCAAACCCACCTACAATGCCTATGTTTTGGTCAGGCTCAGCCTTCACTCCTTTCTCTACGACATCACCTGGCGGTGGAGACCTAATGCGCATGCGCTGTGAGCGCCGCACTCACATTAGGACTTCCCCCATATGAAACCATTGAATAATTTGTTCCTATGGGGTTTTGGGTGATGCTTGATGTCCTCATGCATAGCGTGAGGATGCTCAGCGTCAGGCGACCAAAAGTCGCCTAACCACCTGGGAGTCCATCTAGTGGCTGTCTAGTAGACAGCCACTAGGGTGGAGTTAACCCTGGCAGGTAATTATTGCAGTTTTCTTAAAAAGCGCAATAATTACCATTGCAGGGTTAAACTGAAAGGAGCACTGCACCCAGACCAATTCAATGAGCTGAATTGGTCTTGGTGTACCACTAAATAGAATTATTTCACAATTACACCTTAAAACCATTTTACTTTTTAATTCCAATAACACTAAAAATATATATATATATAATGCTTATGAAACACATAAGATACCATCATTATACTGCTTAGCTTGCAATGAAATGTCAGTAACACTGTAATACCCTGGGAACCAGATGATATTTGCTAAGTGGAGTTCATTATAAGCGAGTGACTGTCTCTTACTGTAATCCTTTTCCATGCCAGAAAATTGCCTCTTACTAGAACATCTACACCATTTATTATTCCTGCTAGTTTTGTAACATTGCATTTTATTTACTCTCTTGATTCTATATGCTTCCTGAATCCATTACATCACAACAATTCTTACTAAATAACAAGCTCACTGACCTTTAGGGCTTTCCATCTACCTTCTCTCATGCTTTGTTAATGAATCTTAGAGTTCAATTACTCTGTTTAATGTATTTGAGTAATAAATAACAAGATATTATGGTTGATGATCTGTCATTTGTGCAATTATCAAGGACCCCTTTCTAAACGCAAACCCTGCCTCTTGTGGTTGAGAGGAGATTGCAACTGTAAGCAACTTTGGGGGTTAAACCATTCAAGAAGTACCCGGGTGCCTCCTGGCACTATAACAACTTCCATTAGATGAAGTGGTTTTGGTGCCTAGAGTGTGACCTTTCACTGTGAATAGAAGGCTTCAAGTTACTGTTCTCATACAGTATTATATCTCTGACCCATAACAAAATAAATATCTATAATGAGGAGGATGTTTGTTCTCCTAAATAAAGAACCTTTTTAAAAACTAATTTGATTTTTTTTACCAAAGCAATAACCCATTGTACCTGTTGAATATGTTTGCATTTTGTAACATAATTTAAACACTGATTAAAATGTTATTTTATTGTGTCTTTGATTTTCTAGGAATTCTTATTATGATGTCGATGTGCCAGAAAGTTCATGTGTATGAGTATATCCCTTCCTACAGACAAACAGACCTTTGCCACTATCACGAGCAATATTATGATGCAGCGTGCACTCTTGGAGCATATCATCCTCTGCTGTATGAAAAAATGCTGGTTCAAAGGATAAATCAAGGATCAGAAGACAATCTCCTCCGAAAAGGCAAAGTCACATTGCCAGGCTTTAGTTCCATACAATGCCCTACAGATGACCACATTACATAAGGTCATAGGCTCCCTTTAGTTGAAAATCATGTGCAATAAGTGGCTACTGGCATTTTGTCAACAAAATACTTGAAAACATAATTAAGACCATCTAGGTAATTGGTCTTTAAACATTGACTAGAGGACGTAGAGATGTCTGTCTCAGCCATGGACTCTTTATTAATGGTTTGTAAATGAGTAAGACGATCTAAGTGGATAGGTACTGAAAGTTGCAAATGTGTACTAGTTACACAGAAATCCACATTATAAAGCAGAGCCGAAAACCCTGTTTTTTTTATCAAACTATAATGTGCCATATTGTTAGCTAGATGTTAAGAAACTGCCCATCTTCATGTGTATTAACATCTGTTACAGAGACTGTATTGATTCTGTTGTTATTTAGTTTAAAAGTGTTTATTAAATGCTCACGTGACCCTTTTAGTAGTTACTTGTAGATATATTTTATGTAACATAAGGGTCGGTTGAAGCTTATGCTGAGAACATGGTGTATTTATGATATGGTGACTAACACCACACTCAAATCTGGGGTATTATGCCATTATACATAGTTCAAGAGATAATGCCAATCTGTTTCTGCACTTAAACCTTATATAAAGATTGCTCCTCTCTCTGTTACATGTCTGGTGTAACCACAAATATAGCATACAGGCATTTTATTTATGCATGAGACATTACATCCTTTACTAGCTTGTTCATTTCATGTGCAATACATGTAGGGAGGCTTATGGTTCAAAAAGTGAAGATTAATAAAAAAAAGAGTGAGATCCTGTTTAAAACTGGAAGCATCATCTAAGGAATGAATGTAAGAGCCAAATGTCTTCAATTTCATAATAGGTTTCCGATACTTGTTCAGGCTTTACAACCTGATTATTTGTTGCCATAAAGACAGTATTTAACATCACAAAGTCAAGTACACTCTGAAAAATATATAACACATTCATTTATATGAGTAGTTTTAGCTATCTAGTACAGCACTTTTAGCGGGAAACCAATTTGTGTAATATGATAACTATCTGGAATATACAGAGATGAGAGTGAAGCATATTCTTGTTATGCATCTTGTACATTCTGTCTTCCTTCTACATTGATAACTACAGTTCACACCAAGAATATACTGAAATAGGCAAACAATACAATCTATTGTTCCCATGCAGTAATGGCTGATGATGTTTAAAGATGGGGGCACTGCCCCCAGGCTTGTTGGCCTCTGCCTCCATGATTCCAGGTGCTTGATGCCTGTATCAATGAGAATTCATGCACAATTCAAAAACATAAACCTATATAAACATGTATGTAGGAAACAACAACCACTTTAACGAGGTCTGATTATACGCCCTGATGCTGTTACTAAATGTCAACCCTAGACGACAGGACAATATGCAGACCTATCTTTTGGGTCACCTAGCATCTGATGGCTCCATGCAACACATTTGTGAGGTGTCTGTACCCAGAAAATGGTTTTGTTTTTTATTTAAAAATGTCCCTAAATCATAAAGTGATTAGTTGCTCAGATTTCTCTCCAGCATAATTGATAAATAAAAATACATAGATAATCATGAGTGACACCGTATATTTGCTCCCAACACACACTTTTCATTAGTGATTTATTTTTTTGCTCCAAAAATGAGGAGGTGCATCCCCCTATGAACCATCCTTCCTCTTGTTGATATATTGTCCAACATTGAGGAAAAAAATCAATGTGGATGGCAGATAGAAAACTTTTAAACTGATGCCAGAAAGCGAAAGACTGTATTGGTTGAGCATAACTGGTGTCATAAACAACAGTATGACGCCTACAAATGTTTTTCTATGGCAAACAGAAAAAAACAAACAAAAAAACATGAAAGCTTGAAAGAAATTTGTTTAATCAAATTAACTTCTTTAAAAGAAGTTGAACTGCTCATATTGCTATTCAATCCAAGTGTTTAAGCACTAAAGAGACAACTATGTTAAGATAGCAGTATAGTGAAAAATACATAGACATTAGATCCTTTGCCTCATGTTCCCAGTGCAAACAATAGGATTCTATACACTGTCTACGCACTGAATAAATATTTTACTGTTGGTGGTTTAATGAATGAGCATTAAATCCCTAGTGAGCATTAATCAGGAGCTGATGTTGACTTTCTAACCAACTCATTGGTGTCTCCTATAATCTGCTGGACTTTTGCATTGTTCACGAGTCTTTACCCCAGACTTAGTGTTAGTGCCATATAGTAATTAGTAACAAACCAAGAAATGAAAAGTCACACGTGTTTTCCTTCATTGAAATGTATGTCAAAACAATCAATTTTATTTTGGCATGAGTTGTGGGATTACTGACTATGAACTTCACCTGCTCTTTTTGTATTCTTAATATTTTCAATTAGAAGCCAGGCTAATTTTTTACTAGCTTTGATGGATTTTGGTAAAATGATTTTTTTAAACTTTCTGGCTTAATGTTCATCATAAAATGTAAAAAAATTTCAAATAAAACACCATTTTTTGAACAGTGTTTGTAAACATTTTAACACTTTTTCTATTTTGGTTTTGTATATTTTTTATGTATGCACAATGTATAGATTATTTCATGTAAATAAAAAAATTCTGCTTTCTTTGCATTGTATCGGTGGGTTATTATTTGATAATTTTAAGTATTTGTGTAAGACGGTCATCATTTCTACACTTAGGCCATGATTTAATATTTTGGATAAGCTATTCAAATGATTTAATATTTGTGGATTAACTTTAAATGATTATTAAAATATCAAAAATATATAGGTTATAAAAAGGTCAGTGTATACAAAATGTTAAATATATTATCAAAATATTAAATCATTTGAAAAGTTTATACAAATATTTTAAATAATTTGAAAAGCTTATAGAAAGATGTTAAAAATCTACAATTGATATAAATGTTAGGTCTACTCATTCCACAATTTCCAGGATTTCCAGGACATACTGCTTAAAGGAATATCTCCCATAACCTTGCATTAACTATTTGAACACAGATTAGTGCTCTCTATCAGGGCTGTGGCCAGCATTTAAGCGTTCATCTTGAACTACAGATTCCAAAATCTTAACCAGAAGCACATTTACTAGCTTGAAAAAATTATTGTCTTTTATCTTTTTCTCAGTACCCTGATTTGTACCCCAATCACTCTTAAGCACAGACCCCTTTATATCACAGTCTTTTTGTCCTAGGTCTCCATGTCTCTTAACTGCAGGCTTCTTAGTCTTCAGGTCTCTTACCCACAGTCTATTGTAGCTTATCCTCTGTCTCTTTGTTTGTTTCTTTCATTGTTAAATTAAACTCTGCAGTCTCAATACTACGGTCTTTTGCCTGAGGTCGCCAGGTCTCTTGATCCCAGACTTTTTTACCCTCAGTCTAGAAATACACAAACAATGCAAACTATTCTTCCTATATTTTGCTTGGTGAAATATGGTTTACCATCTTTTAAGACAAAATGTAAATGGAATTAAAGAAGACATTTACACTGGACTAAACATATTCAATATAACCTCTAGTCTCTAGATCTCTAACCTTCACCCAAGTGTCTTACTCTCATAACTCATTTTACTTACATTCTTTGTCACTTCCTATAGGTATTATTCACTTTTGAACCAATATTCCATGTTTCAGTCTCTTCTCTCCTTTCCATGACTTTTCCCCATCTTTTTCATTGTTTCCAACTTCTCTCTTCCATGTTCTGCCCTATTTCTTTCCCCACTCTCCTATGATTCCTTCATTTCATTGCTCTTCTTGCCTCATATTTGGTCCTCTCTTTAGCCTTATTTCTAGTGCTATTCCCCAGTCTGTGGTTGCTAATTTTAAGTATCCTCCATACTTTCCCTATTTCTCTGCCATGCTGTCTGCCCCTCATGGGGTTTCAGCTACTACAACGACTTTAACAGCTCCACTTCCAGCTTATGTTACCTTACGATGTGTTATTAGATTAGATATTACATTTGCTGTAAGGCTAGAAATAGAGAAATGAAAACAGTTTTTGCTGCCGGTGCACATAGAAACAACTTCATCCTTTTCTGTGTTCACCACAGTAGCCCAGTTAAGGAAGGCTACATGAACCATTCAAGCTGTTTGCATACAATATAGTCTGCCAAAAGACAGGAGCTAAAAGAATTGACATGCCAAATATGTGTTAAAAATATACGGTACATGATTGTACAACACCTCACCATTTTTTTATATAGCTTTCCATCTACATATCTGATACATTTAGTTCTTATTCTACATTGGGTATGGAAAATATAATAAAAATATTCAATTTTACAACATGACAGGAGGCTTCATATGTTGCATAATAGCTCTTTTCTAGCTCCACAGCAGCAAAGAAACATATACAAAAAAGAGGCAATCACAAGAAAGCAGGGTGTATATGAGGTGTAATAACCTAATCACTTCCTCTTTGCTGCTCCATCAAGCAGACAGGTCAGAGTATTACTATTTTCCATTACTTTATGCTCTTATTGCCCCTTCTGGGGTTGTCTCTTTATTGTATTTGGTATATTTTACTGTTGCTATCTGTAATATACTTATATGCTAAATTCATCTTGTGTTTTTCAGAGTATTCGTCTATGTTTATATTTTACATGTTAACTGTTGGACAGGATTTCCAGGACATACTGCTTAAAGGAATATCTCCCATAACCTTGTATTAACTGTTTGAACACAGATTAGTTCTCTCTATCTGGGCTGTGGCCAGCACTTAAAGGACCACTATAGTGCCAGGAAAACATACTCGTTTTCCTGGCACTATAGTGCCCTGAGGGTGCCCCCACCCTCATGGACCCCTCCCGCCCGGCTCTGGAAAGGGGAAAAGGGATAAAACTTTAAGCTGAAGTGGTCTGGGTGCCTAGAGTGGTCCTTTAAGGGTTCATACCCTGTGCACCTGGGGTGAACCCCCTACTATATTTATACTACACTGTGCTGCTGAGTGGAGGCATGCTGTGGCAACCTCTGTTCACTGGGTGAGCCCCAATATTTTATTTGGCTACTGCTA